TTTTTATTTTTTCTGAGCTATCAGGTCAATATTTGGCTAATACCTTCTTTGAAATACCTATTTTCATAAAATGTATGTATAAACTATCAATTTCAGCATTAAAAAGTGTAAATTCAATTCAAAGCTTCTATAAAGGGAGTCCCACTTATAGATTTTTAAGATCCACCATGTTTCAAGAGGAATATCAGCTGAAATAATGTTCATCCAGAGGATTTCTTTGTAGATAATGAAAATATATGTTATTCTTGATGAAATATCCAAACCTAAATATATTTTGACACTTGTCGATGATCGTTGAATGGCCCCCCTGCACTATTTGTAGCACCTTTAATCTTGTTGTATGGGGAAATACCACAAGCTCTGTTATAGTCAAGATACCAAAAAGTCCTAGGGATTCTGTTTGTGCTAAAAACAAGAGATTCTTCAATTGGTTTCAATTCAATTGGTACAACTTTAAATTATAACGAATAAGTCCTTGAAGAAATAAACTTATGGTTGCTATAGTAACACGAGTCGAGGGTAGGTGGAGCAGGCAAAAAAGAATTTTTGTTTGTTTGAATGTCCACACGTTTTAGTCCTATTTATTTTACTCAGACAGGATCCCAAGGATATAGATGCTCAAAATAGTGTCTATCATGGTCTATACACGACCTTTGCTGTCTCACTAACCATTCCTCAAACAGATGGTGGAACCCATTTGGGAAATCTTTGCCGATTGATCATGTATGGATGCCATAGGTTCTCCTAATGTTGAATGATGAATTCCATGAAGATCATTCTTTGTATCCTGATGCAAGTGCGTATTTGTAAATGCAAATCATTATCTTTTGCTGACTTTGCAGCCATTTTCACGAAATGAAAATAGACGCCACCCTTTACAATCAATATAGGTCACTATGATGTCATCAATGATGTCATGAATCAAAGAAATTTCAACTAAGATGTCATCATATGACATCATCTAGTGATGACATGGCATAATTAGCTTGTTTTTAATTGGACACCGTACACTCTATATAGGTTCGTTCGTACACATTTTAAATTCAGTTTAAAATATTTAATACATAAACATTACAAATAATTTAAACTTGAACAAATTATTCTCAAAATTTGTGTGACTTAGACCATTTCATTCAATGTGATAATTGAATTCAAATTTCATTTAAAATGCTGAAAATTAAAATACATATTAGAATTAGTTTGCCTTGACAAAGACATCAATTAAAAGCGGAGTATAATGTCATGGTAATTATGAGGACAACAATCACTTATTAACTAAACCAAATTTTAGGACCAATCTCTGAGATTGGTGTAGTGAAACTGAATCCCCCCTCTTCTAAGGTGGTGTTATACATTTCACCATGCCGTCATTATGCTACAAATTGCAAGTTTCACATTTAGTTATAGATCCTCCTGTTTAAACCTTAGTTTTTTTCGATTTTTTAAAAAATCCAACAAAATACCTGACATAGGAGTGTACGAATTTCTCAGAAAATTCATCCAGAAAATAAATAAAAACTTTTCTCAAACAGAAGCCTTCCTTCATGTTCGCATTCATATTGGGGAAATGCTCAGATGCCCCAAATTACGCTCTATTTTCATATATTTTTTGGCAACCCCTCCCCCATATTGTAAACTTGACATTCATTTTTACGCATCTTTTGGATATTTTAGCGCCCCTCTAGGACAAAATCCTAGATCCGCATGTGATAGAATAGATTGCAAATACTGGATCAGTTTCCTGATTCGGACCTCAGAAAATTCTCCCATCTGTACATCCATATCCATTATCCATATGTCCGTTCTTAAAATCTGTGTTATTGTCTGTTTGGGGAATAACTCAAAAACCGTTGGCCCAATTTATATGTGCAGTTTATGTCCCATGTGGGTACAAGTTCTACTCGAAAGCTGATTGCATCCACCTGGAAATTCATTTGCACCCACTTGAAAATGAGAAAAATCATGAATAATGGGGACAGTTTGACCAATTTCAGTGTGAATTGTGAAAACGAGAATTTTGCACCCACTCGACAAAAAATCCTGGGAAGATCACTGCTATGTACACAAAATACAATAAAACCTGTTAAGTGGAACACCTTAGCCTTGCTTCAAGACTGTAGACCCCCCTTATCTACTTCTCCAGCAAAACACAACACTCGGAAAAGTAGATGGGGGGGGGGGTCACGGATCTTGAATTAGGACTAGGAACGCCTCTGCAAGTGTATGTCGAATACTTCAAAGTCCTCTTACCCATTTATTTAATCCTTGATGAATCTCTCTAAGTGGAATCCTATTTTGAACCTGAGGTGTTCCACTTCCAAAGTTTTTACTGTACTGATTATTAGACTTAGTATTAGCTTTGTATCAACCTCCTGCATTCCCATAATTTCTCTGAATTTAGAGAATACTTTTCAAAATTTTGATTTTTAGCACTGTAAGTTGGTCTGACACTTTCTGTAAGAATAGAGTGGAGGGGACTGAATTTTAGAGGAAAACCAATTTAGGCCAGAATTGAACAAAAAATGTGGTCGGTCTGGAATCAAATGTTGGACCTTGATCAAATATTCTAGGCCTATTTTTCCGCAAAAAAATTTAAAAATGTTGGGTCTCACCAAGATCATATGTACTGTATGACCTGACGGTGTATTGCAATTTGATTGAGGGATGAATTCATATAATTTATTTAAATTGTAATTGTGAGATTTATGATTGATTAAGTATTATTGTACAATATGCTATTTATATTATACATCTCAAGGTTTCTGATGAATAGGCAATTATTTTTTAAATGTCATTGTCACTGTTTACATGTTTAAAATGAATAAATGTCAATTTTTTAAGTACTATTCAGTTGATGACATTTTATAAGTTGCCATTGTAATAAAAACTTTGGTTAATTGGTAATGAATATTTATATACCAGATTCATCAGTTTCCATCAAATTTGAAAAGATGAGAAAATTTGAGAACGATGCAGAATCATTTTCCATGTCATGTACAGGGTATTTAGAAACAATGGCACCTTCTCTACAGAAAAAAAAACAATACAATACTTGAAAAATCATAGGGCTAACTTTTTATTGGATATTAAATCATACAAAGCTGATATGTTCTAGGTACTTCAAGAATTAACTTCTATTTAAGATTTCATACTTGTATCTATCTGTCTATTGTAATAAGTTAATGGGTATTTCTTAGTAACATTATGTATTATTAAGTACATGTAGTTTTTGCTGCGGAGAGGAAGACTGCTTCTATATTCTTGACACCCCGTACTGTTACTTGACATCTGTGCATTTATAATTTCTTGCATTTAAATATAATCAGTGATTTGGTGCTGTTGTTGAAATATTCTAATGTCTAGGTCAATGATTTTTTGTCAGACAATGTATCGTTGTAGTCTTTGCTGTGGAGAGGAGGTTTGCTTCTATATTCTTGACACCCTGACATCTGTCATGTAAATTCCATGCATTTAAATATAAATAGTAATTTTATGGTGTTCATGTTGCAATATATTAATTTCTATGTCTATGGTTTTCTGCCAGACAATGTATCGTTTCCCAATTCTGCTGCATGCGTGCTGCTGCCTAACAAGGAAGGGGATGCTTTCCTGACCGAATGGGCAGATATCATGACAGGTAAGATAATTGCTAATTGTATGAACATTTCATGACAGGTAAAATAATTGCTAATTGTATGAAAATTTCAAGACAGGAAAATTGTTGCTTGATTGATCGTTGGCTTGTATTGGCTTTAGAATTAGTATTTTAAATCGGTATCTGTGATATAGTAAAACCTATTCATTTGAGCAACTCTAATCTGAAGATCTTTTCATGGTGGTAACACTTTTTCTCTGTCACTATTTTGCATTCATCTACTGTACTATTGACTACTTGAAATGAGAACTTTTGCTAATTCGAACACTTTTGGTCGATCCCAGTGGCATTCGGATAACACATTTTTACTGTACTATTTACAGGGAAATTAAGGTTTATTTATTATATACGAGAACATATGTACAAATTATTCCGTAATACTAAGTGTTTTCCCAGGGAAATATGAAGGAATAAAATCGCATTGTATCGTATTACATGAAAAAATCGTATTGTTCCCGGGATAAAAATCGTATTGGAGCGTTTTACATGAAAAAATCGTATTGTCCCCGGGAAAAATCGTATTGGAGCATATTAACTTATTTTTGGTTTCCCGGTTATTTTATTAATTTTTCATATTTTTCAAACAATGTGCATTTATTATATAATGCTTGCATTATCCAAATGTAACATTTTAGAGGGATGTATTATGGAATAAATAGGTTTTTCTGGTCGGGATTGAATATGGGTTTTATTCCTCGGAAATATGATATTGACCTTGGGCAATATGATATTGACATTCTGTCGCTGCCCTCCTTCGGTCAATATCATATTATCCATCGGTCAATATCATATTGTCCCTCGAAATAAAACCCATATGCAATCCCTTCCAGTAAATAACCTGTATATCATACTTTTTTAATCAAAATTATACTTAACTGCTTTGACAGTATTTCACACAGATGTGTTGAAAGCTACTATCAATCATATTCAAGAAAATTACACATTAACATACATGACATATTTCACTTGTGCTTTAACAGGCAAACTTTAATGTTGCTCTTTGTCATGACATTGTAAATCCTAAGGAGATAATTGCTTGTCCGTTCTTTTCTGAATAATCCAATGGTAGTATGTACATTTGTTCAGCATCTTCTGCCCAGATTGATGGTTTGTGGTCAATATATTCCATCAGGGGTTTCAATGTAGCAGCAGCCAACAGGCGATTTTCACCAGTTGTTTTCACAAAATCACCTGTTGTTTTAAGGGACTTTTCAACTTTTCCATGTTAAAATAATTTCAATAAATTTTGCCTGTTGTCTTCATATTTAGCCTGTTGTGAGATATTGTGAAACCCCTGTCCATGCAACCTTTTTGCAAGCCCATGCCTATATTCAACAATATGATCCTATGGCACTGTACAAAATGCATTTGCATTTCCATTTGGACTTCCTCCGCAGAAAACAATGGGAGCCTGAGGACTACACGATTTATTGTAAGATGAGAAACATTGACGGGCAAACCCATTGTCATTCACCCATCCGAATCTACATACATCCAACTTAGAATTATAATGGGCATTATTTAGATCTACCATTGTGGATACATGGCCTCCGAACTGTTGACATAGCGCATCAGCTGATGTGGCATCTGGGAGGTCGTAGGCTTTGGCACTTCGTATGAGGTAGAATCCTGAATAAAATACTAATTAATTAGTTGTAATTAATCATTCGTACATAATTACAAGTTTGAGATTGAACCATGGGCTTTCAATAGATTGAATGCCCATGATTGAACATAGGGCAAAACAAACAGAGCTAAAAAATATTTTCATTCATATTTCAATGTATCAAAAATCAATTTTCCAACAATTAAAGTTGTTAGTCTGCCGCGGTGTGAAATAAAAAGTGCTTCATTGTCAATATATACATTCTGATGCTAGTAGACGGATGGATGTTTTTTTGGGAGGCAGCAGAATATTTCTATGCCTTATTTAATTTCTGATCACTTAACATTTTTCTCAACAGAGAGCGTAATCCTGATTTTCCTGTTTTGGGCAAAATATCTCATCCTTTTGAGAGCGTGACACCTGGTTGCATGCTGCATATAGAGAAAATCGTACCTATCAGGCCCGTAGCCAGCTTTTGTTAAGGAGTTCACATTTCAAAAATTTCCAGGGAGATTCACATTTGACAACTTTGGCCCAAAAACACTTGAACACATTTCAAAATGGTAAAAAACAGCATGAATTTGAAAGACGTATTGGCCAAGGGGAGTTCGATTGCACCCTTTGTTTTTTCTAATTTCTAAAGTAACAACCGCATAGAATTTAACATAGTCTTACCTTTAAGAGGCTTGCTAGTAAAATGTGTCCATGTGCCCATTTTCCGAAGATAGTGTATCTCCATATCTGCCCATAGATGGCACTCATGGCTTCCAAGGTTATAATTAAACCCAACGCATAGTTCCTGATTGGTACAATATGAGCCACATCGCAATATAGAATTAACCTCATTGAATTTCTGAAGGGCTTTAGTTGTCCCAGTTTCAGACAAGTAATATCCTTGAATAGCAGTATAAAATACTTCTTTGGTATAAAACACTTCTCCGGTAACACTGTTTATATTTACGATGTAATAACCAAAATAAATAAACCAAATCAGATATACGTTTGTTCCACTTTCGTTCATTTTGCCATCTGTGGGATTATTAAAGGTTAATCGGATTGTTTTCTGAGAAGTTTCAATATCTCATTCGATGACCTTTTAAGTGCCAGTCTGAAGATTAATCACTGTGCTTTTATAGATGGCTTACCTTGAAGGTTTCTATGTTTATAACTGCATCATCATCATTTCTAAAGGTATTTCCAATTAACAGTTAACTTATGTCTCTTTAATGTGCACAATTAAAGGGGCACATACTGATTTATTATCAGCGGTATACTTAAATAAGACAGAATCACACTACTAAGATGTTAAAAGCTACTATCATTCATTAATAAAAGAAATCATGTTAATGAAGGCCCACATGGGCGCAGGAGGATGAACTATGGGATAAATAAATATGTACAATGTTATTTTTGTTTTGAAACATAATCAATAGAGTTACTTAGTCACATGTCATTCATATACTGTAGTCGATGATGTCATTATAATTGGCTATGTCAAGCATACTTTTTCATGTTGATGAAAATCGAGATTGTGACATCTCATTTGTTAAAAGAAAATGTTATTTTTGAAAATCGATTTCCACTAACTTAAATGCCCACTTTGCGTATTTTCAATGTTTTTCGGCAAAATAAAGACTTACATTTGAATTTCATAGTATGTCCAATGTATTAACAAGAACCTTATCTTTCATTTGACACCAGCAACAGCTCAAACGGACCACATCAAAGCTTACAATAAATTATCAAAAAATAATTTTAATATGTCAAGCTTTATATATCATGTTTTTATCAATGTCATTTAAAGATGGCAAAGTTGTTTGTATTACATGATACATTCTTTTTTTGGAAGTGTCGCCATCCTTTAAATCTAGAGCAATGTAAAACATGCACTTTATTTTACATGTGCATGTACTACTAATGATCTCTGAACTTCATATGCTTTTTTCTTAGTGAGTTATTTTTTTATTGGTTAAATATTAAAGCAAATAAAACTTTGTGTCATATTTGAGCGAGTGTGTGAGTAACGTGTTTCAATGATTTTTTTCTTCTAATTTAAGTATAGTGGGCCTTTAATAAAAGTCATCATTAAAAGAACCAGTAATCGACTTGTATAGTTTCATAAATATTTGGTAGAAAGTAAATGGCTTCATATAGATTTATATGTACAAAGTAATTAATATCACAAATGAATTTTCAAAACTATCTTCACAGATCATAGATTTTCTCTGGTTGGTTATTATGTCACCACCAAAAGTGGTGACATATTGTTATGGTCTCCGTTTTTTTGCGACGGCGTCCGGCGGTTGGAGGTTGGCGTCCGGCGGTTGGCGTCCGGCGGTTGGCGTCCGGCGTCTGTAACAATTTCTTACAACTTCCTATAACTTAACAAATACTGTTCAGACTGACTTCAATTTTTTTTAAATCATCTACATGTTCTCAGAAGTTCAAATCTGACTTTAGATTTGACATTTGACCTTCAATGACCTTCTCAAGGTCAAAAAGGTCTTTTTTCAACTTGCTTCACATTGACTAATTTTTTTTTCAAAATCATCTACATGTTCTCAGAAATTCAAATCTGACTTTAGATTTGACTTTAGATTTGACATTTGACCTTCAAATCTGACTTTAGATTTGACATTTGACCTTCAATGACCTTCTCAAGGTCAAAAAAGGTCAAAAAGGTCTGTTTTCAACTTGCTTCAAATTGACTAAATTTTTTTTTCAAAATCATCTACGTGTTCTCAGAAATTCAAATCTGACTTAACATTTGACATTTGACCTTCAATGACCTTCTCAAGGTCAAAAAAGGTCAAAAAGGTCTGTTTTCAACTTGCTTCAAATTGACTAAAAAAAATTTTCAAAATCATCTACGTGTTCTCAGAAATTCAAATCTGACTTTAGATTTGACTTAAGATTTGACATTTGACCTTCAATGACCTTCTCAAAGTCAAAAAAGGTCAAAAAGGTCTTTTTTCAACTTGCTTCAAATTGACTAAATTTTTTTTCGAAATCATCTACATGTTCTCAGAAATTCAAATCTGACTTTAGATTTGACATTTGACCTTCAATGACCTTCTCAATGTCAAAAAAGGTCAAAAAGGTATTTTTTCATCTTGCTTCAAATTGACTAAATTTTTTTTTCAAAATCATCTACATGTTCTCAGAAATTCAAATATGACTTTAGATTTGACTTTTGATTTGACATTTGACCTTCAATGACCTTCTCAAGGTCAAAAAAGGTCAAAAATGTCTTTTTTCAACTTGCTTCAAATTGACTAATTTTTTTTTCAAAATCATCTACATGTTCTCAGAAATTCAAATCTGCCTTTTCGATTTGACATTTGACCTTTAATGACCTTCTCAAGGTCAAAAAGGTCTGTTTTCAACTTGCTTCAAATTGACTAAATTTTTTTTCAAAATCATCTACATGTTCTCAGAAATTCAAATATGACTTTAGATTTGACTTTAGATTTGACATTTGACCTTCAATGACCTTCTGAAGGTCAAAAAAGGTCAAAAAGGTCTTTTTTCAACTTGCTTCAAATTGACTAATTTTTTTTTCAAAATCATCTACATTTTCTCAGAAATTCAAATCTGACTTTAGATTTGACCTTTGACCTTCAATGACCTTCTCAAGGTCAAAAAGGTCTTTTTTCAACTTGCTTCAAATTGACTAATTTTTTTTCAAAATCATCTACATGTTCTCAGAAGTTCAAATCTGACTTTAGATTTGACATTTGACCTTCAATGACCTTTTCAAGGTCAAAAAGGTCTTTTTTCAACTTGCTTCAAATTTATTTAATTTTTTTTCAAAATCATCTACATGTTCTCAGAAGTTCAAATCTGACTTTACATTTGACATTTGACCTTCAATGACCTTCTCAATGTCAAAAAAAGTCAAAGAGGTATTTTTTCAACTTGCTTCAAATTGACGAATTTATTTTTCAAAATCATCTACATGTTCTAAGAAGTTCAAATCTGACTTAAGATTTGTGTGCAACTAGTTTTAACTTGCTTCAGATTGAACAATTTCTTTTTTCAAAATCATCTACAAGATCCCAGAAGCTCAAATCTTCAAAAACATTCTTAAGGTCAAAAGGTATTTTCCAACTTGCTTTAAATTGACCAAATTGTTTTAGGTGGTGACATTTTGTCATGTTAATGCCTTGTTCTTCAAATTGGTTTGTGTGTATTCCATTGCTGTCATAAAACTTCAAAAAACACTATAAATTATACTAATATCACAAGTTCTCTTCATGATAACTTACATATACATATACAGGGTGTCTCAAAAAATGTACCCAAAAGTATATCAAGAGCACAGATAAACCAATCAATATTTTCAGACATTTTTTGCATGGTCATGTAGCCGAAACATGAACGTTTTCTCCCCAATACACCATTTCTATTTCAGTCTTGTCTTTTTGATGCTTTAACCCTTTACCTTTTACACCACATAATAGATGTAACCTCATATTTGGACGACAGGCTGTATCCTTACTGTTAGATTGTTCATCACATTTGATAATAATTCCGGTGGAATGTTTTGGATTTCTCTTTTGATGTTGCCCTTAAGTTGTTTTAGAGCTTTTTGCTTGGAATGAGCATTAAAACACTCCTTCAAATAGCCACAGAGAAAGATGTTTGAGGATGACGATGGCAGAACAAACACAGATAAATTATCGGCAAATGATTCAGGAGTTACCTTCCAGAGTTAGACAGGCTAGCCTGGAGACCAAATGATATCCAAATGAAAACACAGTGGTCTCGAATTGATACATCAAACAAAACCTACACTAGAATCCCAACCAATACAGTTTCTTGAACCTCTGACCTCTCTGTATAAGGGGGCTATAAGACATTGTGAGGGCCTCCCTATTCACCATATTTGACGGCCCATACCTTTATCTCTGAGGCTATTTGAAGGACCATTTTTATGCTAAACCCAAGCTAAGAGACCAAGAACAACTTAAGACCAGCATCCGACAGAAAAATCAAAACATTCCACCAGATATATCAAATGTGGTGAACAATGTAGGAGTAAGGATGCAGACTGTCATCGAAATATGAGGTTACATTGAATATGTGGTGTAAAAGTTAACGGGTTAAAGTATCAAAAAGGCAAAACTGAATTAAAAATTGTGTATAGGGGAAAAACTTTCATCTTTTATCTGCAAGACCATGCAACAAATGTCTGAAAAAATTGATTGGTTTGTCTATGGTTCTGATATACTTTTGGGTACATTTTTTTGAGACACCCTATATATCATAATCACACTTTGTTTCAAGATTCAATATCATAAGGTTTCAGATATTTTCGTTGAAAAGTCTAATTTGTATTGCAGTCCTTTCTGCCATTATGGTGAACTGCAAAATGCATGTGCGTTGCCATTATAACTCATACCACAGTAGACAGTTGGTGCAAGACCCGTGCAGCCACTGTCAAAGCTAGAGAAACATTGGTGGCCATATGCACCACTGTCATCATTCACCCAGCCAAACACACACACATCAAAACTGTTCACAGAGTGGGCAGTATTTAGTTCGGACATTGTCGCCAGATTAAAGCCGAACTGATGGCATAAATCTCTTGCATCTGTCAGAAATGGGAGATCATAGGCCCAGTCACTTCTCAGGAGAATAAAACCTGGAAAATAATGAAATTGTATACTTTACTTAGGCTATTGAGTAAAATAATATGATTTAGTGGTATTCTTCGCTAGGTCAAATATCACGTAGGGGTTGAAAATGTCAACTTTCCTATGTCATGTGTTATGTTGTGGTTGAAAAGGTTGACTTTACGAGGTTGGTTGCTTATTTCATGACTTTCTTTCACTATTCCAGACAGTAAAAGCCGAGATAGTCTTTAATAGGATCCCAAATATTACAAATATAGCTTCATGCTATAGTTTTTAGTTAAAAAATAAAGTTGTTATCACACATCTTTTGTTTGATCATGAAGTATAATTATGTAATGAAACTTTGATATAAAAAATGTACACTTCATCATAAAATTTTTGAGGCTTCACTGCCTCAGTGGCACACATTCTTTATGACACACACTGTATACACTTTATTGTTAATTAATTTAATTTGTTAATTTAATCTCAGAATGTAAATCTGCTTTTCTCAGTCTGAACTCTATGGTTGTGACCTGGAATTGCATTTGGCGATCAACTTCTGTCTACATAGTTATTTCCATTTGAATAAGCATTGATTGAGTTTTCAATGCAAAAGGAGCATCAACGGTTTAATTATAATTCACTAACCTGTGATTGGCTTGCTGGTATAATATGTCCACTGTGACCATCTCAGTAAATAATGTATATCCATATCCGCCCATAGGTGGCACTCACCGCTGCCCTGGTTATAATTAAACCGAACACATTGTTCATGTTTTGTGCACAAGATGGCGCAATATTTTAGCGATCCAACAAAACTTTTTTCAATGGCATCAGTGTTTCCTGTATTACAAAGATAGTACTCTTCAACAGGTGTATACAAGGCTTCATTTATTTCACCACTGATAGTGTCGCAAGCAATGGTGACAATTATGACAAGGTATAATATATTTCTATTCATGTTGGTGGTGCCTTTGTATATAATGATATATTCTGTCACCAGTACTGAAATGCCCTTTGTACGTATATAATGATATATTCTGTCACCAGTACTGAAATGCCCTTTGTACGTATATAATGATATATTCTGTCACCAGTACTGAAATGCCCTTTGTACGTATATAATGATATATTCTGTCACCAGTACTGAAATGCCCTTTGTACGTATATAATGATATATTCTGTCACCAGTACTGAAATGCCCTTTGTATATAATGATATATTCTGTCACCAGTACTGAAATGCCCTTTGTATTATAACTATATTCACTCACCAAAAGATTTTCGTATTTTGGTATTCAGCACTGAAATCCCAAATGCCCTTTGTATGTATACCAATATTCAGTCCTATCCTAAAATGGTACGTGTTTCTAAAATGTTATTTTAAATGCCCTGTTTCTTATTTATTGATGTTTAAAACAGCAGTCATAAAATCTCTACTAAAATACAATACAATACTAGGTACTGGCATACTAAATTCCACGTATTAATTACATATTAATGATTTTGAATGAGTGATTACTGATTATGTAAAAGGGGGTTTCGTTAAGGGGTGATGTCCAAATGTTGTGGAAAATTGACGAATTTTATTATGAACATCAAATGAGTGAAAATGAAAAAATCTGTACCTGAGTTTTTGAGATACTGGAGAGTTTAAGCGAGTATATAAAATCGCCTATCATCGCTTGAATATTTTCCGTTCACATTTAGGTTGTGAAAAACATTGCAAGCTTTAACTCCCTAATTTGCCAAACATTGTATATATCACTGTGATATATAGTATTATATTAGCATTTGAATTTTGCAGTGTGAATTATTTATAGAATTTGGTGCACAACCTTTGAGAAAATGATGTTCATAATACAACAATTAAGTGATTTTCCACACTTAGACATCATCCCTCAGTGAGTTCAGTTCTATTCTGGTATGATTGTATTGTATTTCCCAATACTCATCTTCCTAGAATGGTCCTTACTCCTTAGGGGTTATGTGACTCTGAGTCAATGACTCAAAATCAATTTTATGTATTTTTAGTTACAGGGTGACAAAAAATACCACCCACTGACACAATGTTGCATAACTTTTTGTCAGCATGAATTTTGACTTGTTCATCCATTCCTTTGCTGTATTCTACACGGTACATGGATGAATCTTTTGAAACGATCATAAAAGTGCATTTAAATGAGCTGAAACTGAAACTTCCTGTAGAGTTCCATGGAATCTGGTTTAAAGGCAGAATCTGATCTATAGGGGGTGACAAAATTACAAGCAACATGTATAATTGGACTACCAATCTATTCTATACAATATCAAATACAATATCTCCCAAAAGATTCACAATATGCTATGAATTGGTGAAGCTATTAATGATTCAAAGTGCAAAAATGAGTGAAAAATGTTTAAATTTTCCCAAATAATAAGCATGGTTCTTATAGAAAAATAATACATTATTGTAAAATGTTTTAGTTTTCCTGGAAAAAAGTATGCACTTTTGTGATTTTTAGAAAATAGACATGACAATGAATGACATGAGCCAAAAATATTCTAAAACCAAAACAATTTTTTGTTAAGCCTGCTCGCTATATCTGATTCTCTCTTTCAGATGGTATTCCAGTAAATAAAAAAGACGAGTGCGCATCTTTGTTAAAATTTATTTGTGGTAATAGCATAAATTATGAGAAATACCATGTAAATGGTGAAAACCCAATCCATCAAATCAGGAAAGATCATGTAAACCCATGTTTTTTCTCGGATGTGTATCTCGAAAATTTCAACGGTGACCCTATACTTTTTTGGTACCAAAATGTTAGGAATTGAAAATACTTCATAATAAGCACATAAAAATATGTGTTTATCGGCAAAGTTATTTACTGGAATACCACCCTAGTATAACACATTCAATGTTGATTTTCATATTGCATGTATTTAGACCTGTGTGTTTTCATCACTCTCTTAAAAAATCCATTCCACCACAATTCTTTAATTCTAAATTTTTAAGCGAAACAGGCTTTTAAAATATGCTGCCTAAATGAGACAATGAGCTAGATGAGATTTATTTCATCAATATGAACATGATGAATGAACGGGATCATACTAATGAATTTTTGTTTGTATAAATCATGGACAGACACATCATGTAAATATACTTTAATTGTTTGCAAATGGAAGGGCACTTTACCAACTGAAACTTGACTCCAAGGCGACGTAACAAAAGGTTCAGTTAAACAATAAGGTCATGTGATAGATGTTGATCGGGAAGAGAGGATAATGGTATGTATTGATTTGTTAAATAGGTTAATTATTGTCATTGAGGATAAGTCATTATCCTTAGTCTAAGTGTGGAGTAATTAAATTTTATGTTTTTTCATTATTTTGTTTCTGGAGAAGAGAGGGGCGTTTCATCATAGTAATATTGGCATTAGCTTATCTCAACTTGCTTCAAATTGACCAATTTTTAAAAAAAATCATCTACAACTTCTCAGAAGTTCAAATCTGACTTTACATTTAAGATTTCACCATCAACGACCTTCTCAGAGTCAAAAAACTTGCTTCAAATTGACCAAATTTTTCCAAAATCATCTACAGAGTTCTCAGAAATTCAAATCTGACTTAACATTGAACTAATAATATTGTGAGCGACTGGGTGGTGACATTTTATCGTGTTAATGCCTTGTTCTTGTTGAGATATTTTACGATTTTCTAATTTCTCAATTGGGTGCAATTTGCTGCTTTTCAATTGGGTGCAAGGTATTATCCCATGGTTGCAAGGATATAGATCGAATATCACATGAAGATATATTTAATATGTGGATCATATTTTAGCAAAAAATTCACAAACCATCGAATATCACTTTTAAACTATCGAATATCACGTCTTAAAAAATGATGTTCGATGGTTTGAAGTGATATTCGATGGTTTGAAAAGTGATATTCGATGGTTTCGAAGTTTTTCAAAATAAATCTTTTTACATTTTTTAATTATTTTAAAAAAAAATTCAAAATTTCAAAAATATTCAACATTTTTTCACATTTTTTTCAAATTTTTTCTCAAATTATATTTTTCAACTTTTTTCTCTGATGGTGATTTCCCATGGGATAAACGGACAATCCTATGGTTTTTCAAAAATATCAATTATATCCACTCATGGATTCAAATATCTTCACTCATTCGCTGCGCTCACTCATGAAGATATCAATATCCACTCATGGATATAAATGATATTTTTTCAAAACCATAGGATATTCCTATATTATCCCATGGTTGCAAGGATATAGATCGAATATCACATGAAGATATATTTAATATGTGGATCATATTTTAGCAAAAAATTCACAAACCATCGAATATCACTTTTAAACTATCGAATATCACGTCTTAAAAAATGATATTCGATGGTTTGAAAAGTGATATTCGATGGTTTCGAAGTTTTTCAAAATAAATCTTTTTACATTTTTTAATTATTTTAAAAAAAAATTCAAAATTTCAAAAATATTCAACATTTTTTCACATTTTTTTCAAATTTTTTCTCAAATTATATTTTTCAACTTTTTTCTCTGATGGTGATTTCCCATGGGATAAACGGACAATCCTATGGTTTTTCAAAAATATCAATTATATCCACTCATGGATTCAAATATCTTCACTCATTCGCTGCGCTCACTCATGAAGATATCAATATCCACTCATGGATATAAATGATATTTTTTCAAAACCATAGGATATTCCTATAATATTCAAAATCTTAATGGATGCAGTTATCGTACTCACCACGATATGTGGGAGATCACTGAACTATGCTAAGTAGTGCATGATTCAGATCCAGAAAATTCTGAAAAAATGGATGGGACAAATTGATAACAATTGTCTCTCTGTGTTTTTGTTTTTTAGAAAATTAAAGAAAAAAATGAATCTGAAAGGATCAATCAAAAGCTCATCCTAAATATATTTTATTGAATTTTAATATGTTTAACATACACAATCATTACACTTGGACATAACCTTACTTTCCAAATACATCATAGCTGTTTTCCCCGGGTGTTTTTCCAAGGGTTAGGATGTGAATGATTGCAATTGGTCCATTTAATTACTTTAGTCTAAAATCATGCAGTTATACCCTTTAGTAACAGGCCCATGGCCAGCTTTTGTCAAGGGCGGTTCACCTTTCCAAAAAATCCATGGAGCTCCTATTTGACAGCTTTGGCCCAAAATCACTGAAAAAGTCTTCATAAGGGTGAAAACTGCTTGATTTTTGAAAGGATTTTTGGCCAAAGGGGTGCCAAACCTTTCCTGGCTACGGGCTTGAGTAAGAGGGGGAGTATGAGGAATAGTCATAATGATCATCATAATATTCCGGCTGCAGCCTCACTTTCATTATGGTTGCCATTAGCGACATCCCCGTTCCACCATTCAGCTGAATCCACTTGATACCCTGCATACTATTCAAACCCCCATCTGGACTATATTTACCATTCAGGTAATCGCTCGCCGCACATGTATCAAACCACCAACCTCCCATGTTGAAGTCGCCTGCACAGTTGTCCATATCATAATCATTGTCAGAATCAATTGTGGAAAATTGCAAGCCATCGTTTAAGTCTAGACCATAATCAGCATCGCCCTCTATGTAATCTGCGATGAATAACTCATATAACTCCGTTTCATTGCCGATTGAGAATTCTGAGAAATGAGCGTCGTACCACTGCCCATCATACGTTTTTAGTTCTATTTTTAACTCGTAAAATGATGATGTCGTCAAAATATGGATCAAGTCATTGCCTAGCCAGAATTCATCAGTCAGATTTCCGAAACCGCGTTTATAATCGAGCCAGTTCCTATCATAGAAACTTTCATTGCCGTTTAATCTTGTTTGAATTACACTCCATCCATCATCGTCCATATCACAATAGATATCAAATGCAGTGTGATTATCGTCAGGCGCGATTGGATACACTCCGTTGCTATGACAACCTCTTGTGTACCATCCTTGACAATCATGTGGCGGTGGGTCACCTTGTCCCGGTGGTGGAATAATACAGTCTTCATCATTGGTATACTTAGAGCCTTTGACCCATCCATCCTGGATATCATCATGTTCAGCTTCTCTCAAATCGTGAGCATGTATTAACTCACATGTTTTATCTTCTTTGTGGTAATTCACAGCGCTACAGTCGTCCGTTCGATCACACTGGGCCAAACATTGCAACTTGGATCTTACCCCAAGTGATATCATCATTGGTTCAACGTTTGTGTATGGCCCAGGTGATGTTTTGAATGTTTCTGTTCTTACTTGGAGACCTTCGTGTTGCGGTTGACCAAATATGGTATTGATGATCATAAGTATAACTAAGAAATTAATATCGGCCATATTAGGATATGTTGAATGTAGCTTAATAAATGAAGTTTATTAAGTTCAAATGTTAGTCTTTGTGCTTTCTTTTTTCAAATTTCATTTGCTTTCATTTAAAAAAACTTCATACAAACTCGTACTCTGAATCGTAATGTTGTTTTGGTTTGTTTATACCAGCCTCTGCTTGTCTTTTTATGCAAAGTAGGCTCTATTATGAAAGGTGTGATTGGCCCCAATAAAACTGTCTCTCTGGCCATACAAAATCCTTTCAGTTTTTTCTCTAACTTATGAGTGAAGTATATATTTCCATTTGTTTCCATGGCCACCTAATAAAGAGTTTCATGTCTTTAGATCTAGCTGTTTATTTTACTTCTAACAATTTCCTCCAATTTTGTGTTAATTTTCAACATTAAGTGACCATCATATGATTTTATTGTTGGTTGATGGGTATTTTGATATGAATCGTGGTAATGGACCTATTTAATTCTTAAAAGCCATTTCTACTAATTATTAAATGTTTGTGAAGCTGATGTAGAAAAACATTATTTGATGGATTAATGAAAAGAAACAGTCTGAATTATTTATTTCTATTAAGTCTGTAACAATAGATACATAGTAGAGTATAAGCTAAACATTACTTAGTGGTGTGACAATTCATTCATTTTAGGAGTCGCCAAATTAAATGTTTTTCTAAATAATTGATAAACCTAGGGATAAAATGTTTAAAGGTTTTGCTGGAAATATGAATTGAAAAAAGGACTAACAACGAGGCATGTAAAGATAATTGTTACAAAATTGTTATTAAATTGTGAAGAATGGAAAATACAAGAAAACATACTCCATACAAAAGGTTTTTACTTTCAGTAATTAGATCATACCATTTTTATTGCATATTGTTTTTACAGCATCTGGGCAAATGTAAGGTGGTCATAATTTAACATGGAAAATAGAGTGAATGGAATTGGTAAGAAATAAAGTGAAAAGGAAATTGTATCTTATAAAGAAGGAAAAAGCTGACAATTATTGTTACAATATGTCTTTAGATTTAAGACTTGACCTCAAGGTACAAAAAAGCTCTTTTCAACTTGCTTTACCTTTTTTTCAAAATCATCTACACGTTCTCAGTAGTTCAAATCTTTTGTGATTAAGGGATGGACCATTAAACCATCAAATGGAATTTTCTTAACAATTTTTTTGCAATCAAACCCCAGTATTCATTTTCGAATCAATTATACAAGATTCATATTACAAAACAACCAAGCAAAATTATCATTTTCGGGCCTGGCATATTTTTCTGAATATTGAATAGCAGGTCATCAACATTTTTAATGGTCTTGTTATAAAAACAAGTGAACACATTTGAAACGTAAGAAATCAATATTATGATTGTTTGAAAAGTGGTTAATGGAAACCAGTATATTTCATATGTAATGTATATACAGCATACAAGATGTAAAAATAACAAAGAAACCAACATGTAATTGACTAGAAAAATACTTTTTATAAACTCAATTATTGCTTTCATGAAAGCCCCACTTTGTGTATTTTCAATGTTTTCGGGCAGAACTTTTATAGAATGTCCAATGTATTGATAAGAACCTTATCTTTCATTTGACACCAAGAATAGCTCAAATACCACATAAATGCTTACAATAATTTATCAAAACATATTTTCGATCTGTCAAGCTTTAAATATCAAGTTTTTATCAATGTCATTGAAATATGGCGAAGTTGTTTGTATTAAACGATACATTCATTTTCATAGAAGTGTTGCCATCTTTTAAATCAAAAGTAAATAAAAACGTGCATTTTGTTCAGCTTGTGCATGCACTACTGATGATCTCTGAACTTCAAATGCTTTTTTTCGATGTGAGTTATTTTTTCTTGGCTCAATTCTTGATTCAATTATTCTTTTTTCTTTTTTCTTCTAAATTAAGTATAGTGGGCCTTTAACATGTGATCTGAAATGAAGGAAGGTAATCTCCCATGATGCTTTACGGCAGAGAAGGTCATTCTGAATACACATTCCAATACTCCTGAAGCTTGGGATTATTGGAATACCTGGCTATTTCTATAATGGTATTAAAGACTTGTCTTGTGTAGATACTTGTACGGTTAAATTTATAAATTGTGAATATAGTTTTATTTCAACTGAGACTTATGATTTGAAAATGAAATCATAGCATTTTCAAACTGAAAATGATAACGTAGCTTTGAATTGTATAGTTTGCTCAAAGCAAGTGATACATGTTTCAGCTTGAAACATTTATTTTCCACCATTTTATCTGTCAAAAATATCTAAACATTTTCCCCATATAACCTCATAACAGGAGGATGAAATGTTAAAAACAGTATACATAAATAATGTAATTGAATTTTAATCATAAATAGTTAATTCAGCAGGTCTTCATATTGCTTTTCTGGTTACTGCTGATCAATATGATAATCAGATATTTTTAACAAAGAGTTTTATCAATAGTTCACACATAGCTAGGCAAGCCAAGACTCAATGCATTGTGGATGACCATTCCAGTCAGGCATTGTTTCATAAACACATCTTATGCAAATTTTGGAAAGCAACACCTTCAAGGAATGGTTTCCACATTAAATAAACCTAACTGTATTATAATACAATTGTTAATATTTTTGCAATGCAATGGTCCTTTTATTCTTATGTCACCACCAAAAAAGTGGTGACATATTGTTATTGCCTCTGTTTTTTGTGATGACGGTTGGTGGTTGGCATCTGTAACAAATTCTTAACTTCCAATAACTTAACAAATACTGTTTAGACTGACTTCAATTTTTTTTTCAAAATCATCTACAAGTTCTCAGAAGTTCAAATCTGACTTTAGATTTAACATTTGACCTTCAATGACCTTTTTCAATGTCAAAAAAGGATTATGATTGGCGGGTGGCGTCTGTAACAAATTCTTACAACTTCCGATAACTTAACAAATGCTGTTTAGACGGACTTCCATTTTTTCATTATCAATAAGTTTTCAGAAGTTCAAAGCTGATTTAAGATTTAGATTTGACCTTCAGTGACCTTTAGAAGGTCAAAAAGGTTAAAAAAGGTCAAAAAGGTCTTTTTTCAACTTGCTTCAAATTGATTAAATTTTTTTTCAAAATCATGTACAAGTTCAATGACCTTCTCAAGGTAAAAAAAGGTCAAAAAAGTATTTTTTCAACTTGCTTCAAATTGACCAATTTCTTTTCTAAATCATCTACAACTTCTCAGAAATTCAAATCAGACATAAGATTTGAGATTCTACCTGGTAAAAAAGGTCTAAAAGGTCTTTAGGCTAAAAAGGTCAAATAGGTATTTTTCAACTTACTTAAAATTGATTAAATTTTTTAGGTGGTGGTGATATTTTCATGTTAATGCCTTGTTACATAGGTGCTTCCAAATCAGCATAGTATTGTATGTACATTAATCATTACGACATATTATGAATTAATACTGTATGTATATTAGCTTACTAAAAATACATATAAAGTGTATGTTGTTGTTCATATGGTCTCTGAACATATTTTTTGGATTAACCTTTTTTACATGTATATGAATTTTGTTAACACACTCCGAAGCATTCTAATACATTCAGCCATTCTCTGTGTATGTTAAATATGCATTTATTTTTTGAATAATTTGAATATACACAATGAAAACATGTAATGTTAATTTTAATCCAAGGATTGTTATTATTATTTTAATTAATTTTTTTTATTATAATATTGGAATTTATGTAGAGTACACATACATGTATTTATAGCACACAAAGTATTATGAATTGAAATCATTATGATTAAATAATGTTTCCCATTTAGTGTTATTAAGAAAATGTATTCTATGAAAATGCTTCCCTGTTATTTTGTTAAAACATTGTATTTTGGAGATTAAAAATAAAGCATTTAATTATCAAATAGTTATTTATGGCTTATATTATTTAGACTTATAAATCATGAGAAAATTGATTTAAAAGAGAATTGATCAACAGTGTATCAAAATAGTTAACCATTTTCAACTCTATCAATCAATATCGACCAATTTAACTTTTTGAGTGAAATATTTGGTTAAGTGTTTGTTTTATCATCATTTTGAGGCTATAAATGAAAGTAAAGAAGGGTTGGATTAAAGATTACATCTCTCTCAAGAAGTTAATGTATAACTACTGGTAAGTCACCACCTATGTACTTTTCAGTATTTACATACCCTTGAATCTGATAGAGTGGTTTTCTATGGCTGATACACAATACCTCATCAAAGCTAGATTCAGTAGAATGGGTCATCATTAAAATGAGACTTGATTAAAAATGGAATGTTATACGTATGGTATTAAAAATGAAATGCACTTAAAAGTTGGTCATCATTTAAAAAACAGACAGCATTAAACATTAGCATCACATTAAAAGTGGAACATCATTACAAATTGGGATGTATTTGAAAATTGAACATCATTAAAAGAATGGGACATAATCAGTTAACATTTTTTCTCCAAAATAAAAAATAAATAGAGTTTATTAGATATGTTATAGAGAAAACTGCATTGCTCTTTATTTGGGAATCCTTGGTATGATCCTTTCTGCTACTCATAGCATCTCTCTCTGTTGCATCTCCAGAAGGATAGAGATGGAGAGGGCATGGCTTACCACGATGGGTATGATCCTAGAAATTGCCTTAAATATATGCTAACATCAATTGGGTGGCTCAAAATGCATTTTCACTTTGGAACAATAGTTTTCCTACTGAATCAGCGGATTTGGAAATTGATGAGGGAGCTGGGTTATTCTTGGGCCAACCAATAGTCCAAAACAAAAAACTGTGCAATTCTATTTCATGGGAGCCCAGACCCACACCCATGAGTGAAAATGATGCATACAAATGTTATGTCACCACCAGAAGTGGTCATATATTCATGTCTATTTCATGCTTTTCTTGCTAATTTTTGATTGAACTGTCTTATTTTTGTTACATTTCTTTACAATTTAAAATGTGAACAATGTGTTATGTCACCATCAGAAGTGTTGACATATTGTTATAGTCTCAACATTTTGTGAATGTGTTTGGTGTTTGGGAGTCAGCGTTCGATGCCTGTAACAAATGGCAGGTGGTGGCATTTTGCATGTCAATGCTTTGTATTACAAGTACTGCCATACACTGAAATAAGTATACTAATCCACATTTTCAGTAACACCATGTTCTTGTAATAGAAGGCTATCTTAAGGCACTGAGGACAGTAACCAAGAAGCCCACGAGAAAATGGTCATATATTCAGGTCTATTCCATGCTTTTCTTGCTAATTTATTAGTCTTATTTTTGTGACATTTCTTTACAATTTTAAATGTGAACAACGTCTGTGTATAGTTTAATTTTGCTCATACCCCTAGTTTGTGTTCTAATTTAAATTTTATAATGTGACAGTCGTGACATTTTTTGTAATGGTAACAAAGATTGTGCCACGTTTACAAAAGACATGTACACATACATATAGGAGCTTATAGTAATGTGGGAATAATATTTATATTTAGTTATCAGTTTGAGGAACCACTTGGAACTATGCTAAGCCACAGGTAATTATGCATCTTTTATAGGGCATTGTATGCTTCATTGGTAATAATGGCTGTCATAGCAGGCCTGTAGCCAGGATTTGGCAAGGGGGGGTTACCTTTTTGAAAAATTCCAGGGGGGTTACCTTTTGACAATTTTGGTCCAAAAATGGCCCAAATCACTTTTTCAGAATGGTGAAAAACTGCATGATTTTGAAAGAAATTTTGGCCAGGGGGGGGGGGCTACGGGCCTGCATAGTATGCATGTAACTGCTGGCTGAATTTGCAAATTGTCCAGCTATATGCATTCTGCAATTCAAAGTTCTGTGTTTTATCTATTAAAATGGTGCAAAATGTAACTATAAATGTCCAATGGAACACAAAGTAAAGGGCGATAAATTTAAAGTTGAAATAAATCATTAATGAAATCATTGAAATACCAGAATTACTGTGATCTGACATTGCAATCAACAAAATATTGATATCAAATAATTCAGTCGGGAATATTTAAAAGGTAGCAAGATTTGATTGAATGAAAAATGAATGAACAATTTGTGGAGAAGTCGAAGGAGGGAGCAGGGGCTCGTTGGAAATGAAATTATTTATCTTTTGACCCAACAGCAAAATTTTGACTTGGTCCATTATCTTGAACTTATCAATGATTCATGCTTGTACAGTAGAACCTGCTAAGTGGAACACCTCTGTAAGTGGAACACCTTTGTAAGTGGAACACCTTTGTAAGTGGAACACCTCACATGTGGAACAGTGTTTTTAGAGTCCCATGGCCTATCTACTCCATGTTCAAGAACCTCTGTAAGTGGAGCACTTCCCAAGTGGAACACTTTTTATATAGGTGTTCCACTTACACAGGTTCTACTGTATTTGATGATATTCTCATTTTATTTTATTTGATAGACATTAAGTCTTGTACATGTATATAAGTTGAAGTGTCTTTTTGAATTGTCCTTTGTACTTGTGAACATGTTCTTTTGTAAATATTGTATCAATGTCAAATTCTAGATCTTTCATTGATGTTTAGTACACATTACACTTCAAATCCTAGTCACTGAGCACAATTTACAAAAATGGATTATTAATATGTAAAGAATTTAAATATTTTTCTGGGTATTTCACCTGAAAACACCTGACTCTAGAATTGTTTTTATCATTTTATTTTATATCTAAATCATTTTTCTAGCCAAAAATACAATGCAATGTTTTCAATTACACTGATCCTAAAAAATTGTTAAACTTCAGCTTTTGATAGCCCCACAATGAAGTGTACTGTGTTGGAAGATATTAATATTCGCAGTTGTATCTACCTTTGATCACTACTTATGCCTTATTATAAAAAAATATTACTTTGATCTGAGAGTCTTATAGGCATACATTTAATGTGCAATTACTGTGATTTATGCAGTGAACACCTACCAATAGTAATTAACATATTTAGGTGTTCACTGTACACAGGTTTTACTGTATATAAATTTGTGAATTTATACAAGACAGATTGTTAGCCCTATTAAGTGGACTAATGATGTCATTGTCATAATACAGGTGATATTATTAAACCTGTATTTGTCAATCATTGTATTCTGCCTGTTACATGGTCAGTTAGAAAACAAATTTAGTTTCCATTTAAAAAAAAAATTCAGATTTTTTAAAATGGGTGAAAATATGTAATGGTTCAAGCCATACATAAGGGTTTGATTTATTCATTTAAAGATTAGTTTCAGATGTCATATTGAATTCCCATCCCAATTTAGCTTTGGATTAATAAGTTTAAAATCTATTCTACCCTGTGATTTTACTTTCAGAATGCAAACCCCACGGCAACTATGGGGGTGTTTGTTGTTAGTCACCATGGCAACAACTTATGCAGCATCCAGTAAAGAGCAAGCTGAAAAGATCAAAACACTTCAAAATGAAATCAAAACAATGCAGACAGAAAATCAAAGACTTCGAGGCATGCAAACAGTTGTAAGCCAACTCCAGGAACAAATTAAACTGATGCAGCTAGAGGGCACAAATGTTGGTGCCGAGTCCAATGAACTTCTTGAAAAAGACAACGAGATTGCCCAACTCGTTAGCCAACTTCAGGCGGTGTCTCAAGAAAATGATAAACACAAATCTCAACTAGAGAAACTCACAAAGGAGCTAAGAACAAAGAGTGCTACGGGTGATACCATTGAGCAAAGTTCCACATCAACTACTTCAACATGTACCAAAGAGAAATCAACAATCAAAAACCTACAACAGGAGAACTCTGATTTGAGAAAGGAAGTGAAAAGTGTCAATGATCTTAACATCCAATGGCAGGACAAATCAGAACGATCAGATAAATTCGTCCTAGAAATGGCGTCAAATTTAACACGGTGCCAAATGGAAGCCATCGGGAAAGCTACAGATGTGCGTGTACAATATGAAGATCGTTTAAAAAATGCGAATAAACTCGCGGAAGATTGTAAGTCAGAAAATAAACAGCTGTACAAGGACTTGAGTAATGTAGAGAAGGAATCTTATAAGCAAAAGAAACGAGTGGATGACCTAAATGAACAGTTAGAGGAAATGACAAAGTTGAGAAATGAGGCTCTCCTACTCAACCCAAGAGATCCCCAAGACAGAGATGACATTCAATATGATAAAGAAATTGAAAAGGTTTGTTTGTTTGTCTATGCAAATATAAGTTTTTGGCTGTGATGCTATATACTGGTATGTACTTTATCCAATATTTATTAATACATGGTTTATAAAAGATTTCAATCATATTGTTTTTACAGCGTCACAGGGGTTTGTGGCTGTTTCATTTTTGAAATATTTCATCTTTTTTAGATAAATGAAATATAATTTATTTAATTTCAAGCCTAAAAGAGACCATATTTGGGCATCATTTTCAAAATAGGTCTCATTTTTAGAAAATTGACGGCTTTTGAAAAATGGGCCAATTCTTTCAATTATGTGGGCAAAATTTTCAAATAGGGTCCAATTCATACAGGGATTAAAACCACAATTATTATATTATAAAATAACATTTCATCCTAGCTAACTGCAGAGAAGAGAAAAATTGTTGAGGAATTATGGAAGGAACGAGAAGAGTTTACGAAATACAAAGCAGATGCGGGGAACGCTGTTGCTATAAAACAGAAGCTTGAGAGTTTGGAGGGAGTTGGGGACCTGCATCAGGCTTGTATTGCATCACTAGAGACTGAGAGAAACAAACTTAGGGTTGAGCAACAGAGGAGTTTCATTTGTGAAAGCAGTAAGTTGAATGCACTTTGGCCTTATAATCTCTGATTCTAAGAAATACAAGAAAACCTGTGTAAGTGGAACACCTGTTGTACTTCAAATTAGTGTTCCACTTTGGAAGGCATTCCACTTTTCACAGGTTCATTTTACATAAAACTGTTCAAGGTATCCTGTTATAATATGTTTCACTCTACACCAAAAAATTCAAATCACCTATAACTTGCAATAGACTTCAATAGTAACAACGTAAACCTTCTTTTCTTTTTTAAGCATTGCAGTTTGACAAAACTGGTCATGTAGTAAAGTATTTTAAACTGCACCTTTTTTATAATATGTGTCATGTCACTTTTAACGTGTCATTTCACTTTCTAGGCAACAAATGTTTCCACCCTTTGTACTCATTGAAAATATTTCTAGATAAATGATTGTTCACTGTATCTATAGCTCTTAAGTGTATATTTCTATTTATTGTAAATTTTCATAGTATACTATAGTATTTCCACATGACCATGCTTAAAAATTAACTCCATCATTTTCATTGTACATGTACATGTATATTTCTATCCATTGTACATTTTAATTGTATATTTCTAGATGAACAAACCTACAGATTATGCATTGTATATATTCAATCTCTTCATTGTATATTTCTATTTATTGTACATTTTTATTGTATATTTCCAGATGAACAAACCTACAAATTCTATTTCTTCATAGCTCTTGGTTGCCTTGTAGTGGCAATCACACAACAAATTGTATCAACAGTTCTAAGATCTAATAAGCCAAAGCTGACCATAAAGGACTTAGGCATACAACAGGAGATACAGAAGAGAAAACAAGAAAAGGAGACATTGAATAAAAAATCAAACTCAAAGAAAAGACGATAACTTTGACGATTTTTAGTCTGTTTTGTACTTTGTGTAGGCCTAACATGTAGCCTCAATTATATTCTTTGAGAAATTCTTGATATCAATAAAATTAACACTTAACAATTCCATACAAGAATTTTCAAACAATGTTGATGTTTATTTATGATAACATTATAACAATATAAAGCTGTGCATTACAATGCTATATTTCAATTTGACATCCATTTACTTGTACCACTGGGGTACAGCAGACCCGATGATACAATGAGCCTGCTCAGCATTGTCACGGGTATTTAACCGTATTAGCGAGCTCGACGGTAGGTTCAAACATGTGAACATCCTCAAAGCATGTGCTCACAGTATCATTGTGGCAACACCCGTGTGTACAATACATAAGGAGGTTACAGTAACTCTAGAAAACATCCAATAAAATTTGACAATTTTTGAAAACTTCACAATTTTTCTGAATTTATGAGTGATTCCTCCAAAACCCAGGACTTACAAGACTTCAAAATGATAGTTCAATGAAAATAACATTTTCAAAAAATATGCATGCAAAGTTTATAGTACTAAGTTACATAAAATAAAATGTGTAAAAATTCTAAATAATAAACTGGTGTGTATTTCTCAATTCAATTCAGACCCTGATCATCATCTCTCTAATATGTTAATTTTATATCATCATTATGGGTTTATGGGTCAGCTAAGATTTGATTTAGGTCTAAACTGATAATCTTCAACTTCAGGTTCTGATTGGTCAATTCCTGAACCCATGCTATCACGTAACCGTAACAACTTAGCTGATTTAGCACGTCTACTATGCCCTTTGAAAAAATCAAATTTCTGATTTGGCATCGATTGAGTTTGACTTTTAGATTGCACTTCCTCTTCTACTAGTATTCCTAATTTGGCACTGTCGAGTACCATCTCACGCACTGACCCGTCACGTTGTAAAACAGGCACAGGGGTAAAAGAATTTATTTTATTTCTGAGCACATTGTTTTCCTGTTTTACAACCGTCATTTCTTTTTTAATATCCATAAACTGGTTAAACTTATTATTAGCTTGAAGTCTTTTTTGTAATCTCGTTATCTCAACTGCATCATTTTCCCTCCTCATTTGAAGAACTCGAATATTCTCCTCTTTCTTTTGGCACTGCTGTTGACTAGCTTTTAGATTCGATTTTAAATCAGTTATTTCCACTTCTAATTCGCTTATATTATCTGTTAATTTCTGTGAATGACTTATCCAGATATCTTTGATTTCCTCCGATTTGGAGAGTTTCTTTTTCAGATCATCGATTATCTCATCTTTAGTGTTGTCATGTTTTAATTCCCAGTACATTCCAGTCATTTTGTTAAGTTCATGTTTCTGTGTTTCCATAAGTTTTGTGACATTAACTAACTGTTCGTTGATCTGAAACACATTATAAAATAAATTAAACAAGGCATTAACATGCAAAATGTCACCACCTGCCATTTGTTACAGATGCCACCTGCTGAAAGCCGAATACCATCCACAAAAAAGACTATGACAATATCCCACTTGTGGTGATGAACATAATAATAGGAATATCATATTTCTGTAGAGAATAAAATTTCAAATATCTTTTTTTAGTTCTACTTCTATATTCATATATTAATGATTCTTTGTTGGATGCGGTCCTTGTGAAATTATGTAAGAAATCAAATAAATATTAAATAAAATAAACTAAAAATGAAATAAATATCCTAATTGTGGAGTGAACGATAAATAAATGTGAAAATAACAAAAATTCATGTAATAGGCAATATTATATCATTATTGTAGAAGCTTCATGTATGGTAAAATGTGTTATTTAAATATGTCGTTATTGGGAAATTAACATAAATTTATTTAGAAACAAAACTCTAGAAACACAAGGGAGTATTAGCTTAGATGAGTTAAAGTGTGCAGAAAATTATTTAAGATATACATTAGATAATCAAAAAATTATGTTATGTCACTGTAGAAACATGTAGAGCGAAAATATGTACGTATGTGCACTGTTCAGGTTGAAAATTGGTTAATGAAAACAGTTAAAATCAATTTCTATTAAAAACAGCCAAATTGTTCATTTTAGCAGTGCATCAGTTCAATGTTGTATAAAATGAATTCCAAAAAGGGATAACAAGAAGATTATTAACATTAAATGGTATTTTCTCACACAACAAAAAATGTCCCATCCAACACATTACTCTTACATAATTTTTCTCCGTTCTTAAATTCCGTTCAATGATTTTACAATTGATTTTACAATTGTTCCTTACAGTTTCAACTTCCTTTTTGAGCTTCTCAATCTCGATAAGATTTTCCTGAATGATGTTGCGATACTTCCTGGCCGTTCGTTCTATTTCAACCTTGGCCTCGTCACATTCTTCAACAGCTGCGGCAAGATCTAATGACAAGCGCTACAAAATAACCATATAAGGAAATTAAAAATACAAATTCTAAAAATTGATTCCATTTTAAGACACATTAAAATAATACAAATAATGCTTATTTCATGCTCATGAACACTCACATTTACTAATTTAGGCATGGCATAATGATGTACTTTTCATAGACACTACATACTACTAAAAATATAAATTAAATATATGCAGTACTACTGACATGAGACTCTCTAACATGAGACCCCGATCAATTCTCTCCATACTTATATATTCATGTCATAATACTTTGTTTTTTTCTTGTTCTTGAAGTTTTCCTGTCCATCGAATATTTGCTTATCTTAAATGATGCTCATCCCCCTTCCTCCCCCCCCCCCTATTGACTTATATATTCTTCTTACTTGTGCTCTCGCCTCCTTATATTCTGATTTCTTCTTGTTCTTGGAGTTCTCTTCTCTCAACATGTGCATGTTCTGTTTCAATTTGCTGACTTCAACCATTAACTGAAATTATGCGTATACAATTGAAATACTAAGGATCAACCCAAAATATTAGTGGCCCAGACTACTAGAAACAATATCTTCAATCATAAGGCTCAGATGCTTAACAATCCTCTTAAGTTGAAATACTTGGATCAGTCAAAAATATTAGTGGCCATTATTTGAGGTGTAACTTTAAATTGAAGACTGACAAAACCCTCAGGTATTTAACAGTCACTTTTTCCATTTATATAAGTTATTAATGTAGGAACTTTTTTCTTCATTTCATTTTCATTTAATTTTCATTATTTATTTCAAAATGTACTGTCCATGTGCTATGGTTTTAAAACTGAGGTTAATAAATAAAAAGAATTATACACACCTTATGTTTTTCCTCAATATGTTGATTTATTAAAGCATCTTTTTCCTGGATCTGTCTAGCCATCTAAAACAAGGAGACAATTATATAGAAGCTTGGCTCCTTCGAAAGACAATATGACAAATGTTGATATGGTTCCATTTTAGTGACACCATATTTCGTATTTGGTAATTTGCCAAAAGTAAACATTTTAGGCAAAACCCAAAAAATGACAAATTGGAATGCATATTTAATTTTAAAGTTAAGAATTCAAGGAATCATTGAAATGAAATGATAATTGTTTAAATTAACTATTATTACATCAATATGATTTATGAAGTGATATCAAAATCAAACTATCTAGTCATGAATACAATTTATGCCCAATCATGCAATTAGATAGTAGATAAAAGCAATATCCTTACCATATAGGATAACCAATTTACTTACTAGTAGTTTAGCTATCTTCCAGTCATTTTCACTTTCTTTCATATATCTTATTGTATCAGCCATCTACAAGTACAAAAATATACATCTACATTAATCAATTGCATATATTATATTCATTGATGTATCTGACATCTATATATAAAGAGTAAGAACATCAACAAATACATAATCAAAGGACCAGGTATGATCATCATGATAAACCATGTCATCTCATTTCTTCCCAGCCCTGAGATGAGTTTCAGGTGAAACAGAAAGATGCTATGATTATCAGAATGAGGTATGATATGGAAAATGATTTTAGAAAGTCATATATTTGACCATGAGTATTTTCTCAACATAAATTCAACATGTCTTACTTTGAAGAAAACATATTATTCTAATAAATAGCGTTAAAGGACAAGGTGCAATTATTGGCAAATATCCCTATGGTCAAAATGAATCATTCGTAGGTGTAACATGAAGAATAAAATGTCATATAATACTTTGGAAAATATTAAAGTGCTCGGACACACATAAGCTGAGATAGGGATCATTTCGTTCAGTAAGGTTGTATTGACTTAAATGGGGCTGTGCACCATTGACTTAACATGAGGATATCAGCAGATCCCAATAGAGGCCATTGGTTTCCATTGATTATCACAGAAATACCAAAAATACACTATGACCTGAATCGATTGCAAACTTAATAATTTCACAATACGACACAAATGGTTTATCTCATCAAATGTGCAAATATGAAGTTTGCAATCGATTCAGGTCATACTTAAAATTAAAAGATTGTACATTTTTCATCATTTTTTCCCCTACAAAATGGATATAGAAAAATGCTCCAAAAACAACTTTACACTTATCAAATATCATACAAGTTTGTAAAACCAAAGATTATACTATTATATTTCATTATGTAGTAACATATTTGGATAAGATGCAGGGATGCGTAGGATGTAAATGGATTTTGACAGACACAAAAATACTTCCTGGTTTGGAATCTATGCCTCTACACTTCATGATTGAATTATGACCCTAATAATTGACCTATACATCAATACAGTGCTGAATATAGGTCAACAAGATACTAGTGTCCATATAAATGTAATAATTGAAGCAGAATACTCATTTTGAAAAATCAGATGAATTATTTTTTCCCATGGGGAGATCCCAATGGAGGGTGTATAAGGTCCTTTATGATCAGAACAAAGTTACGGTCAAAGGTATGACTTTCTAAAATCATTCGTCATACAATACTTGGTCCTTCACCCTTTGTATCTTATATCTATTTACCCTGAATCCCCATACCAGCCTTTGACAACCACAGATAATTTTACAATTTTGATGCTTGGAAGATCTTAATGGTCTCAATTGTTACTGTCACAGCCTATCATTGGAATGTGAAATGAATGTCCTATGAATATTACACACATGTAACATAACATAACATAACATAACATAACATAACATAACATAATGTTAACTTATAAATACACATTCTTTTAAGGTTAAGTTTTATTTCTTTGCATAATTTTATATAACAATATTTAATATACTAGGAAGGCCGAGTTACTGAACTGAACTGAAATACACATTCTGAATCTGATCTGGTGATTCTTAATCATACAATTTACCTTTTGTTTTAACCAATGTAAATATAGTAGTTCCAATTGATTTATACAATGTATTGTTGCATTTTATAACTTTAGTTGCATAATGAAAATACAGTATTATTTAGTACGTACATGTACAATGATGATCAATGAACCATACTATTTGATTAATGAGATTTGTATGGACTAGGATCTGTTGAAAATACATTGTGAGTGTAAATACAAATTGCAATTTATAATATCAAGTCATTGGTGCATCAAACATTAAACAATTTTTATTAAAGGAGTAATATGCCCTTAACAATTCTTATTTTTGAGAAACATTTAGCTTAAACAACCCAAAAAGAGTTCTCTCGGACAACCACATTTAGAATTTTATCTATTTTATGATGTTGTACTGTACAATTAAGAGTTCATTTGGTACAAATATCAATACAAGCATAGAAGCAAAGAAAAAGTTCAAACATTTTTCTGAGTAATGCGGTCAGTTAGCTTCCCAAAATTGAGAGAAATATGCAGCATAAAATATAGGGATAAGTAGTAGGATGTAGATCTTGTGAAGCCATGGCCGCTGTATGACCATCGTAGAGCAAATGTGACTAAAGCTTAAATAAATGATACCCTGTCACACATTCGTGTTCAAAAATTTTGTTCAAATGATATTTCATATTGTTACATAATTTATGGCCATGCCCTAATGATCGATGGATGTGCCATAATGAATTTATAAAAAAACAAATAAATAAAAAAATTGATTTGGGCACAGCTTTCCTTTAACATAGTAGTATTTCTTGTTTAACAAAAAATTAATCATGCTACGGATATTTAATCAAGGTCAGCTAAAAACTTTTTCAATTTACTTATTTATTCATCTTATCGATATCTAATATTGCTTTGTGCTTCAAATATGTCTGATGCTGATATGATTCACGATGACAATGAAGACATTCATGTTCTGGAGGACAATGATGATGTTAATAATGATGAGGACAACAGCATTCAAGGTGATGATGATACAAATGCTGATCTCCAAAACCAAGAGTCCAAAGAAAGAAGAAAGTACTTGATAACAAAAACAGTCGTCCTTGGTATAATCTGGATGACCCGGGTGAGAAGTTATTCATTTTTGAAAACCATATACAGGGTGCTCCGAAAATACTGGAACATTTTCCTTGATATACTCTATTTTTTATTGTATAAAATAACATTTTCATTACTATAAACATCTACAAAAACTTGAAAAATGTTTCACTTTTTGGGTCACCCCGTCTTACATGTCTTATATGTTTAGAAGTTTTTCATGAAAACATGATGAAAATTCTACATTTTTCATTTTGTCATATTACAGGGGTGTTACACAGGGGTGACAATTGCAACTATACCAGACCTAAAGTTAAGGGTTGGCTCAGATATTGAGGAGTTCTCCAGGGCCCTAGCAGTGGGTGGCATTGGGCTCTTTATCTCAGCCCCTCTTGGTGGTGTACTGTCAGATAAGTGAGTAAAGTCATTTCTATGAATATTGAGATAAAAAGAGATCATTGTTTATTGAACCATGGTCAAATACTCCATCCAATCAGATTGCTTATTTTTCTGTTCATAATTATTAAATATTCACACATAAGTTAGGCATGAAATATCATATAATGGCCAATCAGAACACAGTATAGCCATTTTATATTTTAAACAAATGAATGGTTAATGAAGGAAAACTGTAATAAGAGAAAACATTCCTTGTGAAAAACTATAAATAGCAGCATATTGATTCACCAAGTAGGTGCTGATGCAGGTCAAAATGTTGTTCTACTTGTTAATTTTTTCAAAATCTTTTGATATGCGTGAGAAAATTGAAGCACATGACTCAATGAGCTATATAAAACATCTATCTATAAATTAATTTTTTAACACTTATTAACATAATACATATAAATTAATTCTTATCCATTTTTCATGTTTTGTGAAGAGTCAAAATATTATAGTTGGATTGCAACATTGAATAAAAGTTAAGAATATACATGTAGTCTAATAATGAACTTGTGACTGATTCATCAATTTGAGAAAACAAATAAAATAACCAAATCACTATGTCATATCTCAATTGCAGATGGGTGAGAGGAAGGGACGCCCAGATCATTACCTTTATGGTACTTGCTGCAATCCTCCTTGTGGTTAGGCCCTGGATAACTAATCTGTGGATGTTTGGAGTCATAATGTTCTTAGATGAATTCATGAATGGCATATATGCCCCAGGTGAGAACTACAGGGTGGGCCCAAAAATGAAGCGCTCTAATATTGGAATAACTTAATTAATTATGATAGAATCTTCTCAAGTTTTCCTGTCATAAGAGTGTTGTGACAGTAGTGTATTGATGTGGGACAATTACTTTGGAATCAGGTTTTCCATGAAGCCATGACCTTCAGGCCCATAGCCAGAATTTGCAAAGGGGCGGGGGGGTCACTTTTTGAAAAATTCCAAGGGGGGTTCACTTGTGACAATTTTGGTCCAAAAATGACCAAAATAACTTAAAAAGTGCTCAGAATGGTGAAAAACTGCATGATTTTGAAAGATTTTTTGGCCAGGGGGGGGGGTTGCATCAAATTTTTCAGTTACTGATTATAGCCCACCCTGTATGTAGTGTATAAATTGTATAAGTAGTAAACCCAGTCCATTCTAATTTGATTTTTCCCATTTACCATCCTGGTTTACACATTTTTACACATTTTATTCCAGGGAAGAACAACATGCTAGACAAACTGTGGGGTTCTGGGATAGGACTACCACGCCATCTAATGTCCGTCTGCTGGATGCTGGGTCATATCATCTCTCCACTGATATGTCTGCCATTTTTCATGAGAAAAGATGGTGGTATTGATTGTACTTCAAACGACACCAGATGTCTTAATTCTATAAATAAATGGATACACCACACTCACATTGGCAACTCCACTCATTTTGGCAACAACACTCACATTGGCAACTACACTCACATTGTCAACGGAGCCAGCTATGATGCAACCAATGCCTCATCTCAAATTTTGAATGATACAGAACATATGTTTTCTTATAGCAGCAATACACTTGGCAGCATTACTAGGATACGCTCTCCAATTGAGTACCCATATATCATCATAGGCATTTGGACATTCGTTCCTATCATGCTCTTAGCATCATTCTACTACCATGACCGGACATCAGGCCAGAAATATTACACACAAAACGGCACTATAAGGAAGGCCACATTTAAAGAGAGGACTCCAACATGGAGGTCCATATTCTCACCAAAGACCTGTGGACAAGGGAGCTCATTGTTTGGGGTAGGAATCATCATTTTGCTTTGTCTTTATTACTTTACACTGAGTTTCAAAATGAAGCCTTTCTATGAATTTATCATGGTGTATGCTACAGAAAAAATAGGAATGTCAAAGGCACAAGCTGCAGTAATGATGGTAGTTGGACGAGTAGTCATCATAGTATCGGGGACCATATGGGGCACGCTGACCCGTTTCTTCCCAATACAAGTTTTACTATTCATCAAGATTTTCACCGAGCTTGCAATTGTGATCTACTTCAATTACGTCGATATCTACACCAGTGGGCAACTCTATGGGTTCATTGTAGCCATAAGTATGTTTGGGGCTACTAACTGGGCAGCTGGGATAACATGGGGTCTTAGATACCTCGAGTTCTCATCTCTCGTGTATACGTTCATAGAACTCAGTGGAGCGTGTGGCGGGATACTCTCCACCTGGGTGACTGGCTATGTCCTGGAGTATGGAGGCCATGAGGCAATGTTGAGGCTGCAGCTGGGAGGTAATGTGCTACTCTGTATAGTGCTGATGGTTATGCAAGTGGTGGGATCATGCAAGGGAGAGAAGTTTAAGAACACAGAGGCAGGTGAGACACAGGTGAATGATCCTCAAAAGAGGTCAGCATTAAAAGTGGAGAATGCCTGAATGTGTAAAGCAAAACCATATTGTAGAACACTCCGTAAGTGGGGCACTTTATGAAAGCTATCATTGAGAAAATAAAGATCTAACAGCATCAAAATTGTAGAATCACCTGTGATCGTCAGAGGCTAATTTGGCTGACTAATGTTGATAAAGGGTAGGCAACACCCGCATGTACCAATAACAACAAAAAATACATGTATTATAATGCAAAAATATTAATAAAATCAAAATCAATGCAAAAATTGTAATCATGAATGTTACATCCAGATTAATGTTTTCATGGATTCAAATATGTATTATGGTATAAAGCAAAGTAACCAATAGAATAAATCCATTTTATCAACCTACCTCGTCATTTTTATCGCAGACCTTTTTGTACTTCGCCTCAAGTTCCTTCATTTCTTCAATAGTCTTCTGGACAAATTGTAGATCTTTGACTCGTTGTTTGCGTTCAGCTTCACCATGGAGACTGTCCCAGGGACACGGTAGCCCCCCACAGTGACCACACTCATCCTTGCCAACCCATCTGCATAGAAGTCATTTCGACTTTAATAATGATATATGCTAAGGGAAGAGCTCATTTGACATTCTTAATTGAAAGAGTTCATTTGACATTGTTAATTGAAAGAGCTCATTCGACATTGTTAATTGAGAGAGCTCATTTGACATTGTTAACTGAGAGAAAGAGCTCATTTGACATTGTTAATTGACAGCGTTCATTTAACACTGTAAAATGAGGAGCTCAATCAACATTTTTAATGAAAATGAGTTCAATTGACACTGTTAATTTGTCACTGTTGGATCATTGATGGCTTGGATGGTTGTGATCTGTTGTCTTGTAATTTTCGAGACACCAAGAAATTAATTAACTAGAATTTCTAAGAAATGTGTAAGTTACAAAACAATTGTTAAGACTAAAATTCTCTACCTTTTCTTGGCACCCTCAAGAGCGACATCAAAGTTTCCAACCCATGCCCCATCACCTCCATCTACAGGCCCCCTCCAGTGTAAATCTTGCTTGTTTTCCTCCCCATCCTTCCAGTATATCAGGGGGTTGGGGCTCCATGAGACTTTCTTCTTTTCGGGACTTGTTTTTCCACTCTCCATCTCCCAGGTTAACAAATGGGAAGATGGCCAATATCACTATTACAACTATAAGCTTTAGGAGACTGCATTTGTAGCATTTTCTTTTACCTCATCAGAACTTCACACTGGATGTTATATTCATCATACCTAAGAGTCCCTGAAAGTATTTATACATATTAAGCATAAACTGGTCTTTCTTGGTTAAATCTGACAAATATTTACGATCAATAAATCATAATATTTACAATCAACCAACATGTTCTGTCATCTATAATTTGAATTCAAATACTTCAGTTGTTTAATTTACAGAAATGTGAATTTTCTATAAATATTAACAACTACATTAAAGAAAAATAAGGATTCTGAAATTCAAACAATACAGGTACTTAATATAATTGCTCTCTGAGTAGTGAGTACGTCTACTGAAAACTATTAATATAATTCTAAATTCAAGTGATTTTAAAATATGTATTTGTTTAATGGTAAACAAGGTTTATACCCTACCTTAAAATACATAGCATTCCATCAACAAATATCAATGAACTTTAGCTTGGTTACATTTATTATAGAAACATCAATATAAGAACATTCATTCATTATAAAAATGTTCCTATTTATACCTGTACTGATATATTCATTGATTTCTAATGTAAGAAATGGTTCTATCATAGGTCATTCATTGTTAGCCTTTATCCAAAGTGATATTGGTAATGGATAAAATATTTTTCATAAAATCAAAGACGAGTATTTACTCCAAACTGTATCATACATGTGGCCTTAAAGTCTAAAATCCTTTTTGTCTTTTATTGTTTTAAGTGAGTAGGTTTCAGTCTTTAGGTATTTATGATATACATGTATCTTTTATTATTGAAACATAAATGTATATTATGGATGTGCATTTTACCTTTCTGAAGACTGGGTCCTTCTATTTAGTTTTATGTTTTATCCATTGCAATTGAATGATAGAAAATGTTATCGAGCTACCTAAAATGTTATATTTCTCCAACTGTAGGTACATGTATGTTATATGGTTCTCTCGTGAAAAAATTCATTTGTGGTAAATTATTTTCAATAAAACTTCATTTTACCTTTCTTGAGGCTGTTTCCTTTTAAGATCAAATGCAAGAATATCGCAGACTAATATACCCGTCTCAAGAATGCATAAAACCAATTCATCATACAATGTACATACAATTGAAAAATTGAACAATCCAGTTAGGCACTAAGCTTAACACAGTTGCTAACTTACCCTAACAATAAACAACGGTTACTTTTTTCAAATTTTGAGAAAATATGTAAAAAGAATGAAATAATGAATAAAACATCAAAAGTAAATAGACTCATTAACCTTTCCTGTATCTTTTTTGGAGAATATTAATACTCTTTAATCACAAATCGAGAAATTCATGGTAAGGTATCTTGTCTCAATAGAAAACATACCCACTCATAAGAAAACACCATGACGGTGATGTTTTGAAATGCAAAATAGAGTGGAAATGAGTGGAATGAGCAAGAAATAAATTTAACATGCATGCAGTCAACACTCCAAATTGTATAAAAATGTAAGAAAATCAGGCACATCATTCAAATTTTACAGAGAAAAAGCAAGAAATAAGCAAGAACATCATGGTCTTCCCTTGGGATATTTATGTTACATATTATTTCAATTCTATAGTAAGTGCTCAATTCATTGTATCAATATAAACAATCTTTTGAAATGGTTTTATATTTTCTATAGAATCAACCTGTCAGATACATAAATCCACAATAAGGTTTAATTTCCCAATAGAGATTATTCAAACAACTTTGAAATAACCTTGATCTCAACAGGAAGCCCTTGCAATTCTTGAACCTACTAGGTATGCAAAAATACACCAAGATTCATAGTTGTCATTCATTTTTTCTCTCTAAAATTTGAATGAACTGTCAGATTTTCCACCATATCTATATGATTTAGAGTGTTCACTTCATACCCGTTTACTTTATTACTCACTGATTGCACTCTTTATCACTGTATTTCAGGCCCGTAGCCAGGGGGAGGGGGTTCGCAGGGTTCAGGTGAACCCTCTACTCTGGACAAAAATTCTTTCAAAATCATGCAGTTTTTCACCATTTTGAGCACTTCTCAAGTGATTTTAGCCATGTTTGGACCAAAATTGTCAAACGTGAACCCCCCTGGAAATTTTTGAAAACTGAACCCCTCTTGGCAAATCCTGGTTACGGGCCTGGTATTTTGTGTGTGAGAACAATGATCATCATTATAGGGCCAAGACAGTTTGTATTGACAAGGAAAGTACATACCGTATTCTCTCTAATGGGCACACAGTGCAGCTGCAAAGTTAAATTTAAAAGAGTAAGATATTGAGAGATTCCAATAAGCACACATACACTGTTCAACATTTTTAGAAAAGATATCACCACTAATCTCTTTTTAGTTGTCATAAGTACAGCCCCTGTATTTCTTTCTCTGTATCAAATAAAATCATCAATCAATATAATGTTGAGTAAATAATCGAAAAATGCATTAAAGTTCTTCAGTCCATATTCAACATAAAAATTATACGTGCGCTCATTCGAACTTTGCACTCGTTATGTGATTTAAGCACAGTATAAAGTATAATATCAAATTAGATTAAAACATTTTTGAGCATGTATATAAATTTTTATTACTTAAATTGTTAAGCATGAACAAAATGGTATTTTAAGGGACAACATGCCCTAAATAAAACCACTAACATCTTATGGGCTTCCCCCCTAATTTACTTAATTATGTTTATGGGGATAAATTGATATATTGGCATTGCCCCTGTATAGAGTCTATAGTGAACACATTTTGAGCCAAAAAGGCGTTCACTGAGGTGAGGTGTTCACTACAGAGGGATTTTATACAGGAGTCAATGTAAAATGTGTCTTGAGTTGGTGTTCACTAAACACAGGTTTTCACTAGAGAGGTGTTCATGATCAAATAAGACAGGTTTTACTGTATTTTTACAGCAACATTTTATAATGTAGGACTTATAGATGATACTAAATGATTATATAAAATGAATAAGTAATATTTCAGTTCACATTTAATATATTTTTACAGAGATTGTGCATAATATATGTAAACATTGTGTATAAGTATTGTAAACAGGATGGCCATGTTAAATTTTCATATCGAAATGTAAACTTTTCCCCTGCTCCAGCATGAATATTTTATTTTTTAGCTAAAAAAATAAAAAAGACTCTTATTCACAAAATTTCAGTAGTTTTCAATTCTGCAAAGAAAAAATGAAATGTCATGTGTACTCAGAAAATCCTATGGCAGCAGAGAACAGTGTAAAATGTTGGAAGCAATATTTTCCAAAGCATACTGTTATACCCCTAACAATTCTGATTTTGTTATCTGGAAAAATAATTAAGGCTATCTGATCAAATATAGATAGTTGTTAAATATTTAAAATACACAAATGTTCAAATTCATTAAATCTGAAAAAGGAACACTTTTTGTATTATTGTAAAATTAAAAGCAACGTCCTTCAATAAAATCAGAATTGCTGAACTTTTTATACATCAAATAAAAATAAATAAAAATTGGCATGACATATATTTTGTCAGCAAATAATATTGCAACTGTGAAAATTCTTAGTGAGTTACTCTTGACTCATACATGTGTCTAATCTTTGTTGCACCATTAAGTGATATATTGCATCTTTAAGATATATATTGCATCTTTAAGCTAAAAATTGCATCTTTAAGATATATATTGCATCTTAAAGCTAAAAATTGCATCTTTAAGCTATATATTGCATCTTAAGATATATTAATTTAAGACTGAATAATAATATAGGAAAATGTTTGTGGCACTTCACACAATACATAAATAGCACCAAGATAATTCATGAACAAAATGCATGTAGTAGTCTGTGCATACTTATGAACATGAACATAATCGTGAGCTACATACAGTACCTCTAGTATGCATAATTGCACAAGATAAAAAAAAAAAAAATAAGCAGTCCAGGTTCAAAGCTATTCATTCTTTCAGTCAAAGAGCTCACAATAGAGAAACCCGTAATGTTCTAAAAATAATCCAGTGTCTCCAATCATTTTGATTACTGCTCCAATGTATTTGCAATTCCCATGAGAAAATGGCCATGGTTCAATTTATTTTGCATTTTCAAGTATGACATTGACCATGACCTTTTGAGTGGGAATATACGACATCAGTACATGTAGATGTATATGCATATATGTTTTTCTGAGATTAACTCAGATATCTGTATTGCAATTATATGTAAAAGCATTACTATGTCATAATTCCTATGTTATTGATATGATTTCATAAAACGCTTTGTGTAGTTGCCGGTACTATTTTCTGGGACTATTTTCTTATTCTGAGCCTCAGTTTGATATCATCACCTTCAACTTTCAAGACTAGACGCACACTGGGTATAATCTCAGGAGTATCATCTGGTAAGGAGAGTTCATATCTGGAATATATAGATAACAAGTGCTACATGTAATATAATACAACTTTTGAGAAAAGCAATTTCTGAAAAAAAAGATTTGAAAGATATAACTTAAATGTACTTGTAAATACAAGTTTTGATTAACTTAACTTTTGTATGATATAATGTTTGAATAATACAGCTTACTTTATATTACTCAAATCTGAATATTCAAAAGTTATATCTCTAATAAGAGATATATTCAGCTTTGAGTAATATAAAGTTTGAATACTACAGACATTGGAAAATACATCTATTGAATAATGAGGCATACTGTTTTGATTTTTTAGAAAAATTGATCCATTATATTTTCAAAAAAGTCAATCTTCAGTGCACTTACTTATGTAGTAACCTGGCAAGTAAAACCTTCTCTTCTGCAAGGGCAAAATTCTGACCAATACAATTTCTGAAAAAAAAATGAAATCAAAATCTCAAAAAACCAGCTGCAACATAGAATCCAGTAAAACAACTACAATGTAAAATTGAATATGTTTATGCTTAATATTGTGATTGTCATGTTTATTTCTACAAATTTTCCCATTTTTGTGAATATTTTTAGATTCTCATGCAAACCATTCAAAATGTGAATGAACTACAAAATATAATGGCATTTTTGTACTATTTTTGGTGTCTACTACAAGCTTGTTAGTGTTTATTTTATTCCTTGCAGATTTCAATCTTTCCACTCTTTCTTTATTTTTTAAGATATTAAGATTTGAAGTTTACCTAGGCCCAGCAGAGAAAGGAATATATCCAAAAGAGTCAAAGTCCTTCATCTTGTCAGGGTGGAAACGCTCAGGTTTAAATTCCTGAAAATATTCAAGGAAATTTAGAGTATAACCTGCCTGATGTGAACACTGGGACTGAACAGAACCAGAAGTGTTCCTGGTAGCAGGTGTTCACAATTCTTTCAAGGTTTCCTAATAACATATGTGAGTCAATAGGAGAATACAAAATTGGGTCTATGTGAGTCAATAGGAGAATACAAAATTGGGTCTATGTGAGTCAATAGGAGAATACAAAATTGGGTCTATGTGAGTCAATAGGAGAATACAAAATTGGGTCTATGTGAGTCAATAGGAGAATACAAAATTGGGTCTATGTGAGTCAATAGGAGAATACAAAATTGGGTCTATGTGAGTCAATAGGAGAATACAAAATTGGGTCTATGTGAGTCAATAGGAGAATACAAAATTGGGTCTATGTGAGTCAATAGGAGAATACAAAATTGGGTCTATGTGAGTCAAAAGGAGAATACAAAATTGGGTCTATGTGAGTCAATAGGAGAATACAAAATTGGGTCTATGTAAGTCAATAGAATACAAAATTGGGTCTATGTGAATCAATAGGAGAATACAAAATTGGGTCCAAGAAAATATATTCACATTGAGAGGCATGTGGATTAGAGAATTGTTTGGGTATACACGTTTTACTGTACTCGTATTTGTTTGCAATCTTCCTTGTCTGTTAGTATCTGAAGCTATTCTTTGCTTATTTCTTATAAGTTCCCTTCCCAGTCTTCTCGGAATTTGAATTATTGATAAAAATTCAAATGAAATCACGTCCAATTTTTTTTGTAAATATAAAGAAACAGGGTAAAAGATAGAGGGGTCCAAAATAGCATAAAAAGAAAGGCAGAAAAGCTCACCTCAACATCTTCTCCCCATATGTCAGGGTGTCTATGCATGGCCCATATACAAAGACGGACATTTACTCCAGCGAGAACTTTCTTCCCATCTATTACAACATCATCATCTAAGCAGCGAGATATGAATGGCACAGGAGCATACAGGCGCATTGTTTCTTTCATAAATAATGTCAGCAATTGCAGTTTACTCAGATCTTCCCTGTAGAATAAAACACGAAGCTTTGTGCTAATAAAGTAATGATAATCTAAGGAATAGTCATGAGAAACAATAATTTAAGGCATAGTCATGAGAAGTTATGATTTAAGGAATAGTCATGAGAAGTGATAATTTAAGGAATAGTCATGAGAAGTGATAATTTAAGGAATAGTCATGAGAAGTGATAATTTAAGGAATAGTCATGAGAAGTGAAAATTTAAGGAATATTCATTAGAAGCGATCACAAAATAGTGATAATTTAAGAAATAGTCATGAGAAGTGATCATAAAATGATGATAATTTAAGAAATAGTCATGAGAGGTGATCATAAAATAGTGATAATTTAAGGAATAGTCATCATAAAATAGCCATAATTTAAGAAATAGTCATGAGAAGTGATCATAAAATACTGATAATTCAAGAAATAGTCACGAGAAGTGAGTATAGAATAGTGATAATTTAAGAAATAGTAATGAGAAGTGATCATAAAATGATGAGAATTTAAGAAATAGTCATAAGAGGTGATCATAAAATAGTGATAATTTAAGAAATAGGCAATATAAAATAGTGATAATTCAAGAAATAGTCATGAGAAGTGAGTATAGAATAGTGATAATTTAAGAAATAGCCATGAGAAGTGATCATAAAATAATACTAATTTAAGAAATAGTCATCATAAAATAGTGATAATTTAAGAAAAAATCATGAGAAATGATCATAAAATAGTGATAATTTAAGAAATAGTTGTGAGAAGAGATAATACAATAGTGACTGAGACTGAGCATTTGTTTATTGTATACCAGAAGAAATATTCCTGAAAATGTTAGACTGGTCCATGACATGGATCAAAATTGCTCAAATACCAAGATACATCCCTAAAAATTTCAGGTCAATCCATCAAATGGTTTAACTTGAAACCTGTAGACAAGACTTCACGGACAAGATCTTAGGATGGAAAATCCAAAAATGCTTACAAATTTTGCAGATTTTTCCAGACAGGCGGACACATTGGAGCTGTAATATGGATATGTAATATGTCTCAGTGATTCTGACACTATATTACCCCTCAAATGGTTTGGCTGGAAAAGCCGGGGCAGACAAGATTTCAGGACGAAAAATCTAAAACGGCTGCCTCAACATTCACCCAGAATGCCCAAAAACTAATCAGTTCAAAACTTTTATATGTAGAGACATCCCTGAAAACTTCAGATAAATCCCTCAACTGGTTTGGCTGAAAACCTGTAGACAAGATTTATCAGGACGCTCGCCCACCCAAGAGCAGACCTGACCGCCCATCCAGCAATCTGATCACAATATAGCATCCAAAGGTGCGATAAATATCAGATGGAGCTAGTTATGTCCTATATTGTTACTTTTGATATATAGAGTATCCCCATATTGGATTGAGCGGCCTTATTTGAAATTACTTCTCAAACACAAGGTTCTATCCCCGTAAGGCAAAAGGCTACAAAATCAGAACACATCCTGTCAACCATTTTAGTAATCACAATGACAAACAAATAAACAAACAAACAAACAAATGAATGGAGGGACAGATGAATGGATTTATTTATATACATGTATGGTTACTTTTGATATATAGAGTATCCCCATATTGGTCAAAATTTGAACGCATCCTTTCTACCAGTTTTAGTAATCACCGTGACAAACAAACAAACAAACAAACAAACAAACAAACAAACAAACAAATGAATGGAGGGACAGATGAATGGATGGTTGGATGAATGAACAGACAGCTTTTTTAAATCATTGAACTTCAGTTAAATAATAATACAACATAATTTTTTCATTTGTTTAAACAACAAAGTTAAGTGAGCATAAAGTGTCAATAATAAGTTAATATTTATATTTCCTACAATTTATACCAACATGTCAAAATACAGGAGCATTCAGTAGGAGTACGTATGTGCAAAATAGGGTAAGAGGATTTTATATGTTTAAATATGTGCAAAATAGGGTAAATATGTGCAAAATAGGGTAAGAGGATTTTATATGTTTAAATATGTGCAAAATAGGGTAAATATGTGCAAAATAGGGTAAGAGGATTTTATATGTTTAAATATGTGCAAAATAGGGTAAATATGTGCAAAATAGGGTAAGAGGATTTTATATGTTTAAATATGTGCAAAATAGGGTAAATATGTGCAAAATAGGGTAAGAGGATTTTATATGTTTAAATATGTGCAAAATAGGGTAAATATGTGCAAAATAGGGTAAGAGGATTTTATATGTTTAAATATGTGCAAAATAGGGTAAATATGTGCAAAATAGGGTAAGAGGATTTTATTGATAAAAGAAAAGAATTCTTATTTTCTTAAGTTTGTAGCATCTTTCTTAATGGCCAAATACATATACAATAGAAAAGGCATAACTGTACATTCACTAAAATAAACAATACAAAATCTAATCAGAAAACAAATTTGTTTCTATTGATTCAATAAATTACTTATTTCCTCAGGTACATCAAGTTACTTGTACTTGTTCTGAGCAGTTCGTTAATGCCAACAAGTCATGGAAGAATAGGATACAACATAAATTGTGTAGTAAATACTATTTACCCATGTGAGCTAATAAATGGAGGGACAGATGAATTGATGGTTGGATGAATAAACAGACAGCTTCTTGATATCACTGAGCTTCAGTTAGATAATAATCTATCATCATTTTTTCACTAATGTTTAATCAACAAAGTTAAGTGATCGCAAAGTCGCAGTGTTAATAATTCAAGTTAATATTTATATTTCTAACAATCGCTACCAACGTGTCAAAATACAGGAGCATTCAATAGGAGTATTATGTGCAAAATAGGGTAAGAAGATTTTATACATTTAAATTTCTTGTATGGAAGAGTTCTTATTTTCTAATTGTAGCATCTTTCTTAATGGCCAAATACATAAACAATGGAATGGCACAACTGTATGTTCACTAGGGGTGGGACGGATAACCGAAATACCGAAAAAACCGCGGTTCATAGCCTTCGGATCGGTTTTCGGATCACCGCCCTACTTTCGGATCAGCTTTTCGGATCGTTTTCTGATTAATATTTCATTGGTCAAGTATCAATAAAACAGTTAAAAACACTGTTTTACAGCAACATTTTTGATATTCCTAGTCCCTACCTTGTCTGTCTTGTCTGTTGCTAGCTCACTCGTTTACTAGATTTTTTTCGTATCCGCGTATTCGTATCCCTCGGTAATCAATCATGTGATCCCTGGTACTATATTCTTTAGTCATGTATTCTAAATAATATGTATTGTTCATGAAATACTATAACATAAAATTCCATTTCTAAAATATTGTGAAAAGTCAGCAGTGAAGTCAGAGACAAAGCAGCTAATCATGTCAATCAATACAAATCCTTAAAATGAATGAACGGAACCGAAAAAACCGAACCGACGGCTGATGATCCGAAAACCGAACCGAAACGAACCGTCCCATCCCTAATGTTCACTAACATAAACAATGTAAAATCTAGTCAGAAAACAAATTTGTTTCTATTGACTCAATAAATTTCTGATTTTCCCAGGTACATCAAGTTACTTGTTCTTGTTCTGAGCAGTTCATTAATGCCAACAAGTCATGGAAGAATAGGATACAACAGAAATTGTGTAGTAAATAGTACAGCACAAGTTGAGAAGTATGACAGGGTATTTGTGTTTGTTGGGGAGTTCAAGGAACTTGTCTTTAAAAAACAACCGTGGCCAAAGTCATACATTGAGCTTCATAAGTTGGCAGGAAGAACAACAAGGAGCCAGGTTATACAAGAAGGTATAATTTTTTAATTCAAAAACATAATCACATTTAATTTGCAATTCAGACAAAGCTAGCCATCTATCGAAATTCAGCAAATTAGAACCTAATATCAAATAAACTGCATTCTTAATTCTACAACAGAATCCATGCATGAGTATCTTTAGATTCAGTGAAATTGATTACCCTATTAAAGGTGCAACAATTAGTGCGGGGGGCCATTCAACGATTATCGACCAGTGTCAAAATATATTTAAGTTTGGATATTTCATCAAGACTATCATATATTTCTATTATCTACAAAGAAACCCCTGGGTGAACATAATGTCAACTGATATTCCTCTTGAAGCGTGGTGGGTCTTAAAATCTATAAGTGGGACTCCCTTTATAGAAGCTTTCAACTGAATTTACACTTCTTAATGCTGAAATTGATAGTTTATCCTACATTTTAAGAAAATAGGTATGTCAAAGAAGATGCTAAGCCAAATATTGACCTGATAGCGCAGAAAAAATAAACATTTTCGAATTTTCTCTCTACAGTCCTTGTTGTCCCTTTAATTTTGCAATCTCAAGATGGCAGTTGAGTGAAAACCTATTAATAACATCATAAAGAATAGCAAGGCAGGTGCTTATGCAGGTCAAATGTCAAACTTTACAAAACTGTTGAAAAAGTTTCCTTGTGAAAAATCAATTCATTTATGTGATTCCATGCAAAATATTTTCCAATGTGTTCATGACTCAATGAATTGTATATGATTTCACACACTCATGTTTTGTATCGTACACTTTGAATTCAGCCTATCACCCTCATTCAAAGTATTAATACAAAACATGCATGGTTTAAATCATCTACAATCAGTACAATTCATTGAGTCCTGGGCTTAAATCCTCCTTTACGTGTATGTCATACACGCCCGGTGATCGTGAATATGGGACGGAGGGGGGGGAGCAGGCAATTTCTGCCAGGAAATTCAACAAATCTGGAAGATTTATTTTTTCAAGAAAAAGTTTACTATTGAATTGCTAAATGGATAGGCGCACGGTATGGTAGAATATGTTAGGTTTTCTGGGATTTTTTCTGAAACGATACGCATCTAAGGTATGAGATCTATTAAAAAAGGCGCAAGGCCATCAACAGGCACAAATCAACGTTTTTGCTATAAATCAAGCAACAATGGTCTGGGCAACCTGTAATAAATACTTGTAAGTGATGTTATCATACCTAAATTAATGTCATTGCTGAATTTATAAAATAAGTTTCCATATGTGAAATAAAAAATAATCGAAAATAATGAATTTGGGACGGAGGGGGGAGGGGACGGAGGGGTGGAGCAATATGTATATAAGACATGATTAGAGATGTTTCGCGACTTTAAGTCCTTTTACTCCAAATGTCCCCATTTTTCAGTCTCCAGGGGTATATCATCCAGTTTCTTACTAAGTTAATGAGTTCATTTTTCAAATGCAAGAATTCGTGTGAAGTTGTTTCACTTCATAGAATTATTACTCCCCCCCTCCGTCCCCTCCCCCCCTCCGTCCCATTTTAATTATTTTCGATTATTTTTTATTTTACGTATGGAAACTTATTTTATAAATTCAGCAATGACATTAACTTACTTATGATAACATCACTTACAAGTATTTATTACAGGTCGTTTAGTCCATTGTTGCTTGATTTATAGCAAAAACTTTGACTTTTGCACGTTGGTTGCGTTGCGCCTTTTTTAAAAGATCTTATATCTTAAAAGAGTATCGGTTGAAAAATAATCCTAGAATACCTAACATATTTTATCATACCGTGCGCTTATTCAATTTGCAATTCAATCGCAAACTCTGTCTTGAAAAAATAATTTTACCAGATTTGTTGAATTTTCTAGCGGAAATTGCCTGCTCCCCCCCTCCGTCCCATTTTCACGATCACCGGGCGTGTCATATGTCTCTGCTTTAATACACAAATATTCTCCTCTATCCTGTAGGAAGGAACGCACTCGAGTATTTCAAGATCAGGTATGGAATAGATGCTAGTCACTTGATATCTGATGACCAGATTTACAATGGAGAGGATGTACAACTCGGGAATTACACACTTTTAATGGTATCTCCCTCTTCTGAAGAAGGTCCTTATCGTTTGATAATTGAGTCGAAGGAAAATAAGGCACATTATTACGGGAACCCACCAGAAGTAGGCGAAGTTGCATTTCTTATAATCATAAACAGGGAACTCACATCAGGAGGAACTTATAACAAGACACTTTATCCTGGAGATATTATAGCGTATGGAGATTATATTATCCAGACACCAAAGCGCTGTTCAATGGATGGTTTAACTATAATCCATATCCTTTCTAACCCTTCAAAAGCTCATGGAGGTAGTGGCACTCTCACACACCCTGTCTATGGAACAGGCTCTTTTCAATTGATATTTGTAGAAAATGATGACGGACTTACTAAAGCAACCAATGTTCTTCGTTTTCCAGCTAATTAAAATTACCACAAAAATCAGTAATGATATCACATAGCTTTTTTTGCTGGTGAGAGACTTTTAGAGAATTTTAGAAGAACTAATGATATAAGCAATCATATTGTTTTGTTTAATCAATTCATACAGAATTCATTAAGAAAACAGTATGGCACATTCTATGGGCCATTTGGGTAAAATATAACAGCCATATTGTACTCTTACCATACAGATATTATCTCAACAGAAGAAGTTTATAGGACTCTATTTTTTTAGCTTCAAATACACGAGGCATTGACCTACAGATGATGTCAAAGCGTGCCCTTAAACGGACAGTATCGCTACAATATATCATATACATATAGCCGAGTCATGGTTGTTTGGGTTGCTACACTGGAACTCATTCCTTATCTGACTCTTGCATTTTATCCCCTATCTCAAAGTATATCTGGCGTTGGTTAATATAAATATGAACTTCCCCACCTTGGATTGAGAAACCAGATGAAATATGGTATATCATAAAGAGCTTCTCTACATACCTACGCCCCATCTCTGGTGAAACACTGCATGATTTTGAAAGATTTTTTTGCAGCAGCATCACAGACTAGATGTATATTTATAAAATCATAAAACTTGTTCACTGGACCAACATGCAGCTCTTTTAATGAGCACTGTACATGAAACACACAATTAAGAAGTTTTGACCTTTTGATCCTTTTTACAAATCTCATAACAAATTAGTTATCAACAAATCATTTGTCAAATGTCACAGTCGAATGCCTTTCCAAATAAGACTAGAGTAGACTGATGAATGAATATCTATTGAAATAATATACTTGTCAGGATATATTAAATATGGAAATAAATATAACATAATATAATATTTAGAGATCAAATAATGCAGCAACCATGATTGTTTAAAATCATTACAAAGTGATATCTAAATACAGTGCATTGTGTATCGACATGAAATTACGATACGTTTATATAAATCTACAATGTATATTGCTATTGTGAGTGATTGCAATAGTTCAACATGTGAGCTACATTTAATAACACACATAAAATGACTACAATTTTTAACAAGGCATTAACATGACAAAATGTCACCACCTAGTTGCTCACAATATTATGAGTTCAAACTTAATATAAGTCAGATTTGAATTTCTGAGAACTTGTAAAGTCAAATTTGAACTTCTGAAAAGATGTAGATGATTTTGAAAAAAAAATTTGGTCAATTTGAAGCAAGTTGAAAACAGACCTTTTTGACCTTTTTTGACCTTGAGAAGGTCATTAAAGGTCAAATGTCAAATCTAAAGTCAGATTTGAATTTCTGAGAACATGTAGTTGATTTTGAAAAAAAAAAATTGTCAATTTGAAGCAAGTTGAAAAAAGACCTTTTTGACCTTTTTTGACCTTGAGAAGGTCAAATGTCAAATCTAAAGTCAAATCTAAAGTCATATTTGAATTTCTGAGAACATGTAGAATGTAGATGATTTTGAAAAAAAATTTAGTCAATTTGAAGCAAGATGAAAAAATACCTTTTTGACCTTTTTTGACATTGAGAAGGTCATTGAAGGTCAAATGTCAAATCTAAAGTCAGATTTGAATTTCTGAGAACATGTAGATGATTTCGAAAAAAATTTTTAGTCAATTTGAAGCAAGTTGAAAACAGACCTTTTTTGACCTTGAGAAGGTCAAATGTCAAATCTAAAGTCAGAATTGAATTTCTGAGAACATGTAGATGATTTTGAAAATTTTTTTTAGTCAATTTGAAGCAAGTTGAAAAAAGACCTTTTTGACCTTTTTTGACTTTGAGAAGGTCATTGAAGGTCAAATGTCAAATCTTAAGTCAAATCTAAAGTCAGATTTGAATTTCTGAGAACACGAAGATGATTTTGAAAAATCTTTTTAGTCAATTTGAAGCAAGTTGAAAACAGACCTTTTTGACCTTGAGAAGGTCATTGAAGGTCAAATGTCAAATCTTAAGTCAAATCTTAAGTCAGATTTGAATTTCTGAGAACACGTAGATGATTTTGAAAAAAAAATTTAGTCAATTTGAAGCAAGTTGAAAACAGACCTTTTTTGACCTTGAGAAGGTCATTGAAGGTCAAATGTCAAATCTAAAGTCAGATTTGAATTTCTGAGAACATGTAGATGATTTTGAAAAAAAAATTTAGTCAATTTGAAGCAAGTTGAAAACAGACCTTTTTGACCTTTTTTGACCTTGAGAAGGTCATTAAAGGTCAAATGTCAAATCTAAAGTCAGATTTGAATTTCTGAGAACATGTAGATGATTTTGAAAAAAAAAATAGTCAATTTGAAGCAAGTTGAAAAAAGACCTTTTTGACCTTTTTTGACCTTGAGAAGGTCAAATGTCAAATCTAAAGTCAAATCTAAAGTCATATTTGAATTTCTGAGAACATGTAGAATGTAGATGATTTTGAAAAAAAATATAGTCAATTTGAAGCAAGATGAAAAAATACCTTTTTGACCTTTTTTGACATTGAGAAGGTCATTGAAGGTCAAATGTCAAATCTAAAGTCAGATTTGAATTTCTGAGAACATGTAGATGATTTTGAAAAAAAATTTTAGTCAATTTGAAGCAAGTTGAAAACAGACCTTTTTTGACCTTGAGAAGGTCAAATGTCAAATCTAAAGTCAGATTTGAATTTCTGAGAACATGTAGATGATTTTGAAAAAAAATGTTAGTCAATTTGAAGCAAGTTGAAAAAAGACCTTTTTGACCTTTTTTGACTTTGAGAAGGTCATTGAAGGTCAAATGTCAAATCTTAAGTCAAATCTAAAGTCAGATTTGAATTTCTGAGAACACGAAGATGATTTTGAAATTTTTTTTAGTCAATTTGAAGCAAGTTGAAAACAGACCTTTTTGACCTTGAGAAGGTCATTGAAGGTCAAATGTCAAATCTTAAGTCAAATCTTAAGTCAGATTTGAATTTCTGAGAACACGTAGATGATTTTGAAAAAAAATTTTAGTCAATTTGAAGCAAGTTGAAAACAGACCTTTTTTTACCTTGAGAAGGTCATTGAAGGTCAAATGTCAAATCTAAAGTCAGATTTGAATTTCTTAGAACATGTAGATGATTTTGAAAAAAAAATTTAGTCAATTTGAAGCAAGTTGAAAAAAGACCTTTTTGACCTTTTTTGACTTTGAGAAGGTCATTGAAGGTCAAATGTCAAATCTTAAGTCAAATCTAAAGTCAGATTTGAATTTCTGAGAACACGTAGATGATTTTGAAAATTTTTTTTAGTCAATTTGAAGCAAGTTGAAAACAGACCTTTTTGACCTTTTTTGACCTTGAGAAGGTCAAATGTCAAATCTTAAGTCAAATCTTAAGTCAGATTTGAATTTCTGAGAACACGTAGATGATTTTGGAAAAAAAATTTAGTCAATTTGAAGCAAGTTGAAAACAGACCTTTTTGACCTTTTTTGACCTTGAGAAGGTCATTGAAGGTCAAATGTCAAATCTAAAGTCAGATTTGAAGGTCAAATGTCAAATCTAAAGTCAGATTTGAATTTCTGAGAACATGTAGATGATTTTGAAAATTTTTTTTAGTCAATTTGAAGCAAGTTGAAAACAGACCTTTTTGACCTTTTTTGACCTTGAGAAGGTCAAATGTCAAATCTTAAGTCAAATCTTAAGTCAGATTTGAATTTCTGAGAACACGTAGATGATTTTGGAAAAAAAATTTAGTCAATTTGAAGCAAGTTGAAAACAGACCTTTTTGACCTTGAGAAGGTCATTGAAGGTCAAAAGTCAAATCTAAAGTCAGATTTGAACTTCTGAGAACATGTAGATGATTTAGAAAAAAATTGAAGTCAGTCTAAACAGTATTTGTTAAGTTATAGGAAGTTGTAAGAAATTGTGTTAAGTTATAGGAAGTTGTAAGAAATTGTTACAGACGCCGGACGCCAACCGCCGGACGCCAACCGCCGGACGCCGTCGCAAAAAAAACGGAGACCATAACAATATGTCACCACTTTTGGTGGTGACATAAAAATGGCCTCTCACTAGCCAAATTAAATTTTCAAATTAACCGATATCCTGTACATAGTCTTTTGCTTTTAAAACATATTAATATTACAGTTTTATATGCTGTAACTAGAATACTGTAAAATTGACACTAAAATGGCTGCCATTATGAAACTGGTGGCCATTTTGAAAATCAGCTTTCGAACAAAACTTGTACTTATATGAGGCAAATATAATATAAATGATATCATGATATTGGGCCATTGGTATTTGAGTAATTGCCCAGACAGGCAGAGACAGAGTACAGATGGAAAGTGCTGTTCTCTATATCCCCCGAACTTCTTTTGATGAGATAATCAAAACCAAGACAAAATGGAAAAAATAACTGGAAAATCTCAGATTCAAGTTAGTTTTAAATATAACATACCATTCTAAGGCACCACCCGTGTCCTCCAATATGGCATCAACCTCATTGCGAACTTTTTCTTGATATTCTGGATATTTGGCTAGAGCATACATGGTCCATGAAATAGCAGCCCCTGTTGTATCATGTCCTACAACATAGTCACAAATGTACAGTACAACATGTCTCATCAAAATGCCACTGGGATAAACTAAAAGCATTCAGATTGGCAGGTGTTCTCATTTCAAGTTTATTGAACAGAGAAGTCTATGGTATATCAAAAAGTGTTCAGTACAACATGTCTCATCAAAATGCCACTGGGATAAGCTAAAAGCATTCAGATTGACAGGTGTTCACATTTCAAGGTCATTGTACAGAGAAGTCAATGGTATATCAAAAAGTGTTCACATAACAAGGTGTTCAGCTAAGAGAGGTCTTCGGTCATACAGGTTGTGCACATTAGTTTTAAATGACAGCATTAACTGCTTACATGTACTTTTCTGTATGGATCACCCATCTACATACTGTTTTGACCAGTATAAAGGGTGTTCCATGTACACAATTTTAACAGTATGTCAATTTCACTAAATCAAAATTTCACACACAAAAATGAAAGTACTTTATACTACAACTTATTCTAGGCATAAGGCACAACTTAAAGTTTACTTCATCATAGTCAAAACATTGCTATATACATGTAGGCAATAATTAAAAATGAATGATAAATCACTATATGTAGTCCACAATAGAAAATCCTATATAATGAAAAGCGCAAAAGCCTGGATCAAGCAATAGCTGTAATTCCATGAAAAAATTCTGGTAACATGTTTTAAATTGCAAAATAGTGTAGAACACCAAGGAAAAGATGAGGATTAGTAAACAGGCATGTTAAGTCAACACAACTGTATAGAAATTACAAAAATCACATTCAAGCATGGTGACCTCTGACAAGCCAATTTTCATAATTTTTGTTTGAACTCTCTCTCTTTGTTTGAATTTCTATACAGTATTCAATAATGGTAGCTGATTCCAATATTTTTCATTTGAAACATGACCCCTAAATTTTCATATGGACATGGCACTACATTGCATAGCTAGTAGCATTCTCAGACACCATAAATAACACCAGTTATTCAGAGTCTAATTAGTGACCATCAGTGATCAGAAAGGGGGGCTAAACTTTAAAATGGGGAACAAATCATTTATGTTAGTTAATCAAATGCCATTTTTAGCCAACATCATGGGTGTAGTCATGCATGAGGCAAGCGAGGCAAACTCACAAAAACTACAGGGTGGGCCAAAAAAAACCACCCCCTAGCCATTATTCCTGATAAATATTTATTTTTTAACATGTACACCAACAATGATATATCATCTTAAAGAAAATTTAATTTGCAACAAAATGATATATAATAGCACCATTTTCAACAACCCCATATAGAAATATAACCAATTATGTGACATAGGGGTAAAAAAACACCTTTTCAATTTTCATTGATTTTGCGAAGAATAGCCTCTCTCTACCAAATTTTACTGTTCATTTAAATATTGCAACATTGTCATGAGTCTCTCATAATTGGATATTATATATTGTTTTCATTCAGTTTTTGAACCATGTATGCTCAATAAACATCTGTATGCTTATAAAACAAATTAATTTATTCTCCAGTCTGTCCAAATATGGCTCAATAGACCCACCCCCCGGACCAATCCTCTGATCAGATTATTCGCTTAAGACGCGGAAACCATTGGTTGATGGCATAATTGATGGATGTATGCGGAAGTACCATTCAACTGCTAGTTATTCTTTCTTTTAGTTCCTTTACATCCCTGATAGGTTGGGTATCTTTAAATACCAACTGTTCTAGATGCCCCCAGGTATGGTAATCAACATTATTGGCATCGGGACTGTCAGTAAGTCATTTGTCCGGGCTAGAGATGGTGTCATTTCGAATCTCCAAAAACTCCAGGGTAGTATTGGACCTATGTGATGAAGCATTTTCCTATCAGAAAATGAAATTTCTTTCACATGTTTTTGGGCATTTGGATCAGTTGGTCTATGAAGATCACAAGCCTATCAGGGATGTGGACTTCCGCAGAGATCCATCAATTATACCAATGGCTTTCGCGTCTTTTAGCGAATAATCTGATCAGAGGATGGGTCCGGGGGTAGGTCTATTGAGCCATATTTGAACAGACTGGAGAAGAAATTAATTTGTTTTATAAGCATACACATGTTTATTGAGCATGCATGGTTCAAAAACTGAATGAAAACAATATATAATATCCAATTATGAAAGACTCATGACAATGTTGGAATTTTTAAATGAACAGTAAAATTTGGTACAAATAGGCTATTCTTCGCAAAATCGATAAAAATTGAAAAGGTGTTTTTTGACCCCCATGTCACATAAATTGTTATATCTCGAGCCAGGGTTGTTGAAAATTGTTCTATAATATATCATTTTGTTGCAAATTAAATTATCTTTAAAATGATATATCATTGTTGGTGCACACGTTCAAAAATGAATATTTATCATGAATATTGGCTAGGGGGGGGGGTGTTTTTTTTGGCCCACCCTGTATATGAAAACAATATTAACCTCTTGGCTACCTGGAGTGACGAAATTTCTCAGAAATGACTTTGAAACCCAGAGTGACGAGAAAATCTGTCACAAAATTGTTCACTAAAATTGCTCTTATTTGTACAATTTTCATCCAATTTACACAAAAAATGTTTTAAAATGATCTCTGACGTCTAATTTTACCAAGTTGAGGATCTAAAGTTGTAAAGGTATGTAGTAAAATGTCAAAAGGTGGCAAAAATGAAAGAATCTCTGGTTCCAACCAATTTTAGAGCCTGGGATTCAAGAGGGTAATCTCCAATAAAAGTTGCCTCGTCCATTTTCAGACCTTGTTACATCCCTGAACATATACTGGTCACAATTACAGGGACCATCACATTAATTTTTCTATTTAAGGTTGGTTCCCTTTTGCCAGACCAAATGGTTCACCAATATCACCACTAATATTCAAGTTGTAGAGCAAGCTTATATGCGTAGTGTACCTGCCAACATGAATGTATCAACTTCAGCCCTGATTTCTTTAGTTGTAAGACCTATACCATTCTCATCCTGAAAGGCCAATAAGTTATTAGGGTGCCAAATTGTTTAGCACCATTCTCATCTTGAGGATGAAAGAGCAACAATTTATTCAGCATCATTCTCATCCTGAAAGGGTAATAAGTAATTAGGGTGCCAAATTATTTAGCACAATTCTATTCCTAAAAAAGCGACACTTTATTCAGCATAGTTTTCATCCTGAAAGAGAAACAGTTTTTTCAGCGCCATTCTTATCATGAAAGAGCAACACTTTATTCAGCACTATTCTCATCCTGAGAAAAAAACACACACCAAAGAGCACAGTTCTAGAGTTCAGAGTAATTTTAGTTTATTCAGCATAATCATCTCTTTGAAATTCTCCTACAAGCATTCTTATCATGGGATGAGGATTTATCTAAAAAGCCTACATTAAATCCTAAATATTTTTACTTTTCAGTTAGTAATATTGTTCATACCTTTGCCATGAGTAGTATATCTAAGAAGTCTAGGTGCTTTTTCTTCAGTGGATTACCAGTTAGCTGGAAACAAGAAAACATTTACATTTAGGGAAACCAAAAGGCAGGATCTGCGCTATTGCATAATATGCATACATGCAGCAGTGAGTACCGATTAACATGGAAGCAAAATGCTGTGCATAACCTGTATAGTATGTATACATATGATAAACCCTCTATACTCATGAAAATTGTTCCTTATAAACAGGTGCTCCTTCCAGACAGGGTTCATAACATGTCAGTCAAATGACCAGTTCTATAAAGAGAGGTGTTCCGAAGGGTTACAATGAGATAGATTTTACTATATAATTATTGTAGTCCTATCGAACATACAATATAAGGAATTGTTAAATATTCATATCTACTGCAGTAAAACCCATCTAATCTGAACACTACAGAGACCACCAAAAAGTGTTCAGATTAACAGGTGTTCACATTTCAAGGTTTTTTAATCTTGTGAGCCAATGGGAGATAACAGACCATGGACAGACAAAAGTGTTCACATTGAGAGGTGTTCAGGTTGGAGAGATGTAAGTATTTAGTATACCAGGTATATACAAGTTTCACTGCATTTGATCCAATTAGCTCATGGACAACTTAATTGATACATAGGTCTAGTGACCTATTATCATAACTATCAGATCATTTGCAGACCTAGTTTTGTGAATCATCATCCTAAAAGTGGCTTATAATGTACCTTACAAAGCCGCTAATGTATTTGTATTTATTGTAATAATTTGAAATAAAGAAATACAATATAAAAAAAAAAAAAAAAAATTAATACATACCAGTTCTTTCTTCCTACGGTTAATGATACAATCAGCCTCTCTATGTACGTAGTCACATAGTTGATAGAACTCAGCTCCGTCCGATGTATGCTCGTAAAGAAAAGGCACTAGCATAATGAGATAATTCCTGTAATAAAGATGGGTATACTGTCGTAAACCATGGAGTTATTTTCTTTCTTGAAAATGATGTTCGATAACAATTCAAACATGACCGTGCTCTATTCGAATTTCTCAACCAATCAGAATGCAGCATAGCCAATATAGAACGTTCTCTAATTCTCCATAGATGCACGACCATGCTCTATTCAATCTGCAATTTGCATTGTTTTGAGTGACGTCACATCTCAGCTGCACATCTGGGGCTCTGTCCTGGGATAGCTGTTCTTTTTTACTCCCTCCGTAACTACTGTAACTATTTAACTATGGCTGACTTCAAGTTTGCAGTCGGTGAACTAGTCTTATTTAAAACGGGGAGTAAAATAGAACAGCCCACACAAATTCTAAAAGGTTTCCGGCCGACTTCAGAATCTTGACAGCATGCGTGTTCTTCCTTCATGCCCGTTCCACAGACACGGCTTTTACTAATTTTTATGTTTGAATCGGAATAAATAATGATAGGCCATTCAATATGGTGAAATCCAGCACTCGTTGGACAGAATGTTAGTACAAATGCACTCACCTTCGGTTCGTGCTTTGTACAACATTCTGTCCAACTCGTGCTGAATTTCACCATATTGAATGGCCTATCATTATTTATTCCTTAAACCAACGGGAATAATGCACTTTTATAAAGTTAAGGGATTGGTGGATGGAATGTCTGTATATTATGTATTTGAACCATTATCCACTGCTGCGACATTAGACATGTATTTAAAACAATTGATTTATATCTGATCGTATTATCAGAGCGATTCGAACAATTAGCCATAATATACAGGGTGCGCCATAATTATGTCTACAAAGATGCTTACTTTAGACTCCATCTCTTGTTCCATAGATGACCCAACCTGTACACTCCCTTCACATATGGGTGCCTCATTCTGAAAGTAAATATAGCTCAATAAGCGATTTAAATAAGGGCTATGTACTGGGAGGTTTTGGATATGGGGTTTATCCAGAGGGAGATATGCATATCTACCTGAGGGACCGTAGGGACCGAAGGTAGATGTGCATATCTCACGAGGGATGAACCCAATATCCAAACCGACCGTACATAACTGCTTTATCCTATACCAAGTAGAGTTTTCAGGGGCATATGGCCATTTCAATAGTACAAGGTGTAAAAATAAACAAATCGTTCATATGCAAAGTCATTTTATTGCATTACCGGAAGCGTGAAGATATGCACCAGAAGCGGGAAGATATGCACCGAAGCGGGAGATATGGCAGGAGATATGGAGGTTCTGGATATGGAAACCTCAAAATCAGGATACGGGATATATCTTACCAACTTATCTCCCTCTACTTGGCATAGGATAAAGGAAAATATTCTGACTATTGGGTTAAATAAGAAATAATTATTTGAAAATTAATTCCTGGCAATAATTTTTTGGGAAAAGTGGCAAACCCTGACTATCATGTTTGCAAAACTGAAGGAGTGAGTCTTTTAACACTTTGGCAGACCTTTCATTTTTTCCTTATGCCTTTAATATGCTTGGCCTATAATGCAATTTGGCGATTGGCAAGCCATCTTTTGTAAAAAATAAATAAATTACCGAATAAAAAAGAAAAAAAAAATGAACTGATCCAAGGCTTCTCAAATATGTTAACTTATAATTTGCGTCTTACTTTGTATCTGTTTCAAAATCACTGGAGAATGCACACTTTAGTATAACATCTAGGGTGATAGGGCTAAGCGTACTGAACACATCAAATGTTCCACCTTTCTGTGCAGTTGGCTCTAATTTGTCCTGAAAGCATATATGGTAGTTAATTTCAGGTTAATCATAAACTCAACGAAATATAATTGAGTCATTGATGATTTGGAGCCGAGTGCATGAGCCAATCATGTATCAATTAAAGTTTATTTACGAACATTTTGTAATAGTACAGTGTTTATGGATGAAATACAAAACAAAGTAGGCGATATGTCCTATCAAGAAACTTACAAGGAGTCTTACAGCAGCTTTGTTAAAAACTGTAGTGTACTCTTTGAGTATATGGAAATGGAAGGCTGGAGTCAATAGGCGTCTGTTACGAAACCATTTAGGCCCTGAACTGATCAGTAGACCATCCCCTGTTAATAAAATGTACAAATGGTAAACATAGTTTTACTTCATGCTCCAGTCACTCTCTTATCCCCAAGACACCCCAAGTTGAAGTATATAAGGGGAGAAAGGGGGATGCAATTTAAAGTATATAAGGGAAGGAAGGGGGATGCAATTTAAAGTATATAAGGGAGGAAGGGGGATGCAATTTAAAGTATATAAGGGAAGGAAGGGGGATGCAATTTAAAGTATATAAGGGAGGAAGGGGGATGCAATTTAAAGTATATAAGGGGAGGAAGGGGGATGCAATTTAAAGTATATAAGGGGAGGAAGGGGGATGCAATTTAAAGTATATAAGGGAAGGAAGGGGGATGCAATTTAAAGTATATAAGGGGAGGAAGGGGGATGCAATTTAAAGTGGAAAATAAATGGTAACAACAATATTTTCAATTGAAGTGTGAAAACAAAGTTCAGTATTTAACATAATCTTTTAACTCTTATTTCATAGTTTGACCCACTTCTTTATGTTCCTGACTCACCCAACCAATCCACTAAGAATCGCCTATAGTTTGGTGCCTTTCCATGTGAATGTTTGAGTACCACTTTGGCGGTGTCTGGATGACATACAATCACGGCTCCTAGAAATGGACGATACCATTCACTATAGGCTGTCTTATGAAGTTTTGTCATCTCAAGACAATGTAGAAGGAACTTATGGTCCAAACCAGAGAACTACAATTTAAAAGAAAACAGTTAAAGATTTTGTTTCATTATAATGTCATACAATCTGGAATTTTGCTATGTGCTTTTGTAGTATTGTCCTTTGTGCATTACTCAAAAATGAGCCTGTTTTAGATATTAAATCACAGTATGTCTCTCTTGTATAGTAGTAATAGGTAAGGGGACTTTGTTGTGTTCACATTCTTTCTTTTTTCATACCAAAAGTGCACTGGATAAAAAAAGCATGCACTAATAAAATTCCCGAGAATGATGTTGAAATGCTAACTTTTCATGACCCCCTCCCCTATAGTTAATTTCCTAATATTGATCTTTTGAAATGCTCCCTTTACCTAACCTCTACACTGGTATGATTTTCTACATGTCATATTTGAAACATACCCCTTCTGGTAATGATCCCCTCCACCAGTGTTTCTTCAGATGAGGAAACTGGTTCAGTGTTATGTTCAGTCGTATCATCCAACGTAGGAACCTGAACAGGGACCATATTGAAGTCCAGATGACAATCCAAAATATTGCTTGTATGTATAATCTAGGGGTCATAAGACCCTGGATGAATGTTGCAGCCAACATGGTTGCAATGCAGAAATTCAGCGTTGTTGCATAGTCTGCACAGACTGCATGTTGAGGTTCTTTTCAAATGTGCCCCTGTAAATAAAAAAATGAGATGATGGTGGTAAAGAAATTCCCTGTACTTTCAAATTCCCTTTAATCCTTTGTAATATGAAGACTGAGTTATATGCCAGTAATTTAGACTATGGAGTTCTTTCATAGCGGAGGGAGTGGCCAGATTTTTTGCAAAAATTATCAAAAAGCTCCCCCCTTAGCAAAAGCTTCCCCCTTGGTAAAACCGCTCCCCCAGTAACACCTGCATGGCTTTCAACCCTCACACATTATGCGTGATTGTCATGCAATTGCTGGAAAAATAGGAAATCACGCATCAATTTAGCATGTGGGATCAAATATCACGCAAATCATGCATTATGTTGATATTTTTAAAAATCCTTTTTTATGAAGTGCCGATAGACTACTGTAATAATCCAACGTCGAAAAATAGCAAACCAATCCGTTCGGTATATGCACACGATTACCGTTTATGTCACGCATATGGTCCGAAATATGTATCACACATTTGTTTCAAAAATATTTACACCTCACCAAGACTATACATGTATCCTATCCCCCCCCCCCATAAAAATCATAAAAATATTAAAAATGCATGTTTTTTTGAGAAAAATTGAAAAGTCGAACTTTACCACAATAACAGGGATGTAACAAAATCAAACTAGTAAAAAGAGATACTCTTACCTTCCAAGCAGTCACAACAATTGTAAAAAGGGAGAAAAACCGCTGAAGTTGTTAAAATTTTCCCTTGTTTTGGTTGAGAATATCGAGAAACCAAATATCGCTTATATCATTGATGAATATCTGGCGCAAATATGAAACTTCAATATACGGGAATTACATGTACCAAATAGACAAATACATCATAAAACAACATTAAAATATTATGTAATGCATTTTAAAGTTAGATTTATTCAATATTTGAATGTTTAGACTTAGTTTTTATCGGAAAATATATGTGCGCAAAAAGCTCTCAATCCAATGACGTCACGATATTCAATATGGAAGGTGAAAATTTTACATGTCAAAATTTTGGTTGAAAAAGTTGGAATATTGAGGCATCTATAATGGATTTCGGCCAGAATGGGCACGCGGCTGGTGCCTCTACCCCTCAAGAAGGTAAGAGTGTAATATATTTCTCAATAAAATCATCCGAACGATTGCAATAAGACAATATGTTGACGTATGTTCTACAAAAAAATTAAAAAGTCAAAACTACAATAAATTGAACCAAATTCTGGGGCTTTGGCACCAGTCATCATACATGGTGTCCTGAGCACAATGCTATGGTAAAAAATAAATTGCAAGCTAATTTGCTTACATTTGCATGGTAGTGATTAGAGAAAATCAAAACTTTCTCAACACATACACGCAATTATAGTGCTGATATCTAATAATTAAGGGTGCGTTTTCAAACTAAATAGAGTGCTCCTACCATAATGAATTTGCCTACATACCCCTGAGACTCTTATCTGATAGATAGAATGCACAAATAAAACAAAAGTTTCACTATTATAGGTAAAAAGTTCTCTTGAAATTTTGAAGTGATTTTACCTGTTAATTCTGTCCATGGTCAGCCATTTTTGCGGAAGTTACACTGAAACGGAAACTCAATGAAACGAAACGAAATCACTAGAAAAAAACATGGCACACATTGTGCGCATGTGCAGCAAAGTTTAAACCAATCAGATTATTTGATTATTTTGCGCACGTGAATTATTTGCCTCTGAGCACTTACAAGCTTACCACAATAAACAAACCTGGCAGAGACTACCCTTAGCCTACTTCATTTTGGGGAAATTTCAGATCAAACTCGTGACAAATGCATAATGCATACGCTGGTGTGAAGCCTTGGAGACACTAATTTTGGTAAATATGATTTATGGTGTATACTTTTCTGCAGTTTGTGGGAGTTTGGGACATTAAATGTTAAAATTCAAGAAAATATGCCAATTAAACGACTGATCAATTAATATATACCAGCACTGTACTGAACACATATCTGTCTTCCAGAACCTGAAAAATCAGCCCCGGCAATTTGAAATGTCTCCACTTTAAAATAAGCCAAATTATCATAAAGCAGTAAAGAGCAAATATTTTCTCTTTCAAAGGCTGACTGATCTGATAAAACGTTGTTGTTATGTTCTTGCACAGATCAGTCAGCTTTTTAAAGCTTGGTCCTTTGAAGGAGGAAAGGCAAGTGATATTCAATTATCTTTTTAAATACAGTTTCAAAATGCTACCAACCGAACTGGGAGTTGGAGAAAACTGTTTGTCTATTCCTCTTGACGATCCCCAGGTTGACGATTCCTTTTGAAATTTAGACCCTCTCTGTCCGAGAGCCATATTTCCACCAATAAATACAGCATCTGAAAACTGAAAAAATAAATCCCTGATTGGTAATATTTCTATTACAACTACTATTACTATCCCTTGCTGAAAACCATGTTAGATCCAGGGGCAGATCTGGGAACTAACAAGGAGGGGGCCAAATATCAAGTCAGAGAAAAAAACTTCTGCGCTTATGCGGAAAAAAATTTTGGGCCCCTAAAACTCAAAGTGGGCCGAAATTTTGAGGCAAATTTTCTTCAAAATTTGGCCTGAAATTAAAAAATAAGGCCTCAGAAGGCCCAGTAATGACCAAAGAGGCCGACATTTTTTTGGGCCTTAAGGCCTTTTTTGGCCCAAAATCTTTTTGGGCCCAAGTTTTTTTTCTGGGCCCACCAAAGGGAGGGCGGCCCGGGCCCCCAGGCCCCCCCCCAGATCCGCCAGTGAGATCTATTGTATGAATTACATATTAGGTATCGGGTTTGTGTCACAGTGACCTTACCTACATGATGACTGCAAAATGTATTATTAGTTATGTTATAAGAAAGTTTTAGTACTACATGATAAAAGATTGACAAACATGTTCATGCTGTATCAGCTAACTCCTTGTGATTGAGTTATCAGTTGAGTGTTGTCCTTTTATGTCACAATAATGATTGACTCAACAAATTTTGCACTTCTAAATATCCATCTATTGCTCTTCTTCATTAGGTTAGTTTTGTATGTATGTATATATTTATTGCCCTTTATATAAAGGAGATACTTTTGTTACTAAATGCACTTTAACCTTTTCAAAAGATGACAGATTATGGTTGTGAATTTAAATAATATACCAAATGTGCTATTATATTAAACAATTTTGTCCCTTTAAATGTGACCACAATCCAAAAAGTATGTAGTGACATAGTATAAAATAAAAATAAAAAATAAAAATAAAATATAAAAGCCCGGAGCTTTGACTTTCAGCATCAGTTTCTGTAACTTTTGTACAACACTTTGCTGATGGTAACATTTTGTCATATTAATGCCTTGATCATTATTAATTTTTTGTAAAATTTTAACCTTTTGGCCTTTTTTGTTCTGATTAAAGTCGAGTCACATAGTCTCACCTAATTGAATTAGCCATCTAAATTATGATTCAGACTGTTTGAAATACTATTAATGCCTGGGTCACATTTGCTCTGATCCATTGACCGGCGCCCGCCCGATTGAGTGTTTTGTTAAATCGGCCGGGCGCAGTGGAGAAAATCGGAGTAAATGTGACCAAAGGCATCACAAATTGATTGCAAGAAACCAAAATTTGAAGAATTTTTTAAAGCAAAATTGTTCAAATTCGTGATTTCATTTAAGAGCCCGATATTAATCTACACCCTCATACTCACATAAAAAACCATTTCAATTTGATATTTTCTTGCAATTTTTACAAATTACTTTAGAATCAGCTTTTTTTAATATCTTATGTCACCACCAAGAAGTGGTGTACCAAGAAGTGGTGTACCAAGAAATGGTAGCATATTGTCAGAGGCACCATTTTTTTGTAATCTGCATACAACAGCACCATCTATAACATATGTCACAATTTTCCAAGTGGTGACATTTAGTCATGCTAATGCCTTGTCATTATTTTGTGTAATATTATTTCATGTATTGTGTCTAACTGCAAATATTGTGATTTTGTTGCTAACTTATGCTACTTATGCATGTGCTTCAGATGATGTCGTCTCGCTTAAACAAAAACTTTTACAATATAAAAAACGTGAACAGGAACTGTTAGATGATAAAATGAAGATTGAATCTGAATTCGGACACAAGAGAGCCAAGTTCAAGGACATATTTATGCAAAAAGAAGGTACATAAATGACTCCATTTGTGTGTTTAGATATTGTGATTAGAAATAATTAAATCTATTTATTCCATTTTGTTGCATCAGTGTTAGAAATATAATGTCATTTTTTTAGATGGTGATTCTAAATCATCCTGCAGATCCTTGAAATTCAATATTTCTATAAGATATTTATTCTCAAATATTTATTACAAATGAGAGTATAAACTATTAAACTAATTATACAGCTGTCTGTAATGCCTGCTTTTAGTAATGCTTTTTGTTTTAATGGATTATGGATTATTATTTTTTGTAAGAAAATCTTTCTCAGCTCTCAGTTATGGCCTTTCTCACAGGGGCAAAGCAGATAGGATGATACCCTGGGCATTTGAGCGAGCTTATGGTATCATCTGGTCTGCTTTACTCCTATATCCAAGGAGGATTGGAAGCCAGGGTTCCAACTCGATATTCTTTAATCTCCAATTGATGCAGTAGTTTCCGATCCTGCCTGTATACGAGGGTTGATCCAAAAGTTCCGAACCGTTTGCTCTAAAAATCGTAATACTTGATGAAAATTGTTCATATTTGGCCACAATCACCCCACATATAGTAGTTTCATTTTGTGTAAAAATAAGCAATAAATTTGACCAGCAACATAGGTATCTGGTTACCATAGTAACATGACAACAAGGTGAGTGGAGCAAGAGTACGACATATTTTTACAGGTTGAAAAAAGTTGATTCTAAAAGAGTGTTACAGGGTACTAAATTTCAAATGAGTCAGTCATGCCTGCCTATTAACCAATCATTTTTTCAATTTGTCCATATTTCATTGTTAGGTCTTCAGGTCACTATAAACTATAAAGATAAACGTCAGAGGGAGGCAGATATAGTGAGAAGGATGCAAGGGTAAGCCAAGGCATGTGCATATTTTCATTGACGTTTGAGTAAGTATTGAGGTATGGAATTGCGCATTGTCAAAATCGGACTGGATTTTATGCTTTAATTTGACTGCTTTTGGCGCAAGGCATTCTTCTGGTCAATGACATCACAGTTGCCAACTATAGCTTGTATGATATCAGATCACACATATAGCATTGGTCTAATGAAAGAATAATTGATTAAAGCATGACTAACAAATTTGAAATACATTTGGTACCCTGTATACACCCTTCAAGTGTCAATTTTTTGCCAACTCTACAATGTGTCGTTCTCTTGCTTCACGTACCCTGTTGTCATGTTGCTATGGTAACCAGATACAGTACCTATGCTACTTGTCAAATTAATTGTTTATTTTTGCACAAAATGGAACTACAATATATGGGGTGGCTGAGGCCAAATATGAACAATATTCATAAAATATAAAGATTTTTAGAGCAAACGGTTCGGAACTTTTGGATCAACCCTCGTATTTCTACGGCTGCAAGGAGAATGGCAGATATTCTTGATTGAAATGTTTATTTATAACATGACTATGTGATACCCATATATGGAACAGAATATCGATTGGTGTCCCAGGGAGCCTGGACTCTCCTTGCCCCATATCTAAAATACTCTTGGATTAGTTCATAATCTGGAAAAAGGGGTGGTGACATGTCGTCTGCTTTCAATTCCAGATGAGCTCACCAAGGTTAAAGCAGCTTTACAAGAGTCAACGAAGCTGAATGCAGAATTGAAATCCCAAGTAGATATACTTCGTCAAGAAATAGATGATGTGAATACCGCAACTGCACTCTCCGAGTCAAGTAAACAGGATGAGGTGGAGGGGATTCAGAGAAGGTGTCAGAATGAACTTGCGTCAATGCAGATTATCATGAAAGGTACGTGCTCCCAAAACACCCCCCCCACTGAATTAAGTAAGTCATTTATAAACAACATAAAAAGATCTGGAGAACATATCCTTCTTCCAGTATTAATGGTATACAGGTATAAAACCTGTGAACAATACAATCATTGTATAGAAATGCATCAAGAATTTGAACCATTCAGTGAATTTTCACCACTTGATTGACTATAAATGAAAAATAATAGTTCTGAACATATAGCAAATTAAGCAGTAACATTAAGTTTTGATTTCATATAACGATTAAAAATATAGGAACATCATATATGGTCTCGTCTTATTACAAAGGAATGCATTCAAAGAATGATGTATTGTAAGAATATAAAAAATGGTGTTTACTGATATTTCAGACTCAATCAATGATACCAATCAAAGGTTGGAGTATGAACGTGAGAAGTGGACAGTTGATAAACACCAATTAGAGGCTGAGCTCCATGAGTTAAGGCAAAAACTTTCACAGACTGATGGGTAAGAAATATTCCCTGTATATTTTACATATCACACATTGTACAACATATGTGTACTGGAATGATATTATGATATGGCAGCATTCTCCCAATTCTCCCCAAGTGGGTGCAGAATTCTCCTTTTCACATTTCAATTTGAAATTGGTCAATATATGATTATTTCTGATTTACAAGTGGGTGCAAATGGGTTTTCAGGTGGGGTAAGCCTCTTTTAGAAATCTCAAGTGGGCTGACCCACTTGCTTCAATGTTTAGGTGACCACTATAATGATGAATTCCAATGTGATACAAGAAATGAGATTTTCATGTCTAAATACCATTTCAATACATTTGATTTGCCTCTAAAAATCTAAAATGTCAAAGCTTGTGTATGATTGTGCAATCAACAATATGTAAAAATATTTTTCAGGGAAAATCTCTTGGCATCATTTGCAAAGTCCATCAAACATATAGGACATAAGACCCCCTCCAGTGCAGATACCAGCATGACTGAGGATGAAAACTTAGAACAGAGTATGAAGAAGGTAAATTGCCATTCTAATCACAGTCCAATGAGATCAGTCCTTCACCTAACCAGCCAATGAAATCAGCCCTTCATCTTAATAGCCAGTCAAAGCAGTCCTTTATCTAACCAGCCAATGAAATCATTCCTTAATGTAACCTATGTCAATGAAATCAGTCCTACATCTAACCAGTCTTTCACCTAACCAGCCAATGAAATCAGCCCTTCATCTTACTAGCCAGTCAAATCAGTCCTTCATCTAACCAGCCAATGAAATCAGTCCTTCATCTAAACAGCCAATGAAATCAGTCCTTAATGTAACCTACATCAATGAAATCAGTCCTACATCTAACCAGTCTTTCACCTAACCAGCCAATGAAATCAGCCCTTCATCTTACTAGCCAGTCAAATCAGTCCTTCATCTAACCAGCCAATGAAATCAGTCCTTCATCTAAACAGCCAATGAAATCAGTCCTTAATGTAACCTACGTCAATGAAATCAGTCCTACATCTAACCAGTCTTTCACCTAACCAGCCAATGAAATCAGCCCTTCATCTTACTAGCCAGTCAAATCAGTCCTTCATCTAATCAGCCAATGAAATTAGTCCTTCATCTAAACAGCCAATGAAATCAGTCCTTAATGTAACCTACGTCAATGAAATCAGTCCTTCATCTAACCAGTCCTTCACCTAACCAGCCAATGAAATCAGCCCTTCATCTTACTAGCCAGTCAAATCAGTCCTTCATCTAACCAGCCAATCAAATCAGTCCTTCATCTAACCAGCCAATGAAATCAGTCCTTCATCTAAACAGCCAATGAAATCAGTCCTTAATGTAACCTAAGTCAATGAAATCAGTCCTTCATCTAACCAGCCAATGAAATCAGTCCTTCACCTAACCAGCCAATGAAATCAGCCCTTAATCTAACCAGCCAATGAAATCAGTCTTTCATCTAAACAGCCAATGAAATCAGTCCTTAATGTAACCTACGTCAATGAAATCAGTCCTTCATCTAACCAGCCAATGAAATCAGTCCTTCACCTAACCAGCCAATGAAATCAGCCCTTCATCTAACCAGCAAATGAAATCAGTCCTTCATCTAAACAGCCAATGAAATCAGTCCTTAATGTAACCTAAGTCAATGAAATCAGTCCTTCATCTAACCAGTCCTTCACCTAACCAGCCAATGAAATCAGCCCTTCATCTTACTAGCCAGTCAAATCAGTCCATCTAACCAGCCAATGAATCCAGTCCTTCATCTAAACAGCCAATGAAATCAGTCCTTAATGTAACCTACGTCAATGAAATCAGTCCTTCATCTAACCAGTCCTTCACCTAACCAGCCAATGAAATCAGCCCTTCATCTTACTAGCCAGTCAAATCAGTCCATCTAACCAGCCAATGAAATCAGTCCTTCATCTAAACAGCCAATGAAATCAGTCCTTAATGTAACCTACGTCAATGAAATCAGTCCTTCATCTAACCAGTCCTTCATCTATCCATCCAGTCAAATCAGTTGTCAAGCATACCAAATAATTTTGTCACACATCAAATCAATTCACCCACTGTTTTTGTATGTTCATTTCAATAAGTTAAGTGAAATAAATGGAAATTGCTATTAAAAAAATCCAAAATGATTAAATATTTGCTCATTTTTTTAGGCTCAAGAGGATGCTGAGATGTTGAAGTCTGTAGTTGTACCCCTAGAAGAAGAAATTAAAACACTGAAAGAACAGTTAGCTGAGGCAAATGAAAAGATCAAACAGGTAACATGTCATCAATATTTCACCATTTGAGTTTACATCTACATTGAAATGGTCATGCAGCTCATGCCTCTTCATTGCTTTTGAAAGGCATTAGATGCTCGGAGCATCTACATCCTATACAGACTGTGTTTGTAGATAATGCTTTGTGTGGATATATACATGCGTGCGCATGGTGCTGATTTAATGGTCATTTGTAAATTTAAAGGATGGGTATCGATATGGAGAACACAATTCAACATTTTTTTCTCTGAAACCAGTAATCCCAAAAAATATGAAAAAATTAAACAGCAATAATGCAATAGTCATCTTTTCAATTGTACCAATTTTATTTGATAATTATTTACCAATTTTTTTGTATAATTTTTTTTAGTAGACCCATCCAACACAGTATTTTCTTTTTGCTACCAATTCTTTGGGATTTTTTTAAACAGTTTTCCGAAGCTGGTTCGAACAAAAAATGCAAATGCACCTTTTCCCCGAGGTTTTCCATGAATGATACTTTCGATCAATGTGTTGATATATAGATGGAACTGGTGCTTTAGTTTTAGATATATTGACTTATGATAGAATGTATGAGGATCAGCATTTAACACATTTGATGGTGAAACACGATTATATTTTATACGAATTTTTCATATGAAATGAAGTTTTTTAGGGGCTCAACTGAAAAAGTGACATTCACCGTAAGCATATCATACAAATAATGTTTGGTCTGGTTCCAATAAGATGTTAATAGAAATGAAAATGAAATAAAGACAGTACTTGTTATAATCTTTTGTATTTAACATTTATAGCCAGTTATTGGATAATGAATGATTACTGTCATGGTTTCGCTTTCATGCTAGATAAAATAATTTATTTTAAAGTCGTTCTAGACGTGCTAAAGTTCTACAGGGCGTCAAATAAGTCTGTTCTCCCCCCTTAACTTTTTTATTTTTAAAATTATCATACTTTCCCATATATCACTCTAAAGCTTATGGAAAATTCTGATCACCCTTAAAAACTCAATAATGAACTCTTCCTAATAAAATTGCTATAATGTTTCTTGAAAGGATGTAGTTGACCATAGATTACGTCAAAAAGAGTAAAATTACCAGGATAATGAATAAACGGTGAAAAGTTGATACTGCGATTATAAAGGTCAGGGTCGAAAAAGTAATCGAAGATCAACCAGAGGAGAAACTTCATAGCCGTGACACATTGCTCAAATGTATCAAGAAAGCTCTTGGAAGCCTTGAAAGTGCAATACCCTTGTTTGTGAACATTTTGGAATCATATCCGCGTAGAATTGAGGCTGTGCAAGCTGCTTGAGGGAAACATACAAACTATTAAAAATATGAAATGTAGATATTATTAAAAATGCTCTTAAAAATTTGGAATTTAACCAATCTCTCTTAAATTTGGTGTGTGATCAGCAAATTAAATTCCCTTCAAGATGGTATATAAAAACCCTGTGTTATTACTAAATTAAAAAAGTTAAGGGGGGGAGAACAGACTTATTTGACGCCCTGTACTATGGCAGCTTTACAATTCTTGGAATATAGCATAGAAAGAATTATAAACAGTAGGGGATGTCTGTGGTTATATTTAATGCGGTGGTTAAGGTTAGTGGCGAGGACAATTGCAGTAGATTCCATTTGTTGATAGTTTGACTCAACGCATATCAGGTCTACAGAATGGCAATACGCAATAGTCTGATTAAAATTAATGTAAGACTATGAAGCATTTTATATACAGAATAACACCAAAAGTGGGCTCAGATTTATATTTTAGTTCCTAGAATATGCATAGTAGTTATATCAATTATGTTTTTATGTGCTTTATCTCTTTATCTGTACCAAACCCAGGGTTTAAAATTTTCCATTTTGACAATGTTATAATGGTAACATAGAACTGCTCAATTGTACTAAAAGCACACTAGCAGATAGAACAGAGAATCAATGAATTCACTGGTACTACACTCTTAACCCTTTCACGACGATAAGCTCCCTATTATGTAATACATGGAACATAATTCACACCATTGGACTCCGATTATGATGAGTATGCTTTCAATCACCAACAACAATTGATTGATGGTTGATGGTTAATACCTGCTGTATTAATAATAAATCTGGTGTCAATCTTACATTTCGCCCTAAAATCCTGACATCTTTCTGTCTTACATTTCATTGTCAAATCCTGACATATTTTTGTCTTACATTTCAGCCTAAAATCCTGATGTATGTCTCTCTTACATTTCAGCCTAAAATCCTGATGTATGTCTCTCTTACATTTCAGCCGAAAATCCTGATGTATGTCTGTCTTACATTTCAGCCGAAAATCCTGACATCTTTGGATCCGCTCAGTAAGGCATCGGTAGAGTCCAGAGAATCATCTCTACTAGGAGAAGATGGTTTGGATCTTGATGAAAAAGTAAGAGGAAATACTTTTAAAATAGACTGAGAAGAATGAGCCTGAACTAAACTGCTTGATAATTTACTTGTACCATGATTTATGGAGGCTCTCCTACTACTGATAGCTGATGCCATGCACAAGAAGGTTGTTTCTCATGACCCAACTTAAGCTTGTGTTGACGAAGTCCTTGCAAAATACTATTCAATGAGGATACAACCAGAGAATCAATTTTAAAACCAGTATTTTGTTGAATTTTTTAAGTATCTTTTTGAGTATTTTTACTTAAAAAAATATTTTCAATGATAATTTGCAAATATTTTTTTTCCCTCAGTATCTTTCAGGTATTTTTACAATTTACTTAATATCGCCTAATTTGAATACTTTGCAATGCATATATCATTTTCCCGTAGTTTACTCATGGTATAGTGTCTAAAATGTATGTAAAAGTTGAAGAATCACTTGATGAAAATGAACTCCTCACTAATAATTCCTTATAATATAGGTTAAAGAGTTGAATGCTTACTTGGAGGCAGAGAAGTCTTCAAGGATTGACCTATATATCATTTTCCCCTAGTTTACTCATGGTATAGTCTCTAAAATGTATGTAAAAGTTGAAGAATCACTTGATGAAAATGAACTCCTCACTAATAATTCCTTATAATATAGGTTAAAGAGTTGAATGCTTACTTGGAGGCAGAGAAGTCTTCAAGGATTGACCTATATATCATTTTCCCCTAGTTTACTCATGGTATAGTCTCTAAAATGTATGTAAAAGTTGAAGAATCACTTGATGAAAATGAACTCTTCATTAATAATTTCATATAATATAGGTTAAGGAGTTAAATACTTACTTGGAGGCAGAGAAGTCTTCACGGACTGACCTAGAAATGTATGTGGCTGTACTGAACACACAGAAACAAGTTCTACAAGAGGACAATGATAAATTGAGGGCTGAGCTACACGAAGGTAAAAATAAGTATTTTAGTCCCAGTGTTTAGAATCCTCCTGTCTAGAGTCTGGTTAGATGAAATCTGGTTTGAGTTTTAAGAGTCCTGTTGTTCTAGTGTTTAAGAGATCAGTATTTTTTGTCACCACCAGTAAGTTTTGACATAATATATCCAGATTGTTTTTTTCAGCGCCACTCTGAATCAATTTGTTGTTGGTAACCCATTGTTACATGTTTGTGATTTGCAGTTATACATTTTCTTAAGACACTGATACCCTGTATATATAAAGGATATCCTATGATTTATGAGTGATATGATTTTTATCCACAAATGGATATGATATCTGCAAGAGCGAGCGTAGCGAGAGAGTGCAGATATCAATATCCATGAGTGGATTAAAATCATATCACGAGTAAATCATGGGATGTTCTTTTTATTCCATAGTTAAAGTCATCATCAGAATCGTCGTAAATTAAGTGATTTAATTCAAATTTTCCAAACGATCCGATGTTGACACTTAGCCTCGTTTTGAGTCTGAAGTAGCAAAAATCCATAAACCATCGCCTACGGTGCCGTATGTCATGGCTAAAAAACCGTATGCTATGGTTAAGTGAAAATTTGTCAAAAATATCATATTTTACCACTGATTACAAAAATACTGTTTTTATTTTCACATGTTATCCTATGAATATCATGCTAACTATGGAATAAAATGTCTTATTTTAAAAGTGTCAGTGTTTATTATCCCAACGAACGAAGTTCGTTAGGGATATAGTGAAGCCCTCCGTCCGTCCGTCCGTCTGTCCATCAGTCTGTCAGTCAGTCAGTCCGTCTGTCCGGAAGATAACTCAAATACTAGTTGACAGATTTTCTTCATATATAGTGGAAAGATGTATATTGGTGAATAGTTTTACGCAAAAAATTTTTTCTCAAGATGGCCGCCGCTTTAAAAATGATGGGACTTTTTCGCAAAAATCATAAATTTTTCATTCTAAACCAAAGTAATTAATATTATTGTTTGAAATTTTGGTAGTGTATTCACAACATTTATCTATTTCACATATATTCCGTATTTTTCATCCTGACCCCCAGGGGCCATGTATCGGGGGACAGGAAAACAGAAATTTTCACTAATTTTTAGATCTTTCTGAAGTATAGCTTTATTATACTCAAATGAAAGGCAATTAGGAGTAGATTGCAAATATTGTATCTTTTTTCTGATTCGAGCCTCGTAAAATTCAAAATGGCCGTCTAATGTACGATTTCGCAATAATTTTTCGATCCCTTCAAAGTATGGCTATATTATACTCAAATTTAAGGAATTTTGGAGTAGATCACAATTATGGTATTATTTTTCAGATTTGTACCTCAGAAAATTCAAAATGGCTGCTTTGCAGGAATTCGCAATTCTAAAATCTAATTTTTTCATTTTCAACCAAAGTAATGAGTATAATTGATTGGAATTCGGTAATTGATATTTTGTTCGTTGGGATTTGCTACTCCGCGGAGTTGCCGTTATCTAGTTAAGTAGCAGTGTTTAAAATCGCACTATCGCAGATTGTTATTGATACAGCGCTTACATATCTAGAACTTTTCCAGTTTGTAGATTACTAGAGTCCGAGAAGAAGGAACATAGTGACTTAAAGATGACCTGGCAGATGGCCAATGATCAGTTCCTGGAATCACAGCGTATGATGATGAATGACATGCGAAGAATGGAGACTGTGCTCAGTGCAGAGCAACAGAGGCAAATAGCAGGTAAAAACCATTGCTCAGAAGCAGACGGAAATTTAAACTTTCTTTCTGGTCATGTTTTTCCATGCAATTTCTCTCTAAAATTTGAAAGAAGTGTTTTATTTTAATGCATTTCTGTACAATTTAGAGTGTTGGGTATATGCCTTTTTACTTTATTCCTTGCTTACTCTACCCTTTTCTCTGTAAAATTTGAAAGAAGCGTCTTATTTTAATGCATATCTGTACAATTTAGAGTGTCAACTATGTGACTGTATAAATTATTCCTTGCTTAATTCATTATTTTTCATAATATTTAACATTTGAAAACATGACTGTCATGCCTCTGTTCTCAATATCTTGTGGATTTTCTTGAATGTTCTAGAACTTCAAAAGCAGGATGATGAAAGGGAGGCTCAGAAGAAGAGAATTGCGGATCTTGAAGAGAAACGTGAAAAGCAAAGAATTGCTACGGAGCAACGTAAAGCTGCAAATATGGTAAAAAATTAGTTTGTATATCATATTTTTAGGAAAATCTGGATCAGTATCATGTAAATGCCTTGTTTCGATATATCACCCATGTAGCTCATATAAATGCCTAATGTTTCGATATATCACCCATGTAGCTCAGCGGTAGCGCAGGTACCTCTTACGCAATAGGTCCCGGATTCGATCCCCGGTTCAGGCAAGACTAAATTTGCTTGTTTGTGTGAAGTACTTCAGGGTGTTGCACTGAGTGGTCCGCAATTCGTACAAAAGGCTGTGGTGTGTACTTGTATGTCTATGTATAAGTGCACATAAAAGAACACAGGGCTCCTTCAAGGAGGAGTTTCTGGGTCTATCTTCCAGGATAATTACGTGAATTGCAACCGTATATATACGGGATATACCCAAGACGTATTGCTCACCTTCATTGGTGGTAAACAAACAAAATACAATACAAGCATAATATAGCTTTATTAAGAGGAACCATTGTGTATCCCATAATGCATTGCAAATTGCAGACGGCAATACCTGATAATGTTCTCTTCATTTGAATTGCAGCATTCCAATAATGAACCTTTACATCAGCTGGGTCTAAAGAAAGTGACTTTGTATATCCCAAAATGCATTGCAAATTGCAGACGGCAATACCTGATAATGTTCTCTTCATTTCAATTGCAGCATTCCAATAATGAACCTGTACACCAGCTGGGTCTAAAGAAAGTGGCTTCTAAGACCTCTATTGCATCAACTAAGTCAGAAGATCTAATGAAACTCAGTGATACCGAACTAGATCCATCAGATATCATGAAGAAATCTTCGTCTGGTGAGTATCCCATAATGCAACAAGAAATAATAATAGCTTTGGCTACTCATAAAAGCAAGCTTGGTATGGATTAGAATAAGAGCCTATATTTTCTGCCCTATTTTTGCGAGCTATCAGTTTGGTATGATTTTACAGCAAACATTTGTTGAGATGAGTAAGACAGAAGACACCTCAAAACATAACATACATCAGGGGGGTATAAAATGAAGAAAAATGATTTACAGACTCCCAATGACCCATTCTCCATGCGTGTAGATTAACAAATTGAATAGCTTCAAAAATACTGCATATAAAAAGCACATACTAAAACTTACTAAACAATCTACCAATCAAAGTGATAATAATAAAAAATTATTGATCATTTCAAAAGATCTATGTTCGCCAAATCGCAAAATTAAAATACTAACCCCCTTAATACTATTTCAACATTTAAATTTTGTTTGGTCATATATATGATTTTTCAGTGTAATTTCTTACTTATAAAATTAATATGCTACTTAATAAAAACGAACCCATCTGATGTTTCTGGTTGCTTGCTTATTACTAGGGTCAGAATATTCCCGGCATGATGATTTCCTGCTCGACAGTGGAGTTCATGACACGCGGTCTCTCTCAGAGGTAGATGGCATGAGAATGAGTCCTGATAAATACATCTCTGTGCCTGGTCTCACTGATGCTCAACACAGGGCTATAGCTGGTATGTAATGGATGGGGCTGGGAAAGATTTTCAAAGGTTTCTGCTTATTGTATTCTCTTATACATGTATTTTCTGGATGAGTTGTTTTATGGGAGAAAGGACAACAGAATCAATTTGGCATTGCACTGATGCTCATCATGATGTGCCCATCAGATCAAAATATTAGACTTTTAGGAGTGACATACCTATAAAGTAGTTTGCATTTAGCTATATGGAGTTGGTAAAATAATATCACCACTTAAGTGCTTAATATTGAATAAAAAAATCATACTAAATCGTAAGGGTGATGGAAAAACTGTATAAATATAAATTCAGTTGAATGCTTTTTATCTTGTGCCGATCAGTACACTGTATCAATACTGTGAATATTAATTTTTCAAGAATACTACTCCTAATCAAGTCTCTGCATTCATTAAAAAGAGATTTCCAAAAGTAGGACACTTCAAAGTCCTGTTACTTAATGTGAAATAAACCTCTTTAAGTTGAACACCTCCTTAGCAGAATACAATCTGAATATATCAAAGGAATTGTCACAACACAGGCTCATTGCTGTATATATAATTGCAGCATATGTATATGAATCATGGCCCAAGCTTAACTTTGACGCAAGAACTAAATCTCAACCCTAAATTCAGTGAATGATACTACTTTCGTATATACTCCAGCAAGACTGGAGCAAGAGCTGGAGTTTGACCCTAAATTTAGTGAATGTCTACTCTCATATATGTTTTTAGATCCAAGCCCTGAGTATGAGGTCAGTCAGTCATTGCTCGCTAGTGCCAAATCCAAAATGGATGACATTCCACACCTAACGGGGCGCCGCCTGGTGAGTGATAAAGAATGGGAGATGCTTCAACAGGAGGTAAGTGGACAGTAACCCTTTAAAAAGAATAGTCCAATTGGTTCATAACACTGTAGCTGTGGTCAGCCATGGTTTAAAATTGAAAATCAGAGTAAAAAAGAGTTGAAGCTATAAAGTATCCATTTTATTAATAAACAACCTACAATTTTGTGTTCCTCAGTGTAATCAATGCAGAAATGTAATTTTGAGTTCTGCCGATAGGTGGAGCACCTATCGGCCTCGTTCTAGTTTTTGTGTTTATTCTATATTTCTCTACAAGATGTAAGCTCATTTGTATGTAATTCACCTTTGTTTCTGGTAGTTCAGGCACAAACTAAATAAAGCATCATATTCAAAACTATTTCTGCTAGTGATGTAATTTTGTAAAATTTAATTGAGTTCAGGTGAAGGCAAAAATGACAGAAAAAAGTTTAGATCCAGATTAGGCATTACAACTTCATTTTGTTTACTTATCCGGGCATTTCATTTTCCATGCACTAACATACCCCTTATTAATGATAAACAACGTACAATTTTGTGTTCCACATCTAATTCATTCAGGTGAAGGCTGCAAGAGAGAAATTAGGAAGACCATGTGACATGTGCAAGAACTATGAAGCCCAGCTACAAAGTGTTCAAGAGAATGCCCAGGAATCTCAGTCCAGTGCACAGACTTTAAACAAACAATTGTCACAGGAGAAAGCCACACTGGAAAACCAGAAGAAATACCAAGAGGAGCTGGAAAATACATTGCAAAATGTAGCAGAGGATGCGCAAGCACAAGTAGGCACTTGAATCTTCTTTATTTACAATCACCCTCTTTATATTAAGACCTAGCAAGTGAGTGAAATATTCAAAATTTAAACTTTTTTTTATTTTTTATTTTATTATACATAAATTTATTCCTTAAGTTAACATAGACATGCAATTGATTGCCAAAGCCAAAAATCTAAACTGCTTTCAACACTCTAGATGTGTAGGAATGCAAGAAATGAGATTGCTCAGAATTTAAACTGCTTTCAGCATTCTAGGATTTGTAGGAATGCAAGAAATTAGATTGTTCAAAATTTAAACTGCTTTCAACACTCTAGGATATGTAGGAATGCAAGAAATGAGATTATTAAGTAGCATAAACCAAGAAATCCCATGAATAGATATAATCATCATTGTGTATGAAGTATAAGTAAGACTATTAAATGAACCCTACCTGCTAAAAATGGGCTAAAATTGACCCTTAAGCCGACATAGAAAAATAGCCTAAAATTGACCGACATAGAACTCTTTATGTGAAAAAATACATGTATATATAAGGAATGTTATAAGTGTCCTATAGGTCGTTGTCGGCCTGGGGTGTTTTAATTGTAGTTTATATGTTTTATAACTCATGACACTTTAATAAAATAAATAGATAAATAAATATGTGGAATATTTATTGAAACTTTCAGATATCAACTCTAGTCACCAAAGTTTATGAGTCGGAGAAGTTCATGACAGAGCTACGACAGCAGTATATACAATCTTGTACAGATCTACAGCATCAGCTGGTAAGAAATAATTAAGTTTAACACTAATTAGTCTGAATCATATCACTGTGCTATTTTCAGTAATTTTAAATACTTGTCAGCATGCATGATGGCAGACTGATATTAGGCTCAAGTAAAATATAAGATAAAAACCACCATAGTTCAAACTTTCACACTTGGAAATTCATGCCTTTTTTACTATGAATTAATTGTCATATTTTCAAAAATAACAACTGTGACATTTTTGGCCAATAGTGTACTTTGAGAAAGTCGCCATATAAATCTTGTCATAAGGAAAACTGCTTATTTGTTCAATTTGAAATTTTTAAAGATACAAGAGCAAACTAGAGTCAAAATCTGGTTTGAGCATTCTGGGTAAATAACATGTCAGCCATTTTGCTCATCAAAGTGCGATATTTAACACTGTGTGTATTGTTTTTATCTTCAGAGGGCATTGACCGTGAATAGAGAAAGTATTCAGAAAGAGTTGAGTAGGCTACAAGAAGAAAATGATAGTTTGGTTGGTAAAACATCTAAACACTCACAACAGATGCAGAGTGAAGATATAAACCTACCAAATAATTTGGAGGCAAGTCATTTTCGATTTTTATGTCACCACTAAGAATATGATTTATTAGTTTGAGCACAACTTGCACTCCCTTAATGTGAAGAATAATGACCAAGGGGATTACTGTACCCATTTCAATTGTTTATTCCAGGGACTTCATATCAATTTATTTCCGTAACCTTCATACTCAGTCAAGCAAATACTAGAATAGTAAATTCAATACAGTGAAAGGGGAGAACAAAATTTTCAGATGACTCTTACCCTACATGTTCACATACAAGTTCTCTAAAATCGTGTAGCTATCCCCCTTTATATGTATCATAATCACATCACAAAGTTAAATTACTAACCTCCCTTTAATACTATCTCAACATTTATATCATGAGGTAATGTTGGCTGATTTAGAGGTTATTCTTACCTCTTAACTGTGTTTGAGCATATATGGTTCAGTGCAATTTCTTAACAATTTCCCACCACCTTAAATGTACCAGTATTACATACAACTAGGGAATTTCCATTGCAGGAGATGCAGTTGTTGCTGCTAAACTACAGAGAAGAGATTATTAAAGCCAAAGTGGCTAAAGAACATATAGAAGAAAATTTAAAAAGTGAAATACTATTCCTTAAAGGTACTGTTATTTTCTAACTTTTCAAAGAGAGACAATATTAAATACAATAACCTTACCCGGGCTACCCAAGCTTCCATTTTTTGTGTTGAATTCACTGAATGAACAGACTTTCAGTTACAAAAGTTACATTTTATATTCAATTTGTTGAAAAAATTTGTTACGTCCACCATTTGTGACAATGGTATCTGACTTTACCGTTGTCAGGCTATTCCGGTGCGTAAATAAATCAAATTAAATTGATTTTTGTTTCAGAGCCTCCCAAAATGAAAGCCAAAAAATTAAGACAATGGAGTATATTTCATATGACTTCATTCAACTCAAAAATAATAAATGAGACACCACATATTTGTTTCAGATGCCTCGCAAGCTGAGAGCCAAGAGAGGCAAACAATGGAGGAGACATTATCTCAGGAGATCAACACTCTCCAAGAGGAACTCAGTGAGTTGTTTTTATGAAATACATGTACAAATTTTGTCTTGAAGGGACAATGTAAAATTCAGCTGCTGTTAATCATAAACCATTATATAAAGTTAACTTAAAACAAACACAATGTGCATTCTACCATGTAACATATGCAAGTTGAGGTCATGATGGTAAAGGATAATAGTTATATGCAAATAAATGTTGTTCTAAATTCGAAGCTATGTGACCACATTAACCAAAATAATTTACACAAGAATCAGTATATATTTGAAAAAAAATTGTTTATGTTTCCAGCCATGCTACAAAGCGTCAAATCAGAGTTAGACCGTGAGGTGACAGTCCGACAAGAAAATGAGGAAAAATTAAAAGAAACAGATGAGAAATTTAAGAATTACCAACATAAATCAAAAAATGTTTTGACAACTATGCAGGCAAAACTAGAAGAACATGATAAAATAAAGGTATATATTGCGCTAAATATTGAAACAAAAATACTTACTTATTGTAGAAGATATGTATTTTTGTAGTGTAGTTTGTCGTGACACACCACATGTAATATTTCAGACCACATTAAAAGAAAACTTGCAGATATGACACACCACATATAATATTTCAGACCACATGAAAAGGAAACTTGCAGTTTTGTTATTTGTTCCATATTTCATTTGCTACATTCCAGACCAAACTAGAAGCCGATGTGCAGTTTTATCGTAACAAGGTCTCATCCCTGCAGGCAGACCTGGACAACAGTGAGGCTGTGCAGCGAGACTTTGTCAAACTATCCCAATCATTACAAGTAAGAATTAATTATTATACCTGTATGAGGGTCTCCTTTAAAACAAAAAATTTAATGAGTTCTCAACTTCTGCGACCCTTATATTTTCCTTTTGATTTATAAAGCTTATCGAGCACCAAATTTCCAGATGTATTTTATTTCAATGAAACCTGAGTCTTACCCCCCCCCCCCTAAATGTAATTTACATATCGAAAAATGAAACATTGACATTTCACCCTACCAAGTATCAGTATTTGTTTGAAATGCGTTGTACATGTACCATATTGTTTTATATTTGTTTTGTTGAAGGGTGAATGCTAGTTTCCATTGACTTGGCATTTTGACCAATTTTCTTTTTGATTCAATTTTTAATATTAAACATAGCCTCTTGAGATTGTGCTCACAAGCCATTTGAACTATTATTGCTTCAGATCCAGTTAGAGAAGATTCGTCAAGGTGAGAATGAGGTTAGATGGCAGCATGAGGAAGACGCAAACGATTGTGAAAATTGCCATAAAGAATTTGGTGTTTCTAGACGAAAGGTAGGATGAATATGAAGTGTACTTGGATTTTATTTAGAAATACAATGCTAGTTTTCTTAATCCAGTTCAGTGATTGTTAAATTACAACCCTTTGGGAGACAATGGAATCGCTCAAATTGATATAATGGACTTGTCCTACTTAAAATAGAGGGGTGTTAATATGTCGTCTGCTTCTGTTTCAGCATCATTGCCGCCACTGTGGCCATATCTTCTGTAATGAGTGCTGTTCAAAGACTTGCTATGCAGGCCCCAATAGGAGGCCTACAAAAGTTTGTGACGTCTGTCATACCATATTGAATAAAGACGCTACACCATATTTTAGCACAGAACCACCTCAAACTCCCGACTAGTATCCTGGGCACTTTAGTGTAATATATCATATTCCTAGTAATGGTATTTCAAAAATTGGAATTAATTTCAAAAATTGCCAGGAGTGTGATGAATTTTTATTTATTCAATACATGTGGCATTGAAAAACACAGACGTGGATACACACAGATGCGGATACAAATGAAGTGGATACTTACAGATGTGGAGTACATATGACCTATTATTGTCAAACCAGTCTTGACTCAAGACTCCCATTCTCTGCAGTCTGCACCCACCACAGCACTGTACTGTGGCTGGAGATCCAGGGTATCAAAGTTCAGGGCTTTGATTCAACACTCATGCATATCTAAAAGAGAGGGAACATCCCAGACTTCATAGATGAACCCATCTCCATATATAGATAAACCTATAGAGGTTCATATTTACACAGAGCTAGGTCCATAAATGAATTCTGGATATTTCCTCCATCTCATATCTAACTACAGCAAAATTGAAGATAGAAAAATGTAGCATATATGAAGCTTTGAAGCTAGGCCCCCTTTCACAGAACAAGTCAGGGCATGCCCTCATTGCCCCCTTTCACCAGATGCGAGTTAGAATTAGAATCTTGAATATCTAGGAGCTTTATACTCACAAGACTGTTCCTGAATAACTAATCCTGTATGTTATCGATTCTGTGATAATCAAAATTAAAATCTTAAACGTTATATTAAGAATTGAGATTTGTGTATCAATTATATTAAATATCAAACAAAATAGAATTTATATTTAGTATCACTAATAGATAGAATATGAGTTATTTAAAGCATTTTATATAACTTGTATGCAGTTGAACCTTAGTTGGGTTTAAAAAGTGCTGTATATCAATTTGTTAGAAACTGTCACGACAGTTTGAAATTATTATCAGTTTATCTATATTTATTTGAAAAATATGTACATGGTTATTGTTATACCATTGGGAGCAAACTACTGTTCTTGGATTGCATATTCATATTGTACTTGAATTACATCTTATTGTCCTTGAATTACATCCTATTGCCCTTGAAGTACATTCTATTATACTTGGATTACATCCCATCGTATTTGAATTGCATCATATTGTATTTGAATTACATCATATTGTCGTTGAATTACATATTATTGTCCTTGAATTACATCCTATTGTCCTTGAACTACATTCTATTATACTTGGATTACATCCTATTGTCCTTGAACTACATTCGATTATACTTGGATTACATCCTATTGTATTTGAATTACATCCTATTATACTTGAATTACATCCTATTGTCATTGAATTACATCTTATTGTACTTGAATTACATCCTATTGTATTTGATTTACATCATATTGTCCTTGAATTACACCCTGCTGTTGTTGAATTACATCTGATTGTACTTGAATAACATCCTATTGTATTTGAATTACATCATATTGTCTTTGAATTACATCCTACAGTCCTGCTGCCGTTGAATTACATCTGATTGTAGTTGAATTATATCCTATTGTCCTTGAACCACATTCTATTATACTTGGATTACATCCTATTGTATTTGAATTGCATCATATAGTCTTTGAATTACATCCTATTGTCCTTGAATTACATCTTATTGTACTTGAATTACATCCTATTGTACTTGAATTACATTCTATTGTACTTGAATAACAGCCTATTCTTGACTGATAAGTTATCTCACTCTAACCTACCTAATACCTTGGTCACATATGCTCCGATCCATCGGCCGGCGCCTGGCCGATTGAGTGTTCTGTTCAATATTGTATTCAATTTTGAACAAAATACTCAATCGGCCAGGCGCCATAGTGAAAATCAGAGTAAATGTGACCAAGGCATAACCTAAGTGGCCAAGTCGCTGCAGTAACCCATGTCTTAATATACAGCAAGTTTTTAAAAAATTAGAACTTGCAACATGAAGTCCCTCAATTTGCACATGTCATACAGGTTATATGAGGTATTACTGCACTGAAGTTTTAAATGTTTAAAGAAAAGGCAAGGACTGTCGGTGGTGCAATGTTCAGTATTAGACACAGCTAAATTGCTAAGTACCATAACGTCTGCTTGTATTTGTACATGTATGTTAAATTATATATGGCTGGATCTACCAGATAATGAGTGGCAATGCCAAAAATAGAGATCTATTTTGAGTAACTGCATGGCCAATTGCACACAAACCTCGTTGTTTTTTTTATACTTGTTCAAACCTTTTCAAAATTGTGTTGAGTTTCCTAAAATATCATTAAATATGACACACATTTCATACATGTCATGTAATTGCTATAATATGACAAACGAATGGGAGGTTTAGAATGATCTAAATATGATCATGTTGATTCCACTCATTTTCTCTAAAATTTGAATGAACGTCCGGATTTTATTGCATTTCTATACAATTTAAATAACTGACTTCATGCCTGTTTACTTTATTCCTTGCTGATTTCACTCTTTTCCACCATATTTTTCATTTGAAAGCACGACCATTGTGGTCTTTTCCAAAGAGACTAAAGAAATCTTGGTATTATATGTAACATGCTTTCTCCACAAATGCTACTGTTGTCTGTACAGTTACAATGTACATTGCACATTTATGGACTTTGAAATAAATTAACCTTGTGCAATAAAAATACAATTTATAAAAAATGATTTGTTGTTTTGTCATGATTGGGTACGAGTCACAATCTTGTCTTATCTTGTTATGTCATCTTGAGAAATTGCGGATATATTGTTATAGCAGCTAGTTGTATCACTCTTTTCAATGTGGTTAGGAGCTTAAAATGGTTAAAACTTTTGTAACAGCGAGCCATTCTAAGTTTGATGTCAGCAATAATTTCTGCTTCCAAAGTATGACGTCATTAATTCTAGTCAATATAATCTTGGTCTCTTTAATTTCCCTAAACAGATCAGGATTATAAGTTATTAAATGATCTGAAGTGCAATACAGGATATATTCTGGTCAAGAAATTCCGTATTGGAACAAGACGAAGTTGAGTGCCAATACAGAATATCGAGACAGAATATATCCTGTATTGCACTTCAAATCATTCAATAACGTTTTTATCGTGTGATCCTCTGTATTGCTACTGAGATTGTCCCAATATTTTCTGTATTGCGACGGAGATGATCAACGGGAACAATCTCAGTAGCAATACAGATCGGTACAGCACAAGAACTGACCAATCAGAGAGCTTCATTTTACAGATCATACGATAATAGGATTTATTGAAAACGTAATTTGTTGATTATTGTTCAGTTTAGTTGGGGCTTTTTAGATGACAGCTGCATTTTAGTCTCTTGTGTTCTGTTAAAGGATAGTATCCAATTATCAACAATCGTGGAAGTTAAAGTTAATGTTGCCATGGTTTAACCCTCATCTAACAAAATTTCAAAAGGGCGACCTTTTGGGTTTTAGGGGCCCAAAAATTTTTCTGCGCAAGTGCGATATTTTTTTTCTCTGACCTCAAATTTGGCCCCCCCCCTTGTTGGTTCCCAGATACGCCCCTGTAATCCCACCCCCTAATGGAACTAACTTTCGTTATTTCACAACAGCTGTTAATTAGACACCATACTTAATCACCAAAGTGAAAAACTCAGATGAGTGAAAAATCACTGGGAATTTCACAAATGAACCAAACAAACAGTTATTTGTATTTTTGTATTTTAATACAACAAAAATAGTATTTAATTTATTTCATTTTAAAAATTTCAATGTGTTTATAATTCTTTTGTCCCACACAGAAATGACACATTTGAGAAAATGAATAATTGAATTGAATAATGGGTGATATCTGGTTAAAATATAGATGATAAAGCTTAAGTCTTGGGAGCTGGGTCGTAAAATAATCCCATATTGGTGAACACCTATCTAAAGTAAACTTCTGAATTGTGAACACAGAGTCCCATTTTATATTTTTTATGTCCCACTGATTCAATAGACCAATCCAGTAAATCATGCCATCTATTGGTTATGATGTCATTCCTACAATTTCAGTGCAGAAATAGGATTAAAATATTGTTAATTTTCAAATCTTCTTTCAACTTTGTTTACAAACATTGCTGCCTGTAAGGTATGACATCATAAATCTAGCCAATATACCCTAGTTTCCTTAGTTCACAAATAGGCATCAAGATTTATTGGAAAGGTCTATTGTTAATGGGCTAGAACATGCTCCTGAAGTTCCCAGAGTGCATGGATGTTACACATGGTAAACAAACTCAATGGAGGGAGAAATTAATTCAAGTTTTACTTTTTTTGAGCTCAAATGAACAGCTACTTCAAATGAGAGGCTAATTTTTACTCTACTATCAGAACATGTTGTTATTTATTTAAAACTCAGAATTAACACTGAACTAAGATCTGATGTAAAAATTCATTCCCTCTCAGAATTGACAGACCCTGCAATTGTTTGCCAAGCACTTTACTAGTTGATCCCAATGGTATTCATACTGAAGGCCTTATGGGTTTATACTTGAAAATTATACAAGGTGGTCCAAAACAATGTTCACTTCAGATACATTTTCCTGTATGTTTATGACAAGATGATTTCAGGATTTAACATTGAATAAATATAGCTTGGTATACATTTGGAAATGTATATTGTCAGGGGTTTCATCAACATTTCTGACAACAGGTCAAACGAATGCACGCAGAATTATTGGAATTTATAATTTTAACATGGAAAAAATAGACCTTTCCAATAAACCCTGCCACCTATTGGTCAATCAAAGAAGCTATGATATATTATCTAGATTGATGATGTCATCGGTTGTAGGTTACAATTTGTCCAATCAAAAATAGGATAAACTTATTGCTATTTTGGGAAAGTACAACCAATGACATCACCAATCTAGGCAATATATTTGATGTAACAAAAGGTGGGAAAGGTCTTTATTGCAAAGCTTAAAACAGAAGGCAAATTTGGTAAAAGCAACCAGAGAAAATCACCTGGAGCCTGCTAATAATGTAACCCCCGAATATTGAAGAATTTCAATTGAACAAATTCTAAAGGAAATATAGTCTGATGCAGGGCCCCAATAATCGAACCTATTTTACATAGGTCTATGCAGAGCCCCATTAATTGAACCTATTTTACATAGTCCTATGCACAGCCCCAATAACCGAACCTATTTTTTACATAGTCTGATGCAGAGCCCCAATAAATGAACCTATTTTTAACATAGTCTGATGCAGAGCCCCAATCATTCAACCTATTTTACATAGTTCCAAATAATTGGACCTATTCTACATCGGCCAATTACTTAATAGACCATGTTTATTTGAAAATATATTCCAGACTTCAATGTCAATTTATATAAATAAAAAACACTAGGAATTGTTCATAGAATGTTAAAACGAATGGCATCCTGGGATATGTCCTCCTCCAATACAGTACCACTAAGAACACTTGGTATATGTAACCTCCTCTGTTTTTAATCACCCAGTATTGCTTTAAGTGAGGATCTGAAAAAATAAATAAATAATTTACAACTCAAAGTTTTGTTTAAAACATACATGCTTCTATTTTAGGCCTATTGATATTGTGGGGGGTTCACTTTTTAGAAATTCAAAGGGGGTTCACATTTGGTAACTTTGGCCCCAAAATGGCCAAAATCACTTATAAAGTGCTCAGAGTGGTGAGAAACTGCATGATTTTGAAAGAATTCTTGGCCAGGGGACTCACCCTGGCTGTGCATGTGTACTCAAAGTATTTTAACACAACTAATTTAGGTTTCAAAGAGTTCACACTCTGATAAATAGACCCTAAATAGAGTTACTGAATAAGATTTTTAACAGACTTCTAACAGGCTTACATAATGTATATAGAGTCTGTTCTACTCTACTAAATTACAGTAAAACCGGTACGATTGAACACCTCTCTGCATGGAACACTTTACAAATGAACCAGGACTCCCATGTTATGAACCCACTCTACATGGAACACTTTACAAATGAACCAGGACTCACACGTTATGAACCCACTCTGCATGGAACACCCATCTTCAAATAACAATTTAGGCCAGTACAGAAATTGTTCAAATACACAGGTTCTACCTAGAATAGTGATTTTTAAAAGCTTACTTAGCATCCTCGATCTGCTGAGCAAGTCTTTCTCTTAATGCATTGGTTGATGCTGTCTTCTTCTTTTCTGTGAGATCTTCAATGGTTGCCTGGTAACCGACGATGTTGTGGAAAACGTGGATTTGTTTGTCACCCGTGGATACAAAGTATTTACTGTTATTGTCAAAACTTAACTCTGTAATAGGGACTGAAAGAAAAAACATTTTTTTGTACATACAGTCTTGCGTAAGTATGAAATTGGATTTGCAAAAGATATAACTGAAGAATAATATTCCGAAACTGTACTTATTCCAATCTGAAACTTTTTGAACTTACTTGCATGTACGTCAGTTATGACTTGGGCTTGCTGAGCATTGGTTGCGTTATAGACGCTTATTGTATATGTTGTTGCTATGGCAACAGCCCTCGCATCTGGAGAGAGGGCAATGAGGGCATGCCCTGAGTTATTCTCATATGTTCCTGTTTGTATACATTGAGCATCTTGTCCCTTTGCATATTCAACTGGAAAACAAAGAAATTCTGTAAATTGTTGGAATTTGGCAGTGCTTTAAGTTTTCTTCTCCAATTCTGTACTAGATTGATCTCTATCAATCTCTTATAATTCGGTTGTGCTTCTTAAAAGAGAGCTTCATCTACACTATGTGTTAGAGCTTAGACCTAGTTTTACCAATTCAGAATTGTGACTGTTGATCAAATTCAAGCTACCCAATCAAAAAAGCAATAATTGTATCATATACGAGGGTTGTCCCAGAAGTAATGCACTATATGCTCTAACTTCCTTCAATATTCTTCAATTCAGCTGAAATTTCATACTTTCATAAGTGCCTTAATTTCATATTGAATCTCTGAGGGTAATAAAAGCTACTCTTTAGCTTATTTAGATCTTATGAGCATCAAAACTATATATTTATTTCACCTATTCAGCCTTATGCACAAGGCTGTAACCCTCAAGATGACCTGTTTACTCCAGTGTAAACTTAATACTTACTGAATGTATTCCACAGTTTCCAAGTGCCATCCTTAGACACAGAGGCCATTCTATTTGAGTCACTTGAGAAGCTAAATGAATATACACCTGACCTATGGCCTTTTAATTCAAATGCTCTCTTAACTTCTTTGAAAGTTCCTGATTTGTCAAACATCACTTCCCAGACCTTAACATCTGGGGTGAAACCTGGAAAAAAGCATATTTATTGAAAAATATATTGATTATCAAGCAGATTGACCAAATATGTACACTATATACAATATTTGCAATCTATTCTAATTTGCCTTTCATTTGAGTATAAAGATCTCAAAATTAATGAAAATTTCCGTTTTCCCACCCCCCAAATTCACGGCCCTTGTGGGTCAGGGTGAAAAACACGGAATATATGTGAAATAGATAGATGTCGTGAATATACTACCAAAATTTCAAAGAATAATATTTATTATTTTGGTTTTAAATGTACATGTGTATTATTCATCACATTAAATATGTAGATGATATCACGAAAAAACACACAAATTGCGGCATGTATGAACTACAAACCAGAAACAACCTAAACACCCATGAAGAAAGAAAATCATACATTTTCAAATATTTGTCAGAAGTTGACAACTATGTGCATAATACTGACCTGAGCTGGCTACAAATCTTCCACATGGAGAAACTGCACCATAACTGTTGGTCAGCTGGTTAGTATTAATAGTAGCTAACACTTCCCCTGGAAAATGAAAAAATTAATTATATTTTGTTCTCTTACGGTTGGGGATTTCACAACAGTAAAATCTCAGTAAGTGAAACACCCTTGGTTTCACTAAAAAAGTGTGCAACTTATATAGGAGGTGTTTCACTAATAGAGGTTTGATAAATATGTCACCAAAAACTTTGAAGTGTTCAATTTTTAGATGCAAATAATAGAGGTGTGTCGCTTGACAGGTTTTACAGTTTCTTTTCTTATTTGCTGAAATTTATCTTATATTTCTTTACACATTTTGGACAAACAGCAACTGAACTTATCTTTACAATTTGTAAAACATCTGAATGATAAACAATTACAAAATAACTTTGTGTTACCTTTAAGATCATAAATATACATGGATGTGTCCTTAGTGCAAGCCATGATGAATCTTCCTGAGCTGGCTATACCAATGTTGAGGATCTCTGCTGTAAATTTCTGAAAGAATTAGACTAACATAAGTACTGTTTATGTATATATACTACCTGATATGTATATGAAACTACCTGACCTTGCATGAAGGGCTGAATTTAGAAATAAATGAAGTCCTTTGAATGAAGGATGATATATACCATATTTCTTTGATATAATACACATATACCCGAAAAAGGGAAGATTGTAGTAAAAATAAAAAATAATAAAACAACTAAAAAAATTGCCTGCTTTTAAAAACATCAAGTAATTAACTTTCACTTTTTAACATTCTTTTGTTTTCATAAACATATCAATACAAACATTGCATTTAATAAATAATACAAAATGAGACTATGAAAATATAAAACCATTTAATTATGACTAATACAAATATGAATTTACCTTAGGGAAATCAAATGTTCCATTTATGTTCCCAAGAGAACCATCTGGTTTCTTGCCAATCCGCATCACTCTCAGCGTGTTCTCATTGTATAGGTTAATCACAAAGGCCCTGAAAGTACAGTTTTTGTAATATACTGCTTTATATAATGTTCTCATTGTAAAGGTTAATCACAAAGGCCCTAAAAGTACAGTTTTTGTAATATACTGCTTTATATAATGTTCTCATTGTATAGGTTAATCACAAAGGCCCTAAAAGTACAGTTTTTGTAATATACTGCTTTATATAATGTTCTCATTGTATAGGTTAATCACAAAGGCCCTAAAAGTACAGTTTTTGTAATATACTGCTTTATATAATGTTCTCATTGTAAATGTTAATCACAGAAGCCCTGAAAGTACAGTTTTTGTAATATACTGCTTTATATAATGTTCTCATTGTATAGGTTAATCACAAAGGCCCTGAAAGTACAATTTTTGTAATATACTGCTTAATATAATGTTCTTATTGTATAGGTTAATCACAAAGGCCCTGAAAGTACAGTTTTTGTACGATACTGCTTTATATAATGTTTCATTGTAAAGGTTAATTACAAAAGCCCTGAAAGTACAGTTTTTGTAATATACTGCTTTATATAAGGTTCTCATGATTGTAAAGGTTAATCAAAAAGGCCCTGAAAGTACAATTTTTGTAATATACTGCTTAATATAATGTTCTTATTGTATAGGTTAATCACAAAGGCCCTGAAAGTACAGTTTTTGTAATATACTGCTTTATATAATGTTCTCATTGCTATAGGTTAATCACAAAGGCCTTGGAAGTACAGATTTTGTAATGTACTGCTTTTTTCCATACAACCTGTAGAGTATCGACAAGATCACCAATTTTCATCTTTGACTATGACCAATTTACTATGTTATCCTATGGTATTTTGATACATTTCTCCCTAAATTCACGAAATTAAACAGTCACCGATGTTATGAAGGAGGGAAAATTCAGGGAACTGAATATTGCCGAATTACAATTACTGCATTATCAGTTTTACTTACTTGGTGTCTGGACTAAACTTTATTTTTGTAGCATGATCCAACTCAACATTTGATCTTACTGACCTGCAAAATAAAAAATAAAAAAGTAAATGAATATTTCTATAAGGAGGAAAAATCTCATAGCAAAGCAATATGATGCAAAAATTGTAACTATTTACTGGTATTTCTGTCCAAGAGCCAAGATTCCATATTAGATGCATTGAGTATAGGAAATATATAAGTTTAACAAAATACTCTCAATAATAACAAACAAGGCATTAACATGCATAATGTCACCACCTGCCATTTGTTACAGACAGTGACTGCTGAACACCAATCACCAAACACCGACTGCCGAACACCATCCACAATACCAAACACCGACTGCCAAACACCATCCACAAAAAGTTACTATAACAATATGTCACCACTTCTGGTGGTTACATAAAAAAACAATAACAAGACCTTACTTTATAGTTTATTGAATTTCACTTACTTGTGTTCTTTCTGCGTGAATTCTTTGACACTCCACATCAAAATTGTACGATCTGAAATTAAAATGTAAATAACAGCACATGGATTTTAACACATCACATATTCAAGTAAGAAAATGGATTTTGAAAATATAACCTTTTGCCTTGAATAAGAGATATGCACTTCCCGCATAGGTATTTTCTTATTTTTTACCCTTGAATAATAGCTATGTTTAAATATATTGTATAAAATGTATAGATATGTGTTTGTAATCAATGCAAATTGGTATGTCGTCCCTTTTTATGTCCATAAATATCCCAGATGCGACTAGAAATAATCTTGATTTACGCCATTAAAAATTCACAATTCAGTCAATCTGATGTCATATTTGGAATCTACATGTAAATTTACATCTAGAAATGTGGTTTTGAAAAGGGTTTATCAACTTTGAAAATTTCATTTTCTTTGAAAATGTGACTTCTAGGTCGGGGAGATCCCCTATAGACCCCATGTTGTAAAACCACAAAAAGTGAAATATCTTTTCTTGTGTTGGGCAGTTAATATTTTCTTTTGCTGGACAAATTTTAATTCATATAACTATCACATACATACGGGTAATATGAAAAGTGAACCACTAAAACTGATGAATATTCAAGTTTAAGGGGATTTTGTAATACCCTGCCATGTTATTTCCCCCGAATCAGCCACCTGGTGGTGTAACTGGTAACTACCTACTCGCATCTGAGTAATTGCATACATTTCTCAGCAAACAAGTTTGTGTTTTTTCTTAAGTTTGTGTTTGTTTTCCTTGTATCCTTGCATGATTTGGATTTTGCCAGGATGCAAAACAAAAAATCTACTTCTTATGGCCTAATCTACCAATCAATTATTTTTTACCTTCAGAACAGGAAGCCAGGTATTTCCCATTTGCACTAAAATCCATTCCTAGAATCGGTGAACTATGACCCTTTAAGGTGCATGACAGCCAGGGATGTGTGAAGGCTTGGCGTTTCTCTGGTCGAGTTTTGACAACAGTCTTCTTCTTCTGTGGCTGGGCCTTTGTTGGTTTAGATTCTTTTACCTTTTCATTTTTATCTGTAAGATCAATCAAGCAATATTTTAAATTCAATGTACATGTATTTGAGAAATGAGGCAAGTGCGTCAACTGCCTCACCAAAATCTTTCAGAAAATAATAGTGAATAGAAACTGTGAAAATGAAGTTGATTGATAGTATTATATTGCCTCCATTTCATTTTTGCCTCGTCTATTATTTGCCTCACCTAATTTTAGATCCCGGCTATACCCCTGTACAGAAATAAGCATATTATGTCCATTTATTCATTGTATCTAAACCACACTGACATACTTCATGGGCAGTATCAAAACAATACCCTTTGTAAGAGCTTCACTTAATCTTCACCCTCTAATTTAGAGAACTACTTATATCCAATCAGAATGTGTAACATGAAATACTGAAATTATATTCTGACGGTAAATAACATGTTCATTCAACATTCAAACTACCTAACCTTGAGAACCAATGAGAGCTGTAACTAAAACTGTATAAAATCATTTGTAATGCTCAGAGGGGAGTGTAACTGGGTGATTTTGACCCAGGATATAAAATAAAGTCTTACCAGATTCCTCTTCTTGGTTATCAGACTTCTTCCCAATGTTACATAATAGGACGAAGAGTAGGATGACGGCACCTACAGCAGCTGTAACTGCAATGACGGGAACTGAATCTTCTGGTGTTGCGGCCATGGTCACTTGCTGAATTACAAAAGAACATATTTAGATAAGTATATTTTTATAAGTATTATCCACGTTCATTGTATAATGATCAAAGATAATTTATTTTTGATTGGTGATTTAAACCATTTGAACTCTTAATCCGAAATTGTTTGTTGATTTACTGGTAGGCTATTAGATCCTTGGTGAATGATTGATTTTTTGGTCAAGTGATTTTGGGCCAACATTGTCAAATGTGAACCCCCCTGATATTTTTGAAAAGTGAATCCCCTTGGAGAAAAATGGCTACGGGCCTGGATACGAAATGTCACCTGCAAATGCTGAACCCTGGTCACAGATATGGTGGCTGTTACAATGTTACCATTTAAATGAAGTAATTTCATTCCCATGAGGATTTTGAACATTAGTCGAAATGCCAGTACTTCTCAATATAATATGCCAGATATGATCATGCGAATGTGATATTTTGAAAAACGTGAAAATGGCACTTATCACTGTTTATTTCATTTGCACACGTAATTATCATAAAATGAGCAAAAAGAGAGTCTTGAATAACCTGCCAACCACAAAAAGTCACATAAGAAACAAGTATTAAAGAATTTAAAAGTAAGAGATCAATTCAGCACAATTAGAGTACTTAAATAGACAGAAAGAAAGATTATACAAATAACAATAAAAGTTGTAATGCAAACGACTTCAGTTTATGAAGCACATGCATCGGAACAGATAATAAAGTTGTCCTGAAAAGAAAATCTACTCCACTTTCTGAGTACCAAGGAAAAATGTTCTTTCCTTGGTACACACAGAGTAGGGGGGGGGGTGTACCATGACCATGGTCCAGCCAGCATCCCTATCTGAAACTTTGATATTTTATGCAAATCTTCATAAGGAACAATATGATATATAACATGATAGGGTGGCAATACTACATGTATGAGTTTATGGGGGGGGGGGGGTGCATACATATGAAACACCCCATACATTGTCTGTGTGATTACAATATGGGAGAATTTGGCACATAAAACTGAAAAAATAGCGTACCTGAAATAAATCTCTGAGTATTTAGTTTTTTTGAAATTCATGTAGTTGAATCCCCAATCGCATGGGTTTATAGGCAGAATGATGAAATTTTAAGTTTTTCATTGAGTAAGATTGCACCTCTTGTCAAGATGGCGGTAGGTTTTAGAAGTGGAATTCCTGAAATGATGTGACAAAGTTGCAAAATGGTATTATTTTATTACTGGTGATTACTGAGTTAGTGCTATAGATGATCATTTCTATTTGTGTTCAGCTTGGAAAAAGTAAGGTTACATTAACATTGGATTGTTTTGATTTATTGCTGTTAATCTAGTACCATTTAGTTTGTTATGATATCAGTTATGTTGCAATCAACATCTTGGCAATTAATATAGTGATTTGTTTAATTAAACATTTCTAAAATAAACATGGCAAGATAACTGAAAAGAGAGCTGGTGGTACTTCTGGATGTCTATGTCTATGGATACTTGTTTAATATAACCAATAGCAATGATCTCCCCAGGATTTTATCTCAAGTGGGTGCAAAATTCTTAATCTCACAATTTAAACCGAATTTGGTCAAAATATGGCTAATTTTCATGATTTCTCTCATTTTCAAGTGGGTGCGAATAGATTTTCAGGTGGGTGCAAGTCTGTTTTTAAAATCTCAGGTGGGTCCGGTGCCCACTTGCTTTAATGCTGGGGAGATCACTGAATAGTAATGAAAATAGCTTGAGGAGGATGGCCTAGCGACTTTTGATTTGGAATGATATAGACACTAGGAGTCCTGCGATTACATGCAATATCAATACCCTCGGCTAGTTTGATGACAATATGAGCATTGACTATAATACAAAGTCTCAAATATAGATACACCAAAAAAGTGTTAACATACCTGAAATCCATCATATTTTGCTGAAATCTTCTGAATGTTTGACTTTTAAGAAATCATTTCTATACTATATTATATTGATTGATAACTTAAATAAAAGTTTTGTGACAATATTAAAGTAGAATGGGGATTGGAAGTTTTTGACAGTTTTGAACACAAATGACACAATTATGGTTGTGTAAGTACCAGGATAGTTGTGATATCAGAACAATAGTACTTTGGACACATCTCAGTAAAAACACAGATGGACTTTCAAAAAAAGATCTGCAGAGTTGAAATTACTACACAGGACAAGTACTTATCGTATGATCTGTAAAATGAAGCCCTCTGATTGGTCAGTTCTTGTGCTGTACCAATCTGTATTGCTACTGAGATTGTCCCCATTGATCATCTTTGTCTCAATACAGAAAATATTGGTACGGAGGGGACAATCTCAGTAGCAATACAGAGGATCACACGATAAAAATGTTATTGAATGATTTGAAGTGCAATACACGATATATTCTGTCTCGATATTCTGTATTGGCACGTGACTTTGTCTCGTTCCAATACAGAATTTCTCAAGCAGAATATATCCTGTATTGCACTTCAAATTATTCAATAACTTATAATATAGTTGGCTGTGGTATCATCATAACATTTATTGTACTTCATCTGAATCAATGTTACAGTAAATGATAGACTTTCAACTCTGAATTGACACCAGCTACAGTGCTGTATCTCATCCATCTCCCCCTGTACCAGCACACTATGTTGCATAAAATGGGCCTTAAATTTTAAAGATTTGGGCCCAATGTTTGGTTTAAGCGGCCCAAATTTATTTACTGACTTGAAATGTGGGGCCTTCCTTGTTAGCTTCTGGATCCGCCAGTGTAATGCATCATATCGTTGCTTGTATCTTGACTCTTACTCAAGATAAATCGTGGGACTCCTAATGATACACTAACATCCAGGTCTGCTGATGCAGAGTTTGGAATCGGATATACCAATAGAATGAGGAATTGTGACGGTTGAAATAATATTTATGATAACACACAACACGCCGATAAACCCATACAATATGGCGATGCAACTACATAAAAAGAATCCTAAAATAATGAGGAATTTATTTAGGTACAGTGTTACTTTTGTTAGTTATACATGCCAAATTGTCCCATATTGTAATCATACAGACAAAGTATACAGCTTCAGACAGGACTTTAGTCACTGGATAACTCCTCAGATATTACTTGAAGAAGACGGTGTTGCTTCGTCTGGTGAGTTAGAGTCCATTTCACTGTTTAATTGCGTCAGTAAAAGCTAAAAAATAAGAAATCAAAATATCATTTTGCAATAATATATGGAAAAATATATTTCTATTGTACATGAATGACATTTGTATATCTTGGATTGCTTCTAGTTTGGCTTATAAAGTGTGTGGCCTCTTATATTTGGTTGCTTCTCTGCCATATTATTTTCAATAAGATTAACATGGCTGATATTCTTCAAATTACAAGACGGCACAGGCTTATTGCACAAAAAACTAAAAAATCTGAAATATACAAATGTCATTCATGTACATTATGAACATACTTTTCCATATATTATTGCACAATTGTCTCCCAATTTCTTATTTTTGTCGTTCTACTGACGAAATGAAACAATGAAATGGACTCTAGACTATCAGAGTTTTGACTTTGTTCAGATCCTATAAGCTTAAATATTTCAGGTATGAATAAATACCCACGCTTGAAACATCTATGTACCTGTCCTAAGATACACATCCTAAACTTGATTGCAGATTGATGGTGAAACAATTTCAAATGTTTCAAAAAAAATAGATCTAATATTTTCGAGAACAACTGGATACAGCGTGTACTGTTGACATAATAATTAGCTGAAATATATTGCAGAATATATAATGAAAATGTTACCTATCTTATTATGTCACTAATAGAGCTTAAACTGCAGGAATTACAACGTATGCGGCTTTCCCAAAAATTTGTACGTGGTTCAGGGGCGATAATATGAAATTACACTGAACGAAATATCTCTACATTCAAATTCGAAACCCGGGAAAATATTAATCAATGATCGAGAATTTAACTATTTCAAATCATTTGTTTACAATGAAGCGTACTCATTGTATTTAGACTTCGAAATACAACGCCCATTGCTTTTTTTCATTTAAAATATGGACTTTTGAGGAAGTTTTAAATGTGCTGAAAAACTATTTTGGGTGGGTCATCATCATTCTAGCCCACTTCCGGAAAGCCGCCAAGTTTCAAGTGTTTTGAGCGTGCAGTGATATGTGTCTATACCGAGACACTGCATAGGAGTTCGGTGTTTTGAGTAGAGCTTCAGTAATATATGTAACCGAAGAGGACAGCACAGATCGTGTTGTTAAAGGTAAATTTACAAATAGTTTAGATACATTGAAGCGATTTCTCGGATGAAAATAAATGTAATTTTAATTTTATTTTTCCAAAAATTGGCATGGCATGATCATGACAGTGATTGATGATGACAAAGTCAGCACCATTTCAGGCAACTGTCCCGTAATTTGCATATTTGTCACGCAAATTGATGTCGCGCCCGTTTTTGACACAGGGGCTTGTCTCGAGGCGTCGGGCAAGCCCTCCGATGAATCTACTGCTTATAATAGTATTAAGGGTGGTCGGTTTTGATGCTACCTGAAATTTGTAGAAAATGATTGTTAGATATATCAAGTAAAAATATATGGAATCCTTTCAATAATCGACATGCTGATTCAAACAACACTAAAGAGTAAACTTACCTAAAATGGTAGCAATCCATCCACTTGTTGCTGAGAAATCTGAATAATTTGTTAAGAAGTGATTACACTGCAAGTACCGAATTTTTTTGCAGCCAAATTATTACCTCCAGAGTCGATTTCTTCCCCAAGACACGTCCACTGTTAAAAATTGGTAGTTCCTAGAGTTCTTTGTTTCCTTAGGTTCATTCCCGTATGTTATTTTTAACGAAGGACAGCCTATAACGACTGCTATACGCAAAAAGATGCATGAAATTAAGTTTCGAAACTGAAAGTTGAAAAATGGCGACTTTCCCGTGTTCTATGCGCATGCGCAGCGCATGCGCAAAAATGAAAGTACTTCATTCCCACAATTCAGAAGGATTCGAATTACTTTTCGGCGGTTGGATCGGTACCAAATGAAAGATTATTGCCAAGGAATGGAAAACATATTTCGAAAATGAGAGTAATTTGTTTTATCACTAAAGGAAAATATTCCCGCAATATTAGGTGCATCATGGGAATGGACTGGTGTGAAATAATGAACGCAAGTGACATCTATCTAGAAAAATATGTGGTCATTGCGCATGCGTTTATATAATATGAACTAATCAAATTGCTGGATTGAACGCAACTGCGCATGGAACACATTTTCAGTTTCGAAACATAATTTCATGCATCTATTTTGCGTATAGCAGTCGTTATAGGCTGTCCTTCGTTAAAAATAATATACGGAAATGAACCTAAGTAAACAAAGAACTCTAGGGACTACCGATTTTTAACAGTGGACGTGTCTTGAGGAAGAAATCGACTCTGGAGCTAACAATTTGAGGGTGAAAATTGTCGTGTTTTGCATTTTCAATTAAATTTAATCACTTCCTTACATGTTCTTCACACATCTCAGCAACTAGTGGATGGATTGCTACCATTTTAGGTAAGTTTACTCTTTAGTGTTGTTTGAATCAGCATGTCGATTATTGAAAGGATTCCATATATTTTTACTTGATATATCTAACAATCATTTTCTACAAATTTCAGGTAGCATCAAAACTGACCACCCTTAATACTATTATAAGCAGTAGATTCATCGGAGGGCTTGCCCGACGCCTCGAGACAAGCCCCTGTGGTTTTTGACAGAATGGGTCATGCAAATTGTTGCTGATAAAAACAAACGCCGAAAAAAACTAATGGTGTCAATTCAGAATTTTCACGTGAATTGTGTTGCTTCAAATATTTTTGTCCCACCCAATAACGGAGTTCGTGGAGGCGAGCGAGGCGAGTGGGAGATGTCCTTCATTTGGATGTATGCAAAAATTTGAATCAAACACTGAAACATCTAAAAAACAAACGCTGAAAAAAACGGATGCTGTCTATTCAGAATTTTCATGCATATTGTGTATGTTACACATTTGCTTCAAGTATTTTTGTCCATACCCATTGACGGAGTTCGTGGAGGCGAGCGAAGTGAGTGCGCAGTGTCCTAAATTTGGATGTACAGTTGGGGACATAAAGAATTACAAAAGCTATGGAAATTACATGCTGTCGTACATGTAATAAATTCTTACCTCAGTGTATTCAGTGCTCTATTTTCTCCATCGTTGTAAGTCCAGATATAGTGGAATTCGTGTCTATAAAAATTTGAAGTTGAATTCACATGTTATGTCGACTCTTCAAATGTTGAGGTGATTTTGGAGCCCGATTGCGCCGCAATGTGTATTGGCTCCCAGAATGCAACATGACACGTGTCAGCTTTCAAAATGCCGTTCCACCATTTTGAAATCTGTCACGAGTAAATAAGGTTACATGATGTTGCATTCTGGAAGTCAATCCTCCTTGGATCTCAAACATGGTGATTCATGAAAACATTTGTTCGATTCAGTAGGGATTTATCCATCATTTGCAGGTATGAAGCTTTGGATTCATTTATTGTGCTACTTAGAGTGAATGGGAATTATTTTTCTACCACTTGGGAGAGTTTGAGACACGAAACTGAGAATTTAGCTCATTGTGACAACTTTTGAGGGTTGAGATTTTTTTTTGTCCCCCACTTAATGCAAAAATTTGAATGAAGGTCTTCAAAATTTGGACTAAGATGTTCAGATTTCAGCTATTTTCTGTCACTGTCAGATGTGACCTTGTTATCATTTTCTAGTGTTCTTATGTCAAATAACAAGAAACAGCAAAATTATCATGTATCCTAAACAAACCCTAGTTATTCTAAGGGATTTTAAGAAACGTTATGTTGTGTCTTGGTAATATCTGCTGTGAAGTCATCTGAAGTGGCGTAAGATTCTCAGAATAGACATATGATCTCAGGAATAAACATTAAGATCAATGGAAATTGATGAAAATGGACATTATCTTTCCGCTGAGCTATTTTGTGCTATTATCAACAGACGCTTACGTACATGTATGGTTTAAGTGATTGGAGATAAAGCTAAAAACAGTATGCATCATTGGAGGTATGACATGTTATATTTATTAATAAACTGACTCAAGAATCAAGGAAATAAAAAAATTTCTGAAGATTTCGAGTCGGATCATTGAGTATAATTATTGAGGCAGAGGTCAGTGAATTCAACTACAGTTTACTTCTAATGTACATGTACCTCCATTATTTTTAGCCTCAGAGGTCCATAACATCAATCACTTAGCGTTAGGATGGAGTTCATACAGATTAACTAGCAATCAATTCTGTCTAAAGACAATGGCTGACATGCGACGAATCTTCATCATTACAAATACAAGCCCTGTGGAAAAAACAGAGCTGATTGCTTTCATTAAAAAGCTTGGAGCCGAGTACTGTCAAAATGATGTAAGTGTTGACCGTAGGAAAGGGAGGGGGTGAACAGGTATTTGATGCATCATGATTTTCTGTTCTGGGACATATCATATCATACAAAAGATGTTTGTGACCTTTTGTATGAAAAAGTTTAAATTTTACATTAATACGTAAAATGTCAGAATTCTGACTCCTCGTCCTCTATTTCTCGCTATTATGACTTTAGTTTAAGATAAATTTATTTAAATATCATTGTAACTTTAGCTAAAAGGAAAGTTTACATTTTACCCATTTTTCTATATGAAATTACTTAAAAATCATATTAAACAGCTCCTCTTCACATATTTCAGAAATTCACAAAAGATGTCACTCATGTGATCTGTGGTAAACCAAGTAGAAGTGAGAAATTCCTATCAGCATGTATTACAGGTATGTAAGGGGTGTAAACCCCTAATCTGCACTCTGAAATCACCAGGCCCATAGCCAGGGGGGTTTGCAGGGTTCAGGCGAACCCTCCCCCCCCTGGCCAAAGATTCTTTCAAAATCATGCAGTTTTTCACTATTTTGAGCACTTCTCAAGTGATTTTAGCCATATTTGGGCCAAAATTGTCAAATATGAACCCCCCTTGAAATTTTCAAAAGTAAACCCCCCCTTGGCAAATCCTGGCTACGGGCCTGATCTCAGTTCCGTATGGTTCATTAAGGGTATGGTACCATACCATATGGTGGGTACTGTTCAAGTTTGGTGCTGTACAGTGTTCACAGTACCATATAGCACCGTTTTAGTTACCATAGAATAGATGTACCACATTTTACAGTAACATAGCCAAAATGGTACCATATTGTACTGTTGTACCATATGGCACTGTTGTAGATTGGCTGTGTTATTAAATTCTTTTGACCAAATCAGTTAAAGTAACAGATTAACCTATCTGCTGCTCAGAAAAAATCCCAGAGAGATCTCTGTGGTTCTACATGCTTGATAGAAATAAACATGTATGTTTTATGAAATCTTGAATCGTAAACAAATAAATACAGAGAAAAATAAAATTCTGATAAATAGTTATTTTAGAACAACGTTTGCTTTGTAGGAAAATGGATACTGATGAAAGAATATATATTAGACTGTTTACGTTGGAATAAATGGTTGAATGAGGAGCGCTATGAATGGTCGCACAAGATGGCGCCTCGTTTGGATGAGACATCCCGATACCTACTGAATGCCCCAAGGTTTCTACGTAAACTGGTACAAGGATATAATGTGAGGTTATTTCAAGGCTGGAATGTGGCAGTATTTGTTGAGAACATTCAGAGAAAACGAGTATATGAAAGGTAAATATTGTAGATAACCATCTTTCATTTTAAGGATGGTAGTTAGACAGCAAAGTAAAATCAATCTTTGTATCTTCATGAATACATGTACATGTACACCCATTTCATGTTTTTTCATAAAGTGAATTACATTTCGCACGTTGGAAACCGTTCCAAGGAACTAATCAAATTAAGGAATATAGAACGTGCGTCATCGAATAGCTAGTATAAATGTGCGATTCATTGTTCGCACAAAAATAGTCATCTTTCTGAGAGTGGGCTTCATTCCTGGCCTGGGGTTCGTTGATCATTGAGAAAAGGGGATTGTCCCTGGGCAGGGGTTCGTTTTATAAAGAAAGGTGGGTTCGAGTTGAAGGGGGTTCACATGAGCCCCAAAGACCCCCCCCCCCCTCCTGCCTATGCCCTTGGACCTAATACACTCAAAGAAGCTTAGCACACATACATGTACACAATTTAAAAGTCTTGCATACAAAATTGTTTGAGTACAATACATGTAGCTTACACATCAATGTTTCAGGTTACTAGAATTAGGGGGTGCAAAGAAGAAAAAATTCTCTCTACCTGTTCAGTACCCAAAGATCATAGCAGCCAGTGTGTCACATGTCTTTGTTGAGGAATCCCAGGTTCATAACATCACTAAGCTTCAACAGGAAGGGGTGTTATGTCTCAGTCCAGAATATATAGGCGATTATATACTCAAGGTAACATTAAAATCATGTGTTTCATATTTTAAAGGTTCCAGTTAAGAAACACATACACCTCTGAATATTGTGAACCCATATATAGGATAGGAATAAAATTACTATTTATCCTATACATCCATGTTTCATGATGAATTTTCATATTGTTTTCTCCAACTTTTTTGAGCATGGTGTTTGGCAGTTGGTGCTTGGCAGTAAGCGTTTGGTTGTTGGTGTCTGTAACAGATGGCAGGTAGTGACATTTTGCGTGTTAATGCCTTGTTTATATATTTTAATAGGACCCACATCCTGGTGTTCAAAGATACTTGGCTGGGGGGCTGCAAACAGGTCCTCAAAATGGGATAATCCCCACTCAAAACACACCAATCTCCTCTCAACATTCGCTAATATCCACTCAACCCTCACAAAATTCCTCTTCAAACTCACTAATTTCCCCAAAGAGTTCTTCGAACATGCTGCCAACGCAACCCTGCTCTAGCAAAACGAGTTCTTCAAATCTGATGTCGACGCAACCCTGCTCAAGTAGAGGCAACAGTGTGGCATCATTATCTGATATAAGCAATCAACAAAAGTCACAAAATGAACTACCCGATCAACCAAATTTGTCGAGCCAAAAGCCAAGTCAAGGCAATAAACAAGGTGTGTATGTTTCAAAAAATTCATGGTCATCTTTTAAAAGTACAACACTCCTTTATTCATATGAAACAATCTGTATTTGGCAATAATTGAGAAAATCTCATTGATGTAATTGTTTTCGAGATATTCAGAATGAACATTGAGACAATCATAAGTTAAAAGAATGTGAACTATATTTTCAGTGGCACCTCAAGAAAAAAGAGGTGTTAAAAGGCAGTTGATGCAAACAGACCCCTTAGAAACCACACGATTTGCTGAAATGATAAAGAAGCAAAAGGTATATTCTCACCCAATAAAATAGCCAGTTTCCCTGAATATGAATTGTTTCCTTACAAGTCTGATAATATAATCAAATATGTAAGAAGAGAACTCAAAACAAAACTCACTGAAAAGATATAAAGCAATGTTTGGCTTAAATTGAAAAAAGCAATGAATCGGAAAATGTTTCATGATACAAGTTATTATGTGAAATATATCTTCTGATGTTTTCAGTGTGTCAAAAAATAGTATGTCAATGATATAACTTTGTTGGTTACAGTTGTAGCTATTTCATTGACAAAAACAACATGTTTGTATTTTCATAATATTTAGTTATCAGCGACTCAATGGAAGGCCTCTGGTGTAGTTGGCTATCCACATCTTAACCAGTCATCACTGACCACACAGCCCCTGACTGAGCAACAAGCGTACCTAATGGATTGTTGTGTCGAGTCCGAATTCTTGCATCATGCTGTAGATACGTTTGCCACCCTTGTATCTAGGGCACAATACCCTAACGCTGCAATGATACATAATATGCTCAGTAAAGTCATGAAGGTAAGATATTCAAGATTTTGATATATAAGGAAGTTGAAGAGTATACAAATTTACCATCCATGTATATAGGGATACATACAGTAGGGATTAGGTAGGGATATAGTGTAGCCCCGAGAGTGTAGCCCTCTATCCAACCATCTGTCCATTCATCTTGAAAATCATTCAAATACTGGTTGACAGGTTTTCATGACATTCAGTGAAAAGATGTATATTGGTAAATAGTTTAATTTTCGCAAAAATATTTTTTCAAGATTGTTTTCACATATGTTCCATGTTTTTCATTCCAACCCCCAGGGGTTATGTTGAGGGGTTTAGAAAATAGGAATATTTGTTGATTTTGAAACTCTCTCAAGTATAATTTTTTATGTCACCACCAAAAAGTGGTGACATATTGTTATGGTCTCCATTTTTTGTGGCGGTGGTTGGCGATCAGTGAGTTGCGGGCGGCGGTTGGCGTCTTTAACAAATTCTTAAAACTTCCAATAATTTAACCAATACTGCTTAGACTGACTTCAATTTCTTTTCAAATCATCTACAAGTTCAGAAGTTCAAATCTGACTTTGCATTTAAGATTTGAACTTCAGTGACCTTTTCAAGGTAAACAAAAGGTTAAAAAAGATCGAAAAGGTCTTTTTTCAACTTGCTTCAAATTGACTAAATTGTTTTTTGAGAATCATCTACAAGTTATCAGAAGTTCAAATCTAACTTTAGATTTAAGATTTGACCTTCTCAAGGTCAAAGAACAAAAAGGTATTTTTTCAACTTTCCTCAAAAAGCTCAAATTGCATCAAAAAAATTCCCTTTTTTGATCTTACAATGTGTTGACTTGATAATTTTTACATATATGTGTATATGTTAGTTCAATAAAACCTGATGGAACACCATTGGTATTTCTAAAAAGTGTTCAATGTGATATGGTAGCCATGTTCTCAGATATGTTTACATTGTATCTATGTGGAGGACAGAAGCATAGATTATGGTTTCATACATGAAAAATAAGTGAAATGCATAATAAAATGGTATTATTTGCAATGGGCAAATCATCAAAGTGAGGTTAATAGGAGTCCTCCATTTGTGTGTTTAATGTTTGTGATCAATAAAAAATAAGATTGAATAGAATTATATACAATACTAGTATCGGATTTCTTTGTATTATTTCTATTAGCTAAAGGCCCTTATAAAAAAAACAACCATTTTTTCCGAAATTCAATGGTTTCATTGCATATCATGTAACCATCATATCAACCTTGAAGATCAAAGGAAAAATCATTATATCAACCATTCAAAACCATTGCGCAACCATTACTTCACCCAATCTTTTCAACCCTTTTTACATAAAGTTACAATGGTTACGCAACCATTTTTGAGAAACCATTGCAAAACCATTACAACCATTACCCATTGAAATTAACAGTTACAATCGATTGCAACCATTGATGGAGAACTGCAACTATTGCAACCATTTATCCTCAAAATGAATGCTCATGGGCAGACCTGTAGCCAGCTTTTGCACTTTTGAAAAATTTACAAAGGGATTCATATTTTATAACTATGGCCAAAATCACTTGAAAAGTCCTCAATATGGTGAAAAACTGCATGAATTTGAAATAATTTTTGGCTATGGCTATGTTGATATTATTAGTATGTTTTTTTTAAGTAAGCATGTCTGTAGTCTGCAGTCTATCACACTCTTCTCTCATTAAAGAATTTTTTTTGGACTTTGTGTGTCTCGGATCTTGTTCTCAATGACAAGTCTGACGTCACTTCCAGAACAACAAAAAACATACACTTATTTGTATATATCATTTAATCTAATCCCTAGGATTTTAAACACTTATTTCTATGACTATTGCAATCGTTTATCAGGTATCGTTTTTAAGGAGAATGAAAAATGCAGAAATCTTGTAAGAAAATAAGGATTCTTTTTTGTTTCAATTCAATATTGTTTAATTTTGTTGGCTTATTTTCATTAAGAAAATTGTAGAAATACAAATTAAGATTTCACATTATTGAATTCAGATAAGGTACAAAGACAGAGCAGCAACAGTTGCACAGACAGAGCGGCAACGGTTGAAATGCTAATTATAACCATTGAAAAGCTAATTATAACCATTGAAATGCTAATTATAACCCTTGAACAGCCAATTAGATAAAGTTCTGTTTTGATAGTTAAACAAAATCATTACAAATTAATTCTTTTTTTTAAGAATTATTTTTGTCTGAATAATTTATTTTTGAATTCCCCCTACCATAATAATGACACAATCATAGTAAATTAGATGAGATTCACATTAAGATTTTTGAAGCCAGCTATGGTCTTGATGAATTCTCTTTTTTCTAGCGATAGTTAACTTAAGTTCATAATACAACTTCAAGTTCATGCTCATAGGCATAAAACCATGTCTAGTAAAAGGAAATATCATCTATTCAAGTGTTTAAGATATTTCCCTTTCAGTCATTATGATTAAAGTTTAATCCAATAGTAATTAATATTTTTTGATTTGTAAATGATATTGAAGAAAAGACAATCAATCCGGCTCTTGCCTAATCCAAAGTATAAATACAAGGATGTTGATGTTTCAAAATCATGTTTTGGAAACATTTTCAGTTTAATCTACTTAATTGTTGTAATAAGACTTCTTTGATATTGAAGAAGCAGTTATTTTGGCACTAGCTTAATCCAAATCATAAATAAGAGGCAGGAAATACAATCTTTGATGTTTCATAATATGTATGTATGTATGTACTTTTAGTCAGAAACATTTTTTGTTGAGACAGGAGAATAACAGAAAATTTCCACAGAACGTTTTGTTGTATTGTTCAGTAAAACTGAATGAATCAAGAAGGAATTTCCAAATAAACTACAAGAATGACCAGGGCCAAAAATGAATACACTTGATTCTCTTCAATAAAATAGAAATACTATCTCTATGAACATGAACTTGAAGTAATATTCAGTACCAAAAAAGAATAAACCTTATTCTTTATAGAAATAATATGCCTATGAAGTCATATCCAGTGCCAAAAATGAATAAATCGTATTCTCTTCAATTAGAAATAATATGCCCATAAACATGAACTACTGTATTTTGAAACATAATAATGCATTCAATTTACTTGTATGTTCTTCATGTTTCAAATTGTCTCATTCTTAAACTAAATAATTTCTACAATATGGTTGAAAATAGTTGCAACCATTTGGTAAAATGCAACTTAAACAATCAATGGTTTGTAATGGTTGCAAATGATTCCATAATTTCAATGATATGCAACCAAAGTTTTCAACCAAATTTTAATGGTTGGAAACCATTTCAATTGGTTGCAGCAGTGGTTATGCAATGATTTGTAATGGTTGCGCAATGGATTTTAACGGTTGAAATTCGGAAAAAATGGTTGTTTTTTTCCTAAGGGACTGGTCAGAGCCAACCTTTTTCATAAAAAAATCAATACACTGAGACTGGCTATTTTATTTGTTATGTTTTGATGAGGTAATTATTACATCATGGGATTTTTCTGATAAGGTCTGGTAAGTGGTAATTCCTTAGCTTTTTACGCATGTTTTCTGTGATTTCTATTACACTGTCTGGTCTTGTCTGGTATATGTTAATACATGGATTAACTTGAAAATAATATGTCATGGTGTTCATGTTTTGAAAGGCACAATAGAGTAAAAGTGTGATCAAGAAGGAATAAGTAAACAGATGTTTTATTGAAATATAAAATTCATGCAGTTTATTCGGTTTGATAGAAGAAAAGTTCATTAACTTAATACATGATCTCTGCAACATGAGAATTGATAAAGTGGTCTCCAAAGAATTTGGGTGCTCATCTTCGTTCTATCTTTTTAAGTAAAATATCTCAATTTTCACACTTTTGCCAGGGTGCAGGAATTTTCAAATGAGGGGTATGTGATTTTCCGATTTTCAACTGGGTGCCTAGTTGCTCTAATGCTGGGGAAATCACTGGAGTGTCAATCTCTCTTTTCTTCAAGAAATCTTCTTAGAAATCCACAGTCAATATAGGATTATTTCTTGTATAGTTCTTTGCTTTCTTATTGACATAAGACAATTTTACTTTAACAATACTCGTTTATTCTATGCCATTGAATCATAAAAAAATAATACAAATAAATAGATATATGATGATATGTACAGTTGGAGTTAAATATGAGATACAATAGCATGCCATAGTTTATCTGTAGTTGTTTACATACTGGCAAGAGGTATTAATAGATTCATGAAAAGTCTGTTTGTTTTTTCTAAATTGAGCTTCTTAACAATATTTCTGATGATTTCACAATACTGAAGTAACTTCATCAAGATAAACCTTTATTGGGTATTTCTTGTAAAACTTGTTTTTTTCTATCTCTGTTATATTTTAAAATGTTCTTTTATGTTTTATATACGATGGTACATTCATGTTTCATATGAAAGTCTATGCCAAATAGATATAATATAAATACTATATAAATAATGTTCCAATTTTGCCTTGTCCATTATCTATGCTATTTTTAAGTTTATCACAATAAACTTTTTTAAAGTCAAGTCACTGATTGAAATGAATGAACGTCATTCTGGTCGACGTCCAGGAGGTGGTGCAGACTTATCTACAGAGTTCTTCTTTTGTGGTACATTCTCTCTTTTAGGTCTTGCGTTTGTATCTTGTACTTTCCATTGTTTTTCTACCCCAACTTGACCTCCTTGGGTTTTGTTTGTGTCCAACTAGTAAAAATAAAAGTGGCAAATACTATTTTTTATATTTCTTAATATATTTTTGAATTGTTCATGTTACGTAATAATTTGTGGTAAGTATTCATCATTGGAATCAGTACATATAGAGTGAAGATAAAAATTAGACATAGAACAACCAATATGGGCTTACAAGATACTACAAAAATTTAGAATGCAAATTTCTAAGTGTTTGATAGTATTATCAGTATATTACACACTTATGCAGTCCTGTAGTATGACAAATCACATTTATTTTTAAAAGACTCTTTA